GATAGACTTAGAGATTTTGCCCTACAACAAAAGGTTCAAGACGTACTATATGACCTGAGAGATTTTTCTATTTCTTTGTTACCGAAGATTAGCATGGAAAGTTCATCGGTAGCCTTTGATTTAAACGAAAGTGAAGTACCAGAGTTTCGTGGAACTTTGTTAGTTCTTATTACTTATGCTTTTTCAGTGTTTGGTGACGACTTACTGTTCAAATAAAGCTAAGAAATCCAAGACCAAAACAGCTGGCAAAGATTTGTTGAAAGGAGTTTTAAAAAAAATCTTGTCAGTAAAGAGCTGTTTTGAACTTTTAGTAAGAATTTCATCAGTTGAGTGTACAATTTTGTCTTCCCTTCCCTCCTTGGTACGTTTTGCATTTACGCACCTTAAAAGCAGCAAGTCGCACAAATATTGAAAGTAGCTTATTGAACTAATAGACGTAAGATGTCCACAAGACTCAATAGTTACAAATTTACCAAACTATGGCGCTACGCTGCGCGCTCTTCGAGCAAGCTAGAGGCGCCTCCATGAACATCATAGCTTCTCAATACTTCTTCAAAAAAAATTGACAGGAAAAGAGAAAATTATCGATTTGGCCTCTGATGATTGTATATGAATCAGGCATACACTACTGTAATGAAACTTTCTTCAAAAAGTCTCAAAATTCTCCTTTAACTTCTTAAGAGCTCAACTGAAGGTGGGTTCCCTTCATTGAATATTATTATCATTATAATTATTACTATTATTACTATTATTATTGCTATCATTTTAATTTTTTTATCATTATCATGCCATATATGAATTTACCGTGCATTGACTAAAAAAGTTAAATTGGGTTTAGGTCTTTCTGATATATCCGTGCCGTCAATTCGCGAACACTTTTGGTGTTTAATCATAGTAAACCTTTGGGGCAAAAACCGTCACGGTGACCTGTTAACTATTATTTTTATTTTTTAGTTGTTGATTGTTATCTACACTCCGTTTTCTACCGCGTTCTCATCGCTTAAGTGATCCGGTCACGCTGTCCCTGTCGATCGTCTAATCTGAAGTATCATAGCAGGAATGCCCACAGTACGCTTTATTTCATCAGGCTTTTTGTCGTCGTAGCAAACAACATTTTTCCAATTCAAATTAGCCAACACGATTAACCATCAGTTCATGTAATGCTGACGTGTAAATGTGATTCCATTTGGTAATTATTTCATAGCCGCTGGGAAGCTGAATCGCACAATTTTATGAGCTATAGAATACTGATATAAATCAGAATATATCCTGCATTTGTGGGAAAAGAATGAAACATCATTTTGTTTGAAAGGTTTGACTGTAATCTTACAATCATGTAAAAATTAATCATCTGACCCATGCTGCAGTCCTTTATTGTTTTTTTTTGTTATTTCTCTGCTGCTTCACCGTTCAGTGCAAAAGTAACCGTAAATCCAGATCCCTGAGTCTGTTATTCAAATAAACAGAAATTTATTCACAAATGGCACAGATAAACAGTTTCACTTTGTTCAAAGGAAAGCAGGAATTCTTTATCAAATCTTGTTTAAGTATTCTGTGTCAGAATGTAAACATGATTGTTTCAGACAGAGCAGCTTTTGCTTCAGTTCTCGATTGTTCGAATTCTTTTATTCCGTTTCATTATGAAGTGCAGACGTTAATGTATAGTCCACTTCATGCAGTCGAATCAATCAGTCTTGTACCGAAATCGATGGAAAATAATTCACAAATGGCACAGATGAACACTCTTATGTTATTCATACTAAGGTAAGATCTCTTGATCAAATTTTGTCTCAATATTCTTCATTTATATCAGTAAGGTAATCTCTTTCGACACATGACATAAACCATTTTTCACATTAAAGTTTCCTTTTTCAACTACTTCCCATGCGGCATAAATTTTCTAGAAGTGTAGGACTCAATTATTCTCGTCTGATCAATCGACCAATGTTAATGTGCAAACCGCCAATTTCTTTTCCTTCTTCCGGTGATCGAAACTTCGATGGTCAATATTTGCCAATGACGAATGGTAAAACTGAACATTTTCACTTACATACCACTATCAAGTAAGGATAGTCTTTCACGAGCTTAAAAATTACACTAGACTATAAACACTGATAAGTCTTCACGGTCATGAACAATTATGAAATGGAGTGAGCTGATATTGATGCATGATGTCTGGGTATACAGTGTATGGCGACAAGTATTGACATGCCAACAGTCTCTTTTTAGAAAAAAATGCTGACGATTACCAACGAGTGAAATGAAAATAACCTTTTTCTTGTTAGTTATGCAGATCGATAGAAATTAACTCACCTTAAATTTGTCGTAGATTTATAAATTTCTTTACAAATTTGAAAGCAACCTGTCCGTTCGTGTTTGAGTTGAATTTCAAGACAACACGAGAATGTTCCCTCCGGCGACCATTGTTTGCATGTTTATCTATTATGAGTCAAATGTGCAAGATTAGAATAGCTGAGGTTCTGTTAGATAATGCTCAATTAATAGTAATAATGCTCTTAATTTGCCTGAGGAAGGATTATTTGGGGTAATTATAATTTCATTGTAGGACTAACAATGTGCTATTTTCATCGTACAAGATGCTCTTTGAATGTGTTCCTCGCGTACTTCACTTGTCACAATCTTAGAGACCTTCATCGGTAACTTGCTGTCGCTTATATGTATATATATATATGTATATAATTGCGAAGAGATTCCTGGATCGAAAATCTTGTTCGGGTGATGCAGAAAGGGATAGAAAAAGACCGATTATCTACAACTCTGCTTTTCCTTAAAGACAACTAATCAAGTTTGTCGCCTCACCTCGTGTCTTCTCGCAGTCTTTTAGCTCTCCACTAAGAGTTAGATTGAAAAGAATTTGGCTATCAATGGAGCCTTTTTTTCAATACCGGTCATGTGAACTAGCCACGGGGGGTATTTGCCGTCTTTTGTCTGCAGCACATATACCTGCAGCACATATATCTGGGCTATGTAATTTAGGTCCGTACCAAAATAAACTTGGTCACGCAACACTCGTTAAAGTTGCTGTGTCTCTACCTAAATAACAATTGTTTTTTTCTTTAGAAATTTCTTTTTCTAAGAAATCTTCAAGAAACTACGTGAACGCTGTCTTGGCTGCAGGGCATATAGTCACAGTGTAAGTTATAAATTCCTTCTTGGCTCTTGGCCTATCTTTTTTCCTTATTGTAGGTATTCACAAATAAGTGAAAACATTTTAAAGGCCCGGAGAAGAACCAAATATGCTAAAAAATATTTGCGATTCTTTGAAAATAGCCCCAAGGTGATAAATTTGAAAGTTATCATAGTCTAGCAAGTTTTCAAGTACTTTGAGATCACAGTGATTCTTTGTCGACCTCTCAAAGGAAGGTTGAGGGGCTGGGGGAAGGAAGGTTGAGGGGCTGGGGGAAGGAAGATTGAGGGGCTGAGGGGAGGAAGGTTGAGGGCTCTTAAAACTATGATCGGCATAATATCATGTCTTCAGGAATGACGCTGTAAAGCAAGGAGCAAAATTTTCCAGCATAATTTATTTAACCCCACCACTTGTTAATTGGAAAAAATTGATCTATACAAAGGCATGCGAAACATCCAGTACACAACACGGAGAGTTTTTATAAAAATCATCATCAAAAGGACGGGTTGTGTCCATTAAAGTTCATATTTATGAAAACTAAGGCTGTGAGGAATAAACGGGGGAAGCTGCGCTTTCAGACTTGGCGAAATCTCTACATTGATTCCGGGGAACCAATTAAAAATTGTTTGTTATTTACAATCACCATGTTGTTTTTCATCTCGTAACCCGTTCCAGAAAGTATTTATTTTGTATCTATAGCCTTGTCCTGTACACTACACGACTTTGTCTTGTGCACTCCTGTGCAATACGAGTACTAAACGAGAACAAATAAAATGAACTTCCTAACGACGCCCTATAGACCAGCTATTGGTGCGTTTATCGCAAAAAAATGATTTTAGTCAAAAATTCCTTGTTGTGAAGCTCCTAAATGTTCAAACCTGTCGCCAAGAGATAGGGAAGGAAGAATTTATACTTTGTTACGTCAGGTTAAGCAACCAGATTACAAAAGATCCCAAATAGCAAGATTCAATTCAAACCGCGTTAATGTCTGGATTATCGATTCATTTAAAGACAAATTTTCAAAGGTAACGTTACTTTTCGGAATCGCAAATCGCAGCAAGTGTCGTAATTTTTGTAAATCCGTTTTAACCCTGGCGATGAAAATCATTTAACGTTTGGTTCCTTTGAAGCGTGCGTTCATGGGGATATGAAGCATTTTAGAGCATACTCCTCTAAATAACTTCAAGACATTTCATCTCCGCCATTGAAAATAGTCTTTGAAATAGTGACGCTGATCGCTGTTTCAAAATATCGAGATTCCGCCCAAAGTTGCAAAATTTCGTAATTCATTTCATTTTTCCCCAAAGGACCCTTTTGATAAACCTTTTTCAAAATTATATCAAAAAGCTCTATCAGGATGTTTTCTCCGAAGAATCGAAAAGTTCAAAATATCCGCCTGGATGGCTTTTGCCCCTTCGCAAACAAAGCTTTAGATTAATGAAAAATTAACCTCGCACGCGACAACGCGATGTAATCTTGCTTTGAAATTTTGTGTGCTATCAAAGGGTCATTTTATCTTTTTGAAAATATACCTTTCCTCGCGCTTTTTCGCAGCGGTAAAATATTGGCAGGACCTTTTTACAGGCCGTTAAAGTTCGCCTCAGTTTCCTCTTCGGATTGTCACACCGCCTTATATAGATTTTTCTATTATTATCATTACCTTTTAATGATGGAGATGAAAATAACATGTTTTATGGAGCATTCGTCACAAAACAAAACGAAACAAGAAAACCTCCTCTGGAAACAACAGAGCGAGTGCTGGGACGAGTGGAGGAGTGTCGTAAAAAATGAGCCCGCGATTTTTCTATGTCTGGTATAAAAATCAGTGCGGTGTGACGTCAAGCATCCCATAATATAATGTAGGTTCTTGTTGATCGACCGTCATGTCTTGGTCTACCTCGCATGGCGAAGGACAGGGTGATAGCCTCTCTTGCTTGCAAACTCCATGCAGCACTCGCCTCAAGAGATTAAAACCCGCCTAGACCGTGTAGTAGATACTGATGGAAATGTGAGTCAATTTTTAGCTCGTTTGATCCTTTCTCTAACATGAAATTGATGGTTTTCTTTCCTGTCTTGTTGTCTGTTAGGTTTTGGACATGCCGGCTGTTCTCGAGGCAGTGACGATTTTAGAGCGCCTTCCCATAACGAAAGAGGCTCTTGAGGTAAAATTAACAAATTCAATTTTAACAGTTTATATTATATCTTAAAATTATGTCAAATGTTAGACTGATGACTTTTACAGTTGTAAAACAATTGACGGAAAACGTCCTTGTTGTAAACCGCATGTGAAAGGGTTAGAAGGACGTCGCTTCAGATCTTCCGTAATTTATTTGAAACACCTCGGGGAGAGTTTACCCCCAACGTTTGTTTAATATGATATTCTAATTCTGCTGTTTCTGAAGTTTTCATTTAAATCGCTGAGAGAGAATTTCTTATGATCTGTGAGTCTAGGAACATCACGTACGGAAGTTTATTCTTTTCCGAGAATTACGCAAGGTTGTCTTCTTGGAAATGGGGAATCTGAAATGTGAAACAGCAAAAAATGCCTTGATTCAGATTACTATATAATAGTTCAGATTACTGTAAATGACTATGATCAAACAAAGACCTGTTTTTCTTTGTGTGGTTTTTAGTTTGATCAATTTCTTTCCAAGCAGCTTCGAAGGACAATCGAAAAGTGAAATTCACATCGTGGGATCGAAATTTACTGGAAAGTTAAGATCCAGTGACTTTTTTCTATTTAGATAGAGTTCTGATGTTACTGCAAGAATTACGTTAATTTATCATTGAGAAGAAAAGCTAGTATATTCTGGATTTTTTCTACTTTTGTACTGATTTGGGAAATTTATTTGGTGACTATTTGATCGGCGTTGCCGGAAGATAGTCGTTCATTCAGGATTGTGAAATTCGCATTACTCGCTCTCCGTTTCCTTCACATCACACTCTACCGAACTTGTTTTCAACTGTCCAAAGATATTTTGAAGTTTTAAAAAATTTGGATTCATTTTGCTGATACCAAATTAAGATCATTTTTTCACCAACGATCGTGAACGTAGAAGTGGAACTCTTTATCATCTCCCATGCCAACTAGCCTGGAAATTTACACAAAGTGCTTATTCTACTCAAAGGCCTTACTACTGTGTCCGTTTTCCACATGTTGATTTTGATCACCTGGACTGTAACTTAAACTTTTAGTACTGCCAACCTGTTGTTGCTGGTGCTAGTGAAACGACCTTGGTAGTTTTCATGTCTCAGTATTTAAAGGGAAACCTTTAGCTTGATGTACTGTTGAGCATTGTAATATTTGCCCTTGTTGTGAGATAGCGGTTGATAAATTTTACTCAGTGAATTTGACAGTAAAACTGAGTGGTTTATTGTTACATGTCTGGAATATTTTCAAGGGTCATAATTTTGAGTAACTTATTTAGAATCATAGACACTGGGCTAACACTAGTACTTCTTTAGATAACATTTTTATTATTTCTCCATTACATCTCTAACAGACAAAATTGTGCCAGTATGTTGTATCTGTATCTTGACCATATGTGAAATTAAACTTACATGCAAAACATGGCAAAGTGAATTCATGTTTGTGTCATATATTTTAATTGTCCTATTCTGGGCTGTCATTTCCTTGTAGGTCCTGCTTTATTTCAGTTGATTGTACTTTGGTCAAGTTAGTTATCAAATTGTATCTAGAGGTTTATGTATCTCTTGCAACTTCCGGTAGCATTTCCCTTGTCAATCGGCACGGCATAATAGCACGGCATAATAGTTTGTACAGAAACTAGTCTTTCTTTTTTATAGTTACTAACCAAATGATTTTCGTTCTCAAAAGAAAACACGGCTGGGAAAGACAATAAACCTTCTTCGAAAGAAAACAAAAAATGAAGAATTAGCCAAGAGGGCCAAAGGACTTGTGAAAAAGTGGCAGAAGTTGGTGATAAATCACCTTGAGACTCTACGCAATGCAGACTCTCCGATAAATGGCAGTGGGTTATCATCACCACAGATAAATGGAACTGTTAGGGATCCTGAGAAACCTGCCTCCCCATCTGTTGACAGGGCAGGAAAATCAAAAATTCTTGAAGGAAAGAAGAGAGGGGTTAAAAGAAAACGTAATAGTTGCTCCAGCTCAGAAAACTCTCCTGTTGTGTCCTCAAGATCAGATGATTGTGAAAGTCATCCTGGAACTCCAAATTCTGGTTTACTGCCACTAATCAAAGATATTCACAATAAAGGAAATATTTCATCAGTTTCTCCTTCTCAACCACCTACACCACATAGTGGAGACAAAAGTACTTTATCATTACAGAGCCCTGGCGATAGTAATGTCCTCTCTGTAGATTCAGGAATTGAATCCCAGCCAAGTGTCAAAACATTGGATGAATTAAATAGTGAGAGCACAGTAGCAACTATGGAATCAAGTTGGAATGATCAGTCATCAGATGTTCCAGTAAATCTTCCTTGTAGTTCACAGAAAATGTTTGAGAACCAAACTGACACAAGTGAGGGTGTTTTGTTACATATTAATGAAACCTCAAGTGGATATAACAACAAGTCAGATAGTGTTAGTTGTTCCCATGATGAAGACAAAATGGAAGTGAACATGTTGCCAGAACATCCTGTTGAACAGGAAATGCCCACAACACCTGTTGCCAAAGAATTTGTGTTAGATGTAAATGTTGAAGCAAATGGAGTTACCGGAAGATTTGGTGATGATGGTGCTTGGTACGACTGGACGGAGGTTATGCCTGCTGGGGATGGTGTGCTACAAGTTTTACCTTACGTGATACTTGAATAATCAAATTATCGACTCACTTTCTCATTAATATTGTATTTCATTTTATAGTCTAGAAACACTACTTCTACACTATGTGACAAGTAGTTAGTACCTGTGCCAACAATATGAATGCAATGATGATAGTTTCCTTGTTAATAAGTTAACTTCAGTGTTGTTAGATTTGATGTCAATACAAAATGTTGGATGCAACTTTGTTAGTTATACTGTTTTCTGTTTGTCACTGGTTTCAGTCAAAAATTATTTATTATTAGTGCCACAGGTTAAGTGTTACTTAATAAAAGCTGTTTGCCACTGAGCAAACATAAAAGTTATGGAAAGTTTAGGAGCAGAGTGGTTTTGTTTTATGAAATTTTTTTCCTGAATTTTCACATCAGGATGTAAAGCTAGATGTAGATCATGATGACAGTAACAAACAAGGTTTTATACCAAATAAAATGGAATACTGACAGTAGAATTTAAGCTCAGAAGGTTATCAGAAGTTTGGAAGGTTTCCAATTTCCACCCTATTTGACCTTTTTGTATGTAACAGTGTTTCTTCCAGATGTTGCATTAATTAATTTGCATCTAATATCAATCAGCTTGAGTGGCAGTTGCTTAGAATCGCACTGAGTTACTCCAGCCCTGTATTTAAGGTTAGTTTTAAAGCCCAATGTCCAGACAATTTTCAGGTAACTGTGTATTAGTAAGCCATTTTCACAGAGGAAAAAAATGGTTTAGCTGAGGGTGGAGAGTTTTAGTTAGAAAAGTTGGTTGGAATATTATGGAGATATGTTAACTCTTTATTTTCATCCAACTTAATGCACAAACCTTTCTTTTTCTAATTTGTGTGCAAATTTTAATTTTTTCCCCTTAAATTTATTCTCCCTCAATTGATATTTTTATTTGAAATTGTCTCCATTACTAGCTTGACCTTCCATCCTTTAAACTACCCCATGCATGCCCATTCTTCCTGTTGAAATGCAAATTGTTACTTTAATGTAATACAGGTCTATATGTGACTTGTCAATGATAATCACTTCAAAATCAGTACAACAAAAGTACACATTTGTATCAGTATTCCCAGTGCATTTTAGGTTTAAAGTGCTCTTGGCATGTAAAATGGATCATGACAAAGTTAGTTGTGTAATGTTACTATACCAAATTACATTTTCAGATAATTTTTTTGAATGGCGGTTGGCATGAATGTAGGTTGTACTGACCTGATACTGTTTGTTTTTCTGTCCCTAAGGGCAAAATGTAAACCATTGAATTTGCTTTTTTAAAAACCAAAATTTGCATTCAATTGTTCATGTACAGTTAGTAAATTCCTATCAAGGATTACAAAGTTAAAGTTAAGAGTGAAATCTTAACTGATGCTTGCAACCATGTAAATAATCCGTAACTAACTTCTGTAAAGGAATTTGAAAGAAGTGTATTGAAGATGATTGCAGGTCATTAAAACAATTAATTTCATGTATTTGTTACTGTCCATTTTATATGAATCCAATTCAGCTGTTGAGAGTTTGCTCTCAAAGTGCTATAACAGTCATAGGCTGCTCAAGCTCTAGCTGTGAGATGATCATCTTGTGAAGTAGGAGTCATAGCAAAATTATAAGAGTTTGTATGGGAATAATTTACAACCCCTCTTAGGAATACAAAAATACAGTCAAGTTCTCAATAAAAACACCTCCTCTTACTTTCACAGTGTATTGCTTGTTATCTCACCACCTCCTATGTTAAAAAGAACCCATTTTAGTGAGTTATCCATTTCTAGGGCTTCTGTGATGTAGTAAACCTAGAAATGGATAACTTGCTCAAATGGGTTCCTCTAAGGATATCTCTCAAAATTTCCTGCAAAGTCAAGATTTTAAACCAGGGAAGTAATGGAGGTCTATTTCTCCTGAGGATGCCCACTTTTCTCTTAGATAAGCCAAAATTGTACTTTGTTTAGACCTTCTTAGCCCTTTCACTACCATGGGTGACCAAGATAACATTTCTCTTACAATACTGTTATACAGTATCAAGCAGGCGAGTGATGAGAATAAAGAAAAATATCAAATTCTCTAAACTAATATCATAGGAATTATATAGTAGACAGTAAGGAGAATTACTAGTGAGATCTTAGGAGTGAGAGGTTTAACTCCCAGAAGTGACCATTTTTTTTTCTTGGAGTATGCCTGTGTCATTTACTGAATGCATCATCTTTCACTTGAATCACCAGGCTTCACATTTACCATCTTCATTTTCATCATCTTGCACCAAAGCATCACATTTGGGAAAGTATGCGGGAAGTTTATCATCAGTGACCTAGTTAACCCTGTAACTCCCAGATAAAATTTGTAATTTTCCTTGCTGTCAACCATACAATTCTTTTAATGTTAGTTCAGAGAATTAAGTATTGGACCAACTAATTGTCCCCAAATTGATCTTTTTCTTTATTCTCATCACTTATCTAGTTGACATTGTATGGTTATTGTAAGGAGAAATCCTGTCTTGGTCACTCATGGGAGGTGAAGGGTTAAATGACCCAGCCTGCCATGAGCCTCCTATAGTTCAGTGGTAAAGCATCTGAAGCACTAATTGGAAGGTCATCAGTTCAATTCCTATTGGGAGCACTTCCTTTTTTTTTCTCCCACAACATCTGTGTCAGTCACTGAATACATCATCTATCACTTAATTAAATCACCAAAATTAAAATTCTCATTAAGTAATAGTCCATTTTACAGTTGGTTGCCAAGCCTTTAACAGGAATGAGGCTAAGGGTGACCTTGTTATGATACAAACCTTGCTGCTTTTCAAATGCAAATTACTTTGTTATCATGCTAACTAGATACTGGTCTCTATCACAACAAGGTCACCTTCAGCCTCACTCCAAATCAAAGGCTTGGCAACTAAGTACACAACTGTAAAATGGCCTATTCCTCCTTACAGCATCATTACACTGTTGAGCAAAAAGCCAATGAAAAGAGAGAAGAAAAACAACTTGGTAATAACGGTTTGATCTCACACAAATTTATCAAAGTTAAAATTGGGACAAATGTATGGGAAACAAACTGGAGATTTGACACAAATCTTTGGAGTGAAAAGGTGACACATGCCAATGGTAGTTTTCTCTTGGATAAAGCAATTTACATCAACTGCCAAGTCTTCATCATGTTTCTTTCAAATTTAATGCACTATAAAACATACGCGTTAACAACAGTTACTATCAGAATTAACATTCACAGCATGTGCTTGGCAATCATATATAATATAACATAGTATTATCTAGCTGTACTGTCTTTGAAATGTATTAACAACACAATTTTCATTTTAAAATTCAGTATTTTGGTACTCCTTTAATCACAAGCCACTATCAAAGTAATATTATTGTCATATGTTTTATAAACAAACACTTTTAACTACAACAAATTCTAAATCAAACCCTCAAAAAAAAATTGTTTGTTAACTTCTTGAGGGATGTCTACAAAATACACTCTGACCAACAAATTGCCAATTTTTTTATATTTTTTGCCACTGATCAAAATATTCAGCATATTATCATTCTTAAGATTAGGAAATATAACACATTAGAGTTACTGATATGTCAGAATTCTATTTACACTTTGCAGTGAGCAGAGGCAGACATACAAAACTGTAGAATAATTTGCTGCCATATTGTGATAAATTTGTTCTATATAGTGCTGGATTCTTTTTTAATATTTAGTAACAAAGTACTCCTGTTTTAATAATTTCTAATTTTCAGCCTTGGTTTTCAACTACCCTCAGACAGGACCTCAACTGAGTCATAACAGGAAAATTACTTGTAAACTGTAAGTTTATCTCAAAATAGTCATTATCAAAACAGCATGCAAATTGTTAATTCAGTAAGTATGCTTGGTTTGTGCCTTCTTTACACAATAAACTTGTGATTACCCTTAAAAGTTGTTGGCTGATGACAATATCATTGCTTTCCATCTGCAGTAAGTTTGTATACATGATCTTGATGCATTCATGAATTAATCAAACTGTTGTTTCTGTCTTATTAAATTGATATGGCATGTGCATGTCATAACCCAAAGAAACTAAAATGGTGTGAAGAGTCACATGCCACTGATATTTAGATTACAGAAACACATTTTCAGTACCAAGGTTACACACCCAGATTATCCATCTTTGAATGTTAAAACTATATTGTCTTTAACTTAATAATCTTAATACCCTGATTTTAAGGTAAAATGTTACATGCATTTGATACTGCATATTAAATAATTAATCCAATCCATAAGTAAACATCACATCTGTCAGTAAAAATATGCAAGACCTTCAATGCAATGGCACTTAGCATCTTGTCACTGAAAGGATGAAATATGCTAGGGTCAAATAGCTATCTTCTCATCAAAAACAAAAAACAAGAACAATAGCACATTCATTAACAACTCCTAACATTGATAGACAAGTAACTTTTGTCTGCATATTCTGCTACATTTTCCCAGTCACAAGTGATGAGAATAGAGAAGTATATCAACAGAAGGGTATTATCATGATAATGTAACATCATAAAGTTTTGACACCTTTAAAATTTGATGTTTTTTAAAAAAGCCAGAAATTGACTGGACCTCCCTTTGTTACCCTCATTACGTGAAACTTTAAATCCTTCTTCTATGAATGAACACTAAATGGTGGAGGCTGCTAAAATCACAGGACCTCCCACTATTGATATTCAGATCAGTTCATTGTGTTAAAATGTTACAAATACATACCTGCAATGTTTCTCAGGCAAAAGAATCTTCATCAGATGCCGCCAAGCTCTATACACACATGAGGAAAGAGAAAATTATTACCATGCCTCCCAGATCATCAAGAATATACATATTTATTTTTAAAGACAAACATGAGAACTATTCCTCTGCATAAATGTGTAAATATTAAATAACATTGTCTTGACAAATCTCAAATGAAAATTTGAGAAAAATTTAAAAAAATGAGAGAATGTAACAAAGTTTGACTTCTAAAATCGTGAAAGTTTACAAGCTAGGACATTCCAATTGGCTCCAATCTAAACAAACTATTTGCATAACACTGCATGATTTTCTTCTAACCCACATCAAGGTATTTCTAAAGGTCAATTCTGATTATTTGACCAAGAAAACAATGTGGTGACATTTCCAAAATGCTGTGCTTTTTCAAATGGTTATCATCTACTTACATAATGCCACACCTCCCTTTATGATAATGAATACCTTAACGATGAATTTGATTAACTGATAATAAAAATAACCACAATAATGCCAGTAATAAATATATCTTATTCACCAGCTGGGAGGTTCATGTTGGGAAAAACTGTGTCTGGGGTCTTAAATACCATCTGAGGCCATAGGCCGAAGGCAGCACTCAAGACAGGGCACAGTCTTTCCCAATGTGGACTGACCTAGGCTGGTGAATAAGATTTTAATTTTTTCTAGGGCTGTAATTTTGGCAAGACTCTCTATGAATGAAAACATTTTGGAACCAATCAGATGACAAGATTTGAAGAATACCGCCAGCTCACACATGAAGAAAAAAAAAATTAATTCAGTAAAAAAACCAATAGAATGCAAATCTCACACCATGGTGGAGTGAAAATGTAAGATTCATCAAGTCAGACCATTGAGTTATTAAAAGACTATGAAATCCACCAATCCTTGAGAAAAAAAAATACAAATAAAAATACAAATACAAACCTCATTGAGAGTGAAAGCATTCCCAGACTGTGGCTTTCGTGGACTATCAGTAAATGGATCCTCACCTAAAACTCCTTTGTCTGCAAAAGGGTCACTTATATCGCTGAAAGGATCATCTGCAGGAAATGCTGCAAAAGAGTCATTTTCAAAAGGATCTCCACTGTCAAATACACCTTCCCCTTTACCAGGGGTAAACTGTGCAAACATATCTTGATTTTCCAATTCTGATGGAAAAATTTCAGAGGGTACTTTTGTTGAACCAAAAGGATCAACTTTAATACTTTCCTCACGAGACTTTTGAGGAAAGTCAAAGTTTGTAAAAAAGTCTTCACTGAAAGGATCAGAAAGGTCTTTGCCTTTCTCTGCAGAAGAAACTTCCACTGAATTAGGCCATGATGTGGCCCAATCAGAGGTTCCATCTTGAGTTATCACTTTGTTATCATTAAACTTCTGACCAAATACATCTCCACCAAATGGATCTGGAAATGCCTCTGTTACATTTGAAGACTTGTTCTGTGATTTCTCATTCAAATCTACTCTAGGTGGCAGCGCAGGAGGGGTTTTCTTTGCACTGCTCCTCTTCCCTTGATGTGGAGAGTTTGATGCTGGTGGCCCTGTGGATGTCTGGGGACTGAAAGGGGAAATTCTGGGTGACAAAGTTGAGTTGAAGCTTGCTGGTCTGGCTGGGAGAGGAGGGGCTGATAATGCAGGGCGTGGTGGAAGAGGAGGAGGGACAGTTGGAGAGATGGAACGTTGGGAGATTGAAAAACTTGATTCCTGGATATGGGGCTCTGAATTTCCATCTTTTTCTTTCTTGACCTCTTCCTCTTTGGTGTCTGAGGGTGGAGATTCTTCATTTGCTAAGTTTAAAGCACTGTCCATCTGATTCATTACCTTAGTTGTGTCCTTGTTTTCACTAGCCCCCAATTCATTTGAAGCATTTTCTGCACCAAATAAAACATTTTCACTAAGTTTACCGATTTCAGGCTCTGAGCTTTCATCACTTTCCTCAATATCTGCCTTCTTCTGGTTGTCTGGACCTTGAAAAGAAATCTTCAGCTCTTCAAATAGATCTCCAGGTTGATCACCAGATCCCAGAGTATCCGAGACAAGTGTGTCACTTTCAGATTTTGATGCAGGCGCAGGAAGTGCTTCATCAGGAGGAACATCAGCTTGTAACTCTGACTGTACATTAGACACTGAGCCACCTAATTCAAAATCATTAGAGATAGCATGCTGTGATGCTGGCTGATCACTTTGCTGTGACACATCAATTGGACCAGTACTAGACTCCACAGTTGATGAAACACTAAAAGGATCACCAAATGGTGATTGGTCAAACTGCTCATTGCTTCTATCTGCAGCCATTCCACCAAAGGCATTATCCCACGAGAAAGGTTCCTCTGCTTGGTTGGAAGATTCTTTTTCAGCTGCCACAGCTTCACCAAAGGTATCATCCCAAAAAACTCCAGTTGAAGTTACAGGGTCAGCTTTTGGCAAAGTTTCAACATCCTCAGAAGTAAAACTTTCCATCCAAGAGAACTGTCCTTGTGTTGTAGTAGTGCTCTGAGTTGTTTCTGGTTGGGAAGTTGTGTTTGTATCTTCAAATGCATTGTCCCAAGAGAAACTTACAGCTGCCTTTTCAACAGTTTTATCTGACCTCTCAGAGTCAACTGTTTCCTCATCACCATTGTCTTCTTGACTTTGATCTTGGACACTGGCAGAGTTGTGTTGTTGTTGAGCACTTCCAAAGGCAGTGTCCTTATCTTGAAGACCACTTGAGGCAGCAAAGGGTCATAACAGGAGGGGTTCTCTTTGTTATTTTTCAGCTCAGCCTTGTCAAATGATGCTTCGAATGTTGCAAATGATTCAGTGAACAAATTATCACCAGTAGGCTGGGCTATTTCATTCAATCTTGTGGACCCATCTGATGGTGCAAAAGGGTCTGAACTGCTTTCTAAACCACTTGATGTCTCCAAAGTTGATGGCATCTCTATTTGGTCCTCTCTCTTAGTATCAGTAAGAGGGGGGAAAAGAGCTACTTTGTTTTCAAGGCTTCCACTTTCTGGTGCCTCGTCTCCTTCCTGTCCATCATTGTTACCAAAGGAGGGAGTCCACACATTTGTATCATCAAAGTTAGTTGCAAATTCAGCTTGAGATCCTTCATTAGGACCCATCTGATTCACCAGAGAACCACTCCTTGAGTGTCCACTCTTAGTGTGTTGAGAATGTGTCTCTGATGATCCAGAGGACACTGAACCACTTCTCACTACTGATATGTCAGCTGATGCCGCAGATACTGTGTCTGCTGCTCCTGATTCACCTGCTGCATGATCAAACACAGAGGAGCTGAAGAATGCCAAGTCAGCACTGGTGCCATCATGGGCAGGAAATGGTGACTCCATGGATACCTGTGAAACTTGATCAGGATCCTGCAAAGGCAAAATATTTCATTAGAAAACATCATTAAGGAAGCAAGCAGGATGGTTCAGTGGTGCATGCACTCTCATTTGATTGTTGTAGACAGGGCTAAACTATACACCTAGCAACACAAGTGGGCCAAGTTTGCTATTGGGTAACTTAGCAGACAGTTTTTCTCAAAGTTCACCCTTTTTCCCTGAAAAAAGACTAAGAATCCAAATTCCAATTGAATCTCACATCAGTGGTCAAAGAGCCAGTATATGGATGTTCTACTACTAACCTTTCAATGCTCTGCAAACCAAAACAATTGCTATTTCCATTCTCCCCATTCCTTATGGCTATTTTGACTTTAAGCCTTTGTAAAAGTTGCAGTGCCTGTAAAGCATTGTGATAAATACCTTATTCATGAATGCTGGACTGAGAAGAGAAGAGGAACTTGGAAAACCTGTTGAGGGTGCTGCCTGTAAAGAATAATGTGAAAGTCAAATTACACAATTACAGACTGCTATAAAAGTACTGCAAGTGTTGTCATAACACATTTTGCACAAAAGATACACATTGCCAACAGCAAAACCTCTCCATAAAACTAAGATCTTTTTTTCTCTTCTACAATCAATATGCCAGTCCTAGATACTATCAAAGTCTATGCAAAAATTTAGTAATCAACTATTCAAGAACCAAATTATAGTAAATTCTAGTCAGAGAGATTCAAACAGTTCCAAGGTACTGAATGTCACATTAGTCAAGAGGAACTTGACCAGATTATCTCTTAAGCCATTAGATGAGCTATTCATGAATTGTGAGTGTAAAGGCTAAATATCATCAAACCAACCTCAGTTCCCTCTCTGTCACTTTCAGAAGGAGGTTCTGAAAGTTTTGGCTGAACAGGTGGAGTCCTTGGAACCTAATGATACATGAACAACTCAGTCAGTTATCTTATCAAATCCTGCATTCTAATAAGCTAAGCAAAAAACAATGATTTTGACCAAGTAGATCAGGGACCAAGTTGTCCTGTATGCCATATTTACTACAAAAATAAAAAAAACTGTTCTGAAATATTTGGGTAGTTTCTAAGTTAGGGAGCATGGTGAGTGACTAGACCTTGTATACAATCTGCAGATTCCATATTGTGCAGCTCTGGTTAATATTTAAATCCATCCCATGGGAAGTCAACAAATGCAAATTCAAATGAGGAAGTGTTGCAAAAACAATATTATGGAACAAGACTAATTCATGTTACTGTGTACAGCTAAGATTTCTTGCCTCTGATTGGCTTTTTTCTTAGAAACACCCATTCCACACATCTTTCCTGTGTTTTCAGTTTCACTAATAATTTTTTGAGTCTTCTAAGCATTCAGATTGTGCACCAATAGCTTTTCTGAAAATTATCCTCCCCTGACTAAGAATGACTTATGTTCACTGGCTCATATTTTATAATGTGAATCTTGTTTTTATTTTTCACCTGGATATTTGTTCACTGGCTCATATTCATGATCAACTGTAAGCTGCATTCATTATTGACTTTCAATCTGGGTGTAGCTTGTCAGTTTTATCTTTATTTCAAAAAATTGAAACCTTTCAGTAATTTTGAGAGATAAGGCACCTAAATAAAAAAATAACAGCTCTTGCTGATAAGACTGGCATTTTCTTTTTTTAAGTCATTTTTTGGTAAATACCAGATCCAGTTTGTTCTATACTGACAATAATCAATATAAGACTTAATTAAAGAAAACAATTCCATGTTGGCTGTGAAGTGAGTAGCAAGTACTTATCACCTCCAAGCAGCCAAAGAGACAAAATTGCATGTTGATCAACAATTTCATTTCTGACCATCTCTTGGTATATTGACAGAAATGAACTTTTTTTTAAAATCTGTGTGGATTATACCAAAACAACTCTTTGCATTCATTGAATATAGACTTTGGTAAAATCATTATTCACCCCTTCAGTGAATAAGACTATCTTTTGACCAAATTAATATCAATCTTAAATGACACCATAAACAATTCAAAACTAGTGAGTAAAGTTATTCCATGCACCTCATAAATTCCTTCTTGTGAGCTTGGACCTGAAGGAAGCAATAATAAAAATCAAAATTGTAATTATCATAACTAAATTACCATTATCATTTTATGAGCTACACATATATAATATTAACTGTCTTACTCACAATGAATCTTGATTTGAAATAGAAACAATTACCCCTACTTATTACACTAATCAATATAGAAAGTAAAAGATAAAAATACAAAGAATTTTACCATTTGAAACCTGAGAAGCATTGTTTGGAACCTTTTTTGTTAATCCAGCCTCTTGTCGAAGTCTAAATACAACTTGAAACAATTCATACAAAGTACCAGTGACAGTCCCTGCCTGAGAAGAATGAATTATGAAACATAAGGAAAGTGATTGCAAATCATGACAAAGTTTCCATGAGGTGAAGTGAATTTTTGGAGATGTAAGACTTCAGTAAATACTTGTGAGCAATAATGAACGTACAGTTTATGCAGAATTACCTGATCACACTTGTCATCTTTCACAAAAAGACTTTTATCACATTGGATAAAATATTTGAAAATTGGGGGATATCACTTGGCAAATATCACCAGTTATGATACTTTTTCTCTCACACGATTGGTCTAAATGCATTAGACAATCACATATGCCCCAGCTAAAACTCTGGAATATTGGGGAATATTCCCCAATTTCAAACCTTATTTCTTATACGAGAAGAATCTTTATATATAAAATGCGGTGTTATACTAGATACAGTGCTATACTTGATACCTAACTTCTTCTCTGTGCTCACTTGTGAGTCATGAAGTTGAACACTGCAGAAATTCCATATCCACAAGCACCTATTAATTATTCTCTGATTGTTTTAAAGTTAATTCAAGATTAACATAGTATACTTACAGGCTTTTCAGACTTAATAGCATAAAGTTTATGTCCAGTAGTACAGGGCTGACTACACACATATCCAAATACTTTCTTGTCTTCTGGGTCATGAGTGATAAATGATATCTTATTGATTGGATGTTCATGCTGCACTTTCTGCAAAAACATACCAAAATGATTTCAATTCTACAGACTAACATCATGTTTGTTACTCAGACAGAGTGAACATCCATAAACTTATCCCATGCCCTTGATGTTATTGTCTTGTTATCATCTTGTAGTTGACCTTAATGAATATTTATGCTTCAGACACCATATAATTTTTACCCCATCATTACCATAAATACTTAAAATTCCCAGGTTTTAGATGGTAACATAACCATCTGAAAATTGTCCTCAAATATTGTTAAAAATTAACTTTAGAGACTGCCAATTTTAACTAGGTGACAGCCTGACGAGACTCATGACACTGTATTTGTCCCTGTAGCTAGACATAGACTTACCTGAGTCTTCTCATCCACTATCCTGATTCCTTTCAAAGAGGTATAGAATATTATTTTCTGCTTGTGCTCCCTGCTTTCTTTATTCAGCTTTAAGGCTTGCGCCTGGGTTAGAAAATTTAAGTACAAAATAATGTTATCAAATATTATGCAAACAAGCAACAAAAAAACCAACCATTACCAAGAGAAAGGTTTATAATAAATGTACTTGAAATACACAAAGAGAGGACCAACATTTTGGTGGCAATTTTATCACCACAGTCTATACTAGAAAAAAGCTTTGCAGGATTTCCACAATACAAAAAAAATATGTCCCACAAGACTTACGACTGGGTGTTAAATGGGGTGCAAAAAATTGATATGATAGCTACAATACTTTTTTTAAACTTCATAGCTGTATCTTACTGTCTCAATTACAATTTTCTCTTTTTAGTTTACACACTTAAGAGACAATACAGGTACTGGTATATTCGAACCCTTGTTATGGTAACCCTTTTCTTGGAACCATCTCTTGGAAAAGGGTCCCTTAAAATTTAAGAAGGGGGGCCATTGGGCCTTCTTTAGCCAATTTCTCAAATAAACCCTGATCAAGACAAAAACTTTAGGAAATACATAATAATGAACTATAAATTTTCGCTCCAAAGAAACCTTATAAAATTTGTCCAAACAGGCAAAAAAAAAAACAAAAAAAGAGTGAGAAAGGTTTATAAAACAAAATTGTGAAAAGTTACAAAGAAAGGACAAACATTTGATAGTATTTTTCTAAAGATGGAAACTGTGAGAAATAGACTACTTGCATTAAAATAACATAAAAGTTATAGTTACATCTAACCAAAAAAGAAACTATTTTCCAGATAATAAGAATGCACTGGCATCGTGATCACCATCTGAGTTTGGAGAACTTAATACCTTCTTAACAGAGTCTCTTAAACCAAACCTAACTAATCACCAATCGGAAAAACCTCTGATAAAATAGAACAAAGTAGCTTGTTAGAACTCAAACTGAGTGAAAAAAATAAATTATTGGGATAACCATGACTATAAACTATGCATTGCCATGGCAGTTAAGCCTGTTTTGGTGCCAAGCTGCTTCACCCAACTTGGCTGTGGTTTATTTTTAACTTCCCACTAACAATTGTTCTAGTAAGTTGAAATTACAACTCAGATGGCAAATCACTAAAAAATAGCAGAAGTGTTTGGCCACAGTGGATGAACAAATGTATTTTTTCTTAGTTCTTCTCTAGAGTTGTAATCCAACAGCTACATCAGTCAATCAATGAACTCAAATTAATCCACCACTCACAGACTTGATTATAGTCACCATGGCACCACTTTCATTCAAAGCTGGGGATTTCCCCAAATGGAAGAATTTGGTACATTAGACAAAACCTAAAGCCTTCTATTACACTTCTGTCAAAGATTGTAAATAGTTAAGTGTTCAAAGATTGGAATGGGAAGCCCATGTAAAAAAAAACAGTTGTTTTCTCAGAAATTGTTGTAATTATAAGTAAATTATACTAGGACTTCTTGTTGTCCAATTCACTCAGTAACCATATTTGAGATTAACAAATCAGAATCCAGTTTTGCTGTCATCCAGTTCTGTTAGTCACTTGTATGATTACAGACTGAATTTGATTCACCTATTACTATTGGCCCTGTTACCAATTCTTATTATTAACTAACAACTTGTGAGAAACAAGATTGTGATGAAAAGATTTTGTCTTTTCTTAATGACAGAAACTGTGAATATGCAAAAACACACGTGAATAATGTTCACTTCAGATAGATGCTAAACACTAAGTAACTAAATGAAATTAAGAAACAGTTAACTGAAAACTGAGCCTGTATAAGACCAATCAAAAACAAGATTTCCATGACTGATTACAAACATGGGCATGTGTAGCATACAAGGGCTATTTTTTTGGCTGGGCAGGTTGAGATGGGACACTTTGTGTTACTTTCAAATGGACAAAAAATATTGCATTACTTCACCTTAAGAGAAAGGGAAAAAAAAACAAATTTATCAACACTTATCAAATTAGCCCAAAATTTATGGTGTATGTCATTCTTTGTGCACAGCCACCTGATTCCATTACATCATTTGCAAGAAAGCTGTGATATGATTGGCGCAAGATACATACCCTAATACAGCAATCTGATTGGGCAAGATACATACCCTTATGCAGCAATCTGATTGGTGTGAGCAACATACCACTATACCCACTAACATAGAGGTTTTTTTTTTTTTGTAAAAAAAAAACTAAAAAATTGAAGATACTTTAAGTAAAGTTGTATGCATCACAATTAAAATGAAACACTACCAACCTTTAAGTTCTTGATGGCCTCTGCACACATTGCATCACCTCTCGCATTGTTTACATCTGTTGTGCCTACAAGCTACAAGAAATAAAGACAACAGCTATGAAACAATTGTACATATTGAAATGTACATCACCTTTTCTCTGTTTTCAAATTTGTATCATTGTTCTATCGCAGATCTGTTGAACGTTACTATACGTAAAATAATATAACAGTGAAATTATAGTATGCTTCTAACAAACATCGAACTGACGCGTTGGCGATTCACAGTTTTAACTATTTGCTTTAAATCGTGAAGGAGAAGACATTGAGGAACTTACCTTGCACTTGAATTTTACTCCTTCTCCTCGGAATCGATGGTCGTTCAGCTGAGGTTCTTTACCTGGTTATTAAGAAAAAAGAAAAGAAAAACAGAGAGATAGATGGTATCGAATAGAAAAAGATATTTCAATCTTTCGCTAACGTTTTTCATGGACGTGGATCACGCAATTTGAGCGGGAGGGCGGTAAGACTGACTGGAATGTCATACATGGTTGAAAACAATAAATTTACATTTCATCCTGGTGAAGTTTAGATGTCTCTCAACAGCACTATTAAACAAAATTTACTTACCAATTGGCTCCAGGTTCATTATCTGATATCGAATTTCATAACAGACATAAAAAATGTCTTACCTTTTGTAGAATTGGCCTTTGGAGCAGCTTTCTTGCTCTTGCCTTTGGGAAGTTTCTCTCCGGAAGACATGATCGCAAAACCTGGAGTTGTAATAACCACAACTCAGCAAAAACTAACCAATATCTCGTAACATATGGCAACCATAAACCTCATGAGGACACGGCGGTGAAGAAATCAAAGGGAAAACTACTCATTAACTACATTCCTCCTCAATTCGCGGCCATTTCCCCACTGTTGCAGGCCAGTCGAATTGGCCTGTGGGGAGAGGTGCCAAGAGCTGAAAGGACGAATCAATAAGGAATGAAAGTTTGAGAATTGATTTGAAATATCGATAATGTAGAACCATACATAAGGTATATAACTTTGATTCAGAGGGAAGCAAAAATCAAAGGACTAAAAGATAACTAAATTAGTAGATCAATATTTTTTAAACTCCCTTCTCCACACCCCCACAAAAGAATTTTATGCCAACGGTAAATTTATGACGTGCAAGCGGTATTCCCCAAAAATCCAACATGGCGACTGGCGGGAAGGTTGATATCTCTCAACTTCGTAACCTTGTTCGACAATATATAGACATGCATTTGTACAAAACGGCTTTATTTTGGGCAGATAAAGCTGTATCCCTGTCTAATGGAGACATCCAAGATGTTTACTGGCTTGCCCAAACTTTATTTCTTACTGCTCAATTCCATCGAGCTTCGCACGTTTTAAGGAGCCGAGGAGGTGTTCTTCAAACGAGCCTCGCTTGCCGCTATCTGGCTGCCAAGTGCCATGCAGAATGTAAGCAGTGGAAAGAAGCTCTGGAAGTCCTGGATATGGAGCAAAAAGAGCCGGCAGACAAGGATCTAGCGGAGATTTGCTTTGTCGGTGGAACGAAAAAGCTCGAAAGTGCAGTTTGTTTGTTGAAAGGAGTCGTGTATGAAGCTATGGATAACCGAGCTTTAGCCACAGATTGTTTCAAAGATGCGCTCAAAAATGACGTGCATTGTTTTGAAGCGTTTGATCTGCTTGTTTCTCATCACATGCTGACCGATAAGGAGGAACGAGAGTTGCTGTCTTGCCTGCCTTTCTCAGAGCAATGCATGCCTGAAGAGGTTGATTTGTTGAAGTTCTTGTACGAAGGCAAGGTGAAGAGGTACTGCAAACCTGTTGACCCAAAGCTGCCTCCTGGTTTGGAAACCCTGTACGACAACCTGGATGTAGTTGCTGGAATGGCTGAGCGGCACTTTTACAACTGCAGTTACTATCAGTCATACAAGATGACATCTGCTGTCCTGACGTCTGATCCTTATCATGAGGCTTGCTTGCCCATTCATATCACCTGCCTGGTAGAACTGAAGAAAACGAATGAGCTATTCTACCTTGGACATAAGCTTGTTGATAACTATCCTCAAAAGGCTGTCGCTTGGTATGCAGTTGGCTGTTATTACTATGTCATTGAAAAGTATGAGCAGGCTAGGAGGTACTTTAGCAAAGCTACCAGTATAGAACGAGTTTATGGACCAGCATGGCTTGCATTTGGGCATGCTTTTGCAGCAGAAGGAGAGCATGATCAAGCAATGGCAGCTTACTTTGCAGCTTCTAAGCTAATGCCAAGATGCCATCTGCCTCTTCTCTACATTGGCCTGGAGTATGGAAAAACCAATAATGCAAAACTGGCTGAGAGATTTTTTGAACAGGCTTTAATTCTTTCACCAGATGATCCTTTTGTGAAGCAAGAGATGGGCGTGATTGCCTTTCAAAATGGAGATTATCTTTCAGCAGAAAAGAACTTCAAGGCAGCTCTCCAGAAAGCACAGATCACTAGCGGGGAAGTTCTCTCAGAAACTTGGGAGACACTGCTCAGTAACCTTGGCCATGCCTGCCGCAAGCTAGGGAGATACCAAGAAGCATTACGATACCACAAGCAAGCACTTGTTCTTGTTCCAAACAAGGCTTCCACTTTCTCTGCCCTTGGCTTTGTCAATAGCCTCTTAGGAAATCACCATGAAGCAATAGGCTATTTCCATAAGGCACTTGGTATTCAACGAGAGGATACTTTTAGTGTTCACATGCTAGGTGAAACTCTTGAACAGCTAACAATTGAGGTCAACACAAAAGTGAAAGAAGACAATGATATTAGGATGGAAATGGATAACAGATCTGATGAGGAAAGTGACTGAGCAATACGGGGAAGAAGATTGTTTATCTAACAATACAACAATGAACTACTCAACCACTGTATTCACTTATTTGCTTAACAGATCAAACATATATATTAAAGTTCACATGGCAACCAGGTGGACAATCAGACATAGTTTGATGCTACACTGGTTTGCTGATTTAATGAATGTAACTGAAGAAGTTACAATTCATAGACCCAACGTTTCGACACTCCTGTCTAGTGCCTTCATCAGGTGTGATCTAAACGCTCCAACAAGAGGTCCTTTTATATGATCACTAATTAGCGGCCTTTTTTTCTGACAAAGTGTAAATAGGCGTCAGGAAGCAAACCATCATCGTCACGATTTAAAGGAGCGTGGGTGGAGTTAATATGCCAAGCCTCCAAACAAAGGCGCTGGTGGCAACACCGATTAGTGGTGATAATTTTAGAATTATCCCACCCAATTGTATGGTTAGTTAGGCATGTGTGCCCTGATAAAGCTGAATTTTCCTTGTTGCAAAGGAATACCACTTTTTGGTGCTCTTTTAACCGTGTACCAAACTGACGTTGGTCTGTCTCATGTATTCATTGTCACAGTCATTGCAAGGAATAGAATAAATGGCGTCAGTTCGTTGTTCTTTCATGACAGGATCCTTGGGTTTGGCGAAAATATGCCCCAAAGTCTGAAAAGGTTTTTGAACAACTTTAAAGTTTTTTGTATAGCCATTTGCCTCTAGGACATTGGAAACATATTTCCTCTCCTCAACCTTCAATTGGGTGGGATACTTCTAAAATTATCACCGCTAATTGGTGTTACCACCAGCACCTTTGTTTGGAGGCTTGGCATATTAACTCCACCCATGCTCCTTTTACATCAGGACAATGGCAGTTTGCTTCCTGACGCCTATTTACACCTCGTCAGAAAAAAGGCCACTAATTAGTAATCATATAAAAGGACCTCTTGTTGCAGCGTCTAGATCACCCCTGATGAAGGCACTAGACAGGAGTGTCAAAACGTTGGGTCTATGAATAAATAATATAATTGTAAATTCTTCGGTTACATTCATTAAATCTGCAAACCAGAGTAGCTTCAAACTATGTCAGATCAGACACATGTTAAGAATGATATTTGAAACAGTTTGCTAACAAAGAGAAACAACACCACCTTGGAAAGGTGATTGTGCGCTAAGGAGGGTAATCACAAGGTAGTAATATTGTGAATGTGACAAAAATTTACCATGCTGTGGTTGGCTGGCGTGTTTTACATGACATGTGATGCAACATGCTATACTGTCAGTCCTCTCTAATATGAACACTGAAGGTAAAGAGCAAAGTGTCTGTCCCAGCAAGGTCACCACAAATTAATGGCATCTACTTTACAATTTCACTGGAAGTTTTAACATGTTTAGTACAGTGCTCTCAATAAGACCTGGCACCTGCCAGAGCTCCAGCGAGTATTCTCTTGTGAATCACTAGGTAAACTTTGGAAGCTTTTAAGTAAACTTATGAAGTGAGACCTAAAACACCTCAAGATCCTCTAGAGTTCTTTCAGTTGACTTTTAGCATTATAAACAAGTTTTGATTAAAATGATTGATATTGTCATATAATGTATTCCAGTGTACATTTCATAAATTTCCAAGAATATACTGGCTCAAATTTGAACAGTGACCATATTTCCTTTCAGAGCACTTAAGTGTGAAATTCATGGAGCAGGTTTACAAGTCAGCTAAAGGTAGATTTTGACTGGAAATAATACAATCAGTTAAACAATTGTTATGAAGGAGACAAATATGTGATGATCATCTACAGAAGTTTAACACCGAAAACTCTGTTTGAAGCCATTTTATTCTGATTGGAAGTAATTAGATAACAAGAGGGAAATTGTTGTTCATGTTATCCTCCAGTGGGTGCTTTACCGAGGTGACCACCTTCTTCAAATCTTATTGAAAGCACTGCTAGTAAGAAAAAACAGGTACACACAGGGATCTTAATGTGCAAACATACAGTATTGAGACACAGAAGAATGAAACCAACTTCAGAATAATGTTGCACCTAGAAGACCAACAAGAGAAATTTTCTGTAGTATTAAAGTATACTGAAGGAGTGGCTCACCTGTAATTTTTTGCCTTTGTTAAGAGATCAGTGGATGGTTTTTTTCTAGAGTATTATGGGGAGGACATTACTTAACATGTGAATGTGCAAGATTATGAGACAAGAAAGGGTTTTTTCTTGCTCATAGCATAAGCTATGGAAACCAATCTTGTGTTTTTTTAATTAGAAGGCATAGTTATTTTCTAGAGGATTATAGGGAGAACATTACTAAAGATCATGTGATTGTGCAGATTATGAGACAGGGAAAGGTTGTCTTGTTCTCAGAGTAAGCTACAGTTGCTGTGAAAAACTGATCTTGTGTTCTTTAATAAGAAGGCAGTTGTTTTTAAAATAGAAAGCTCATTAATTATGTAAACTTCTGATTATAGAAACACTGAGGTATACTGAAATTTATACTGTTCACAGTTTGTTTGATTAGGTTTGTAAGCACAACATCAAAACAGGTAAGCAGCAAAGTGGATTATCTAGATATGCATTTTTTCTCCCTGTTCATTAACTAAGGACCCACCCCTTGACCTGCAAATAACTGTCTACAAATTCATGTTGCTCACAAGCGAGAACAAACTGTGTTTTACAGCAAAGAATATTCAGCTCATGAGTAGATGTCTTTCCCTTCAGTGGAAAATGGCAGATCACTTGTATAAGCTATTCGATTTGCAAATCTCAAAACACCTTATAATGAAGGCAAACCCCATAAACTATTGAACAAGACCATTGCAAAATATTCTGATTTGTTAGTAACACACCCATCCACTGTTTGCCTCAGTCTTCCTCCATGGTAAATCATCAGTCTGCCATTACGAATTCACTTTATTTTGCTTAACCATGTCCAAAAATTGTTGATTTGTTGATGACATCTGAGTGGAGGATAACATTTATGGAAGCACTCCCAAAAAACAGAAGTCAACTATCAGGATTGAGCTTTGTCTTAAACAATAACCTCACTGAATACAAGGTAATCCAAGTTAGCAGTTACTAATAGAGGTGCTGTACACAGTTTATGAAATAAAACAAAAGGGTCTATCAAGGAAAAAAAGTTGAGATTAAAGAAATGAAGATACTTTTCAATACCTCAAAAATAATAGAGGGCCTTTGTATATTTCACTGTCTTATTTTAACTCAGATTTCCATTAAATTTTTACAATCATAATAAACACAACTATTACCTTTCAGAACATTCAGTGGATACTATTTTGCTATGATTCTCTCAGCTGCCCTTAAACCCTAATATGCTGTACAATAAGTTCATGGAGAGGAAATTTCTGTCCTTTCAAGAGCTTAAAAGAAGAAAATAATTGTTGAGAGATATGTGGAGTTGATATATCAAACTTAAATGCCTCCCAGTTGGTTTTCATTTAGGGTGGGGTGGGTGGTACTCAACCAAAAACACCTAAGGATATGACCCCCTTAGATCCAAATCCTTATCCTTCATAGGCCAATTTTAATAAAAACGATAGCCCTTTGATATAAAAAAAGAAGAAGAAACCCTCCAAACAGTGGTAGAAAATTGAGTTACAGTAAGTTACATCCCTTTTATTCACATGACTGATGACTGGCTAATCCTCATTAACCAAACAGGTCAAGAGAATAAAAAAATTGGAGGGGGGGGGGGTGGGGGATGGGGTGGTACTCAACCAAAGACACTTAACCCTTTCACTCCCAAGATCTAATTAGTAATTCTCCTTACTATCTGCCATACAATTCTTATGATGTTAGTTCAGAGAATTTGGTATTGGATCAACTTATCATCCCATGATTGACATTCTTCTCTATTCTCATCACTTGCCTGCTTGATATTGTATTGATATTGTAAGGAGAAATTCTGTCTTGGTCTCTTGTGGGGGTGAAAGGGTTAAGAATGTGGTCTTTTAGATCCAAATCCTTATCCTTCATCGGCCACTTTAAACCATAAAGATAGCCCTTTGATTTAAAAAAAAAAAGAAAATGGAGTTACAGTAAGTTACATCCCTTTTGTTCGCAAGACTGATAACTGGCTAATCCTCATTAACCAAACAGGTCAAGAGAACAACAGAAATTGTCTGGGATATCATTTGGATCTGACCCCCAAATAGTCAGGACTAGCCCAAATAGAAATTTATTGACACTGATTAGTTTGCTGAAGGCAGTTAAGGCTAAGCATCCCTGGGCAAGCATATTTAGAAACCACCCTCCCCTCCCCCTCAAATTCCACCCGTGGAAGGAGGGTTTCCTGGACTACATACAAGAATATCAGCATGGGTCCTTTGCGCTGTCTACGTGCTCGTTTCAACGGTTCATTTTATATTTCTAACAATTCTTCGGCAGTGAGCAGTTTTCATTTCTTGCATTGCGTTTTCCAACTCTGAAGTAAGGTGAATCAAGTTCACTGGATCAGTTTGAAATATGTCTGCGGACTTCTTCTCTCCCTGTTTTGTATGCAACCTCATAAAGATCACAGGGTTTGTCTGATGCTGCAGTGACCTGCTGGCAAGCTCTACATCGAATCTCCATTCCAGGTCGTGGTAATGTGGGGTTCGCAAGCTCATCTCTCCCAAGATGTTCCTAATTTCTTTGCGATTTTCCAAATACATCTTCAACAATGCACCGATCATTTCTTCGGAGAAACCAAGTGTCATGATGGAATCTTGAAAATCAATTTCGCCGACCATCAAGCGAGAACTCTCTGTGAAGACATGCTGTAAACCACTAATTCCATTTTTCACGGTGTCCACTTCAACAGCGAGCTTTTGAGCGGCCGCTTGGAAGATTTTGGGATTCGAAGAGCCTTTGAGAATAGAATCCAGGGATATTCGGGCAAACTCAAGGACCACATCGAGTTCCAAAGATGTTAAGAACTTCAAATGTTCTTTTTGCTGCTCAGAAAGAATAAGAAGCATAATAATCCTAGTAAGCGAGACAAGCAATGACAGAATCTGTATGGAGGAAAGGAGTGTAGACTGAAAGCAGGTTGAGGATTCCTGGAAACTAATCAACTTGGTAGCCAAGCTTTACATTCATTATGGCGGACGATGTCTAAAAATTGCACTTGCTTTTCCGACGAAATGGCCTCGGTCAATACGTTATCAGAACTGTTAGAAAACTTATCAATCGAAGCGAAAGAACTATATCTTAGTTCAGAGGTGTCAAGGCTTGGAAAACCTCCGACTCCCCTGGAATTTGTGAGGGACTGGGTGAGCCCTAATGTTCCAGTTATCATCAAAAACGCGTTCAATCATTGGCCAGCGCTTAAAAAATGGAATTGTGATTATTTGAGACAGAAAATTGGACACAAGACCGTAACTGTTGCGGTCACACCCAATGGATATGCTGATGCGGTAGTGGGAGATAGGTTTGTCTTACCAGAAGAACGGGAGATGGAATTCTCCAAGTTTGTAGATATCCTTGAAGGAAAATCTAAAGAAAGAGGGATATTTTATGTGCAGAAACAAAATTCCAACTTAACGAGCGATTTTAAAGAATTATGCGAAGAAGCAGCATGTGATGTACCTTGGGCAACCCAAGCATTTGGCAAAAATCCTGATGCAGTCAACTTTTGGATGGGAGACAAAAGAGCAGTCACCTCGATGCACAAAGATCACTATGAAAACTTGTATTGCGTGATTTCTGGTGCTAAAGTTTTCACATTGTTACCACCAAGTGATCTGCCTTTGGTTCCTTATGAATTATATTCACCAGCCAGATATAAAGTTAACAATGATGGAGTATTTGAAATTGTTGATGAAGTTGATGAGAACTTAACAAAAACAGCACCAAAACAAAAAGTGCCCTGGATTGCTGTTGATCCACTGAATCCAGATCTGAATAAATATCCGAACTATGCTAAAGCTAACCATGTCGATTGTGTAGTGAATGCAGGGGAGATGCTATATCTACCTTCCTTGTGGTTTCATCATGTTCAACAATCTCATGGGTGCATTGCAATCAATTTTTGGTATGATATGAACTATGATATCAAGTACAACTACTACAAATTTGTTGAGGCTGTGGCTGGCCTTGCCAACAATCATTCGTAAATTTTTTTTTCTGCTGGGAAGCAACGGCTCACTTTTGACAACTCATACAAATTCAGAGGCCCTTCATTGGAAATTATCCTATCATGATAGGTGAACATTTTTGTTGATTCTGCTCCAGCACAAGTCTGTCATCGGCATCAGTGGGCTGAAAAACAGATAGAGTTTGACTGATTCTAGGTATTCTTTGAAACTTGGAAAATCTTGTTGAAATCAAAGTCAGTGTTTTTTTACTTGTCTTAGATGCAGACTTGTCGAATGATCAAGTTGTGACAGAACTGTTTCTCACTGTAAGATAACCTCTCACAAATTGGTTGTTTGATTCAGGTCAACTCTTGCCATCCCATTAGTCCCACAGCTAAGCATATCGTGTATAGCTACAGTGCATGATTTCTACAGGTAATCATGTCAAGTTTGCACACTTTTTATTGCTTGCTCATTTGTATATTTTTACAAGTTTAGAAGTAAATTATCAGTTCCACTTACTGTTGTGACCATTTTTTTTCATTCAGTGTATAATAAAACAATTATTACATTCAGTTTTTGTGATATCCAGATTAAACAAGATCTTGTTAAGGGTTATCAGCCAAAGACTTTGACTTTGGCTGTTAACCCCCACCTTGACCATTCTGGTTATCACAAAAGCGTCATCCAATAATTGTTTATCATTACCAAAGCTTATTCTGTGTGTAGTTCCCTCTGATCAAGGATGTGTTTCCAATGTAAACATAAGTTGTGAGTGATTGAAGAGCTACCTCCCTTATAAGATGCCTTTCCTGAGAACAGTTTAAGTGAGCCAGTGGCATTAGCTCACACCTGGAACTTACCAAAGTTAATTCAAGAGCACTAATTTACATTATTCCCTTTAAAATATTCAGTTGAGATTCTTTGATTTAACTTGACATAATAAATCTTTAACCATGAAATAGTAATGGAAAAAAATAAAGTAAAATGATGAGGTAACCATGCTTGTTTTAACACTGTGTGAAGTTATTTCACATGTTCTCTACTTAATTGCACAGGAAACACTTGAACCTCACATCAGCACTACCACCTCCACCACATACAATTTAACCCTTGAACTCCCAAGATCCGACTGTTAATTCTCCCCTCTAGCTGCTACACATTTATTTGTCCAAGTCTGGTTTTCGATCAAGATGACAACATCTACCTGATGAGACCAAGTATTCTCATTACCTTTTTGCTGGATAATGTATGAATACTATGAGAAGAAGTTACATGTTGATCAACTATGATAGTTAGGGCATTAATTTAGTTTCTTCTTCCGATACAAATTAACAATTAGTCTATTGTTCAACCTGTTTCCCCTATTTTGAATGATACCATTTTGAGAAATAAAAGTACTCCATATGGTTAATTCCATTCATTATACAATCCAGATGGTTTTCATGTCATTATACAAATTCTCAGTTCCCTTTTTAATCTGGGCTTTCAATGCAGGGAAGCACAAATGCCACAACACAATAAGGGAGGAAGCAAACTGTAACACAGTTGTTTCTCATCATTTTTTTTTTTAATAAACAAGAAATTAAATTAGTTCTGGTAACTACAGCAAGAGTAACCACAGGAGATAGGCCTTTCCATGCTAGAAAAAGATTATAACAAATTTAACCCAGCAAAGAGCAAGAGAAGATTACCAGATAACAATTCAGTATTTCCACATTTTCCTCTAAAAAGAAATGATAAATGTATACCTAGATGATGAAGAGGCCTATTTTTTTTTCTGCAAGCTTCTTCACATGTAGCAATTTGATACACCACCTAAATCTCAGTCGCACACCATTTAATTAGGTGTGCTTTGTGGAGATCTTTTCAGTCAATAAAAATGCCTAGATGCATCAGATTCAATTAAAGTTCATCCTTGGCTTTTGTTTCTTCGTCTTCATCTTCTGTTGCACTCTCTTCACTTTCTGTTTCTTCCTTACCCTCCTCTGTTTCATCTTCTTTTACCTCCTCAGATTCTTTGCCTTCTTCTTCCTGCAGAAATGAAGAAAGCAAACAATTAAAGTAACCAATTTTTTATCAACATACTACGGACTTTTTTTTTAGTGTACGTTATGAGCATTTGAAGCTAGGTATTTTTCCCCCAAAGACACATTTGGGCTTTAAAAGACAAGTCACTGTAGCATATTGAAATGAAATTAAAGTTTAATAATAATGAAAAAAGCTATAATTTTTAACTGTTCTAAAATTTTTCCACTCCATCTCATCTTGATTATAAGACGCACCTCTTCCTCTTCCTCATCCTCTTCATCTTCTTCCTCTGCTTTCTTCTTGTCGTCCTCTTCCTTCCTCTTCTTTTCTTCTTCCTCTCTTTCTTTGCGTTCCTTTTCATCCTGCTCATCCTTCATTTTCTTTTCACCTTCCTTGGTTTTCTCAAAAGTTTCCTTTGCAAATTGTTCTGCATACTCCACAGAATCTGTTACAAGGATATTGTCAAAAATGGTTCCAGATTTAACCTGGAATAAGAAAAGGATTTTAAAATAAAAAGCTCTGTTAGACCCCACTCTTTGACAAGTCACAAGTAGTGAACAGAAAACAATTATGGCTTACCTGCCACAGATCAAATCCAATGGCACCAATGTCATCATACTTGTAAAGTTTGTCATCAGGTTGGTATTCAGGGTTGTCAATTTCTGGGTGGATCCACTCTCCCTTGTAGTTAGGATTGTCAATCTGTTTGGGTTTCCATTCTCCCTAGAGGGAAAAAAGGTAGAATAATTAAAACTGTTGAAATTAAAATGAGTACATATGATGATCAGGTCAGTTGCAAAATATCCCTTCAATTTTTGCTAACAGGGTTGTTCACCAACCTTGTAGTCTGGGTTGTCGATCATTGGAGGTTCCCATTCACCATCAATCTCATCATCCCAGTCATCAGGCTTCTTGGCATCAGGGTCAGGGATGTGCTGAGGCTTGTCCCAATCCTGAAGCAGAGAATTCTCACATTAAATTACACTGAGAACAAATGTGCTCAAAAAATAATTCGCTCTTCTTCCCAAAGTAAAAACCAAACTTCCTTCAACATGCAAATAACCTTAAGATTCTATGAATTCTTTTCTATATACCCTTGCAAGTCAGCTACAAAGTGGTAAAAAGATTTTACAAGTTCACAGGGTTACCAGATTAGACACTGAACTCACCTCAGTTAAACCTAACACACAACACTATTAAATTTACCTCAGGTTTCTTATCCTCTGGGTCATCAATCTTCTTTTTATCATCCCAGTCCTCTGGTTTCTTGGCCTCAGGATCTTTTATCTTCTTTGGTGGTAGGAAATCCCAGTCAGCTTCAAGCTCGCCACTTTCAACCTTCTCTCCATCAATACGAACCTCATAGGTGTTATCAGACTTCACAATCAGTGTGTAGAGATGGGTGAACTCATCATCCTGAGAGAAAAATCTGCTGGTTAGACAAGTATAAACTGTTGACTTGGAAGAGAGGTTTTTTGTGAATTAAATTAGCTTGGAAGCAAGTATTTTGAGATTCAATGCATTTGGTGGACAAATGTCAAAGAAACTGAGATGAACCCACAACCCTTGACTAACCTTTGCACTTGCAACTTCACTCATACATGTAACATCCTTTATATCGTGCAACTTGCAATTGGTTTGAACAGATATCTCACTTTTCATTTATCTTTCTCCCAGTTTCCCCACCACAAAATGTATTTTATCATATATATTTATATTTTTTTTTTGTATTTAGTTACCTTTTCACCATCCTTATACATGTTAAAAGTTTCAATTCATTGAACTGACACTTGAATACTATCAAGTTCCTATCTTTTTCACTATTTCTCTATCCTAGCCTTAAAATGCTTTTTTTTGTGTTTTGAGAATTTGGTGCCATATTAGAACAATAAGTCCAAGAGATAAATACTACCCCTCGATTATTTCAGAGTGGAAGGCCAACTAAAATTCTCACAAATGTGAGTTTGGTTGATGTTTTTTTATTTACCTTGCATCTGATGTCTTTCTTAGTCAGCAAGTTTTTCCCTTTGTAGTTAAAAATCACGTGTACTTTTTTGGTGCCAGGTCCACAGATATCAGGTCCTACAATCAGGCAAATCGATAAATACGTAAATTACACTTTAAATCAGTATGAAAGGATTAAACCTCCAAGGAAACTGTCTCTATGCTACGACTTTCTCGAGAAAAAATCCTTGCCAACAACTTACCGAACATAATGTGGTATGGAGTATCGCCATGAATGTTCTTCTGGTCCACTTTGCTGTCATAAACCTAAAAAGCAACGACAAAATGCGAAAAATTATTATAACGTATATGTACCCCCGATAACATACTGATCCCAGCACATTCAAGAACATGTTGCTGTTGGTTTCACCGGGTCCAGCTGTAAATGGGCAGACAAAATAATAAATGCTCTCTACAAAAACAATAAACTTCATTCTCCATAGGGAAATTAAAATTTACTTTAAATATGTACCTTTACGTAACCACCACCACAGTCGATGTTCTGTTCATGTTTCACTTGAAACTGGATCACAAAGGTCTTGTCTTCGTTTGAAAAACTTTCCTCAAACTTGGCCGAAATACCGTAAAATTTAGCATCTTGGCTGGTTTGAATACCTGTAAAAAAAAATCAGATTTGTGTAATATGGTGCCTTGTTTACAAGTTATAAGATTGCTATTTTACGTAATTTAAAAGAATTTCTTTAAATCAGCTTTGCAGCTGAACTATCCAAAAGAAGTCATCTTTGAGTCACGAACATGCACTACGACTGCAAGTGAGGGATGTGCAGATTTGTCATATACCTTTGTCTAAATCTGCATCACCGTAGAATTTTCCAGCAGTCCAAGTAAATTTTCCAGCGTCACTTCCTTTGAAAGTGGATTCCACCCATCTGTCCTGATAACTTTGGTCTGATGGAAACAAAATTTCAGAATCGTTCAGGAATATTGTGTAGGAGCTACCTCCTGCAAAAGAAACGTAAACAACGAGAACCCACCTTCAAATTTCTCTACAAAATAGATTTTTGTCTCCTCTGCTAATACGCATGAGAATAGAGCTAGTACGAGTAAACAACCAAATGCCATGATTTTTTTAAAACCAGACTACAGAAAGTACAACTGAATCGATGACTTCAACTAAATTTCTAACTATGTCAAACGACCATGTGAACAAAACCGTTTTGGCCGGCCTTCTGCGTGGTGAGCTGTGATTGGTTAATTTTCACCATGTGGTACAAATTGTCCAACCAGAAAGCACCACACGTCTCGGCCTCCGTGACTAGATTTAGCTTCCGTGGAAGCGTCACAAGACGCGAATGTGCTTGGGGGACCGTGCAATTTGAAAGAGACAATAAGTAAAGATTATTTGACAAGGAAAAAATGTTAAAATCTTCATTGTAACTTTCGCGTAAATACTTGTGCGTTACGCACAATGAGGTTATGAGAAATTCAATGAAATGTTGTTGAAAGAGTATTTTGACATAAAACTTTATCACCCTGAACACAGGGGGACTTTTGGCACATTTGCCTTATTTGTGTTTTGTATACGTGGAGGTTGAGGCCATTTTGAATATTTTATACAAGAACAAAGACTCTAGACAACACTTTGACAAGTATCTTGATCACGGTGATCACTAATGGCGCGCGAGACATAATGTTTTCGAACCCAGGCTTCTCTGCGCCTCCCGAATGTGAATGTAAAAAGTGTTTCTCTGAACTTTGGTGCAACCGTTCTTGAGGAACACACCCAATCAAAGATTGACTAATCTCTTCACGGGATCGTCTTGAGGTGGTATTCATACATTACAGCGAAGACGAGTTAATATAAAACGCGTCTTTTAAATTATTACAAGCAGCCATTGACAAACGGCTCACGTGTAACGGTAGGTGGGCCGAGGTTGTGTCTGGACGTGAGAGGCCATTCAGAGAAGCGCTAACTGGCACCCGTTAAAAACAAAGGAAACACCATAATACATTCTACACGACAAAACTATCACTTCTCATCACCAAGAAAGCTTTTATCGATGATCTTCGGTGCAGCGCAAAGTACACCTCAATATCAAGACTGTCGTCAACACTTAAGGGTAAGTCAACTGCGATTCCCTGACACACTTTTGCTGGAACGCGTCTTTTGCCATTTACGTTTGGCTTGGTGCTCGATTATTTTTTCGTTTAGCTACAGTTTCCGCACTCAATAAAAAACTGAGTTTATATCTATCAGAAGTTGAAGGAGACTGCGGAAGATCGAGATTAAATAAGTTCGCTCTAAATGAAATAAACACCAGAATTTAGAAGTGGACATTCCACGAGGTGGCTCTCCTTCTCCACTGTTTCCAGGTCGAGTAGGAATTTAGAGTGTTGGTTTTTGTGGAGGGAGGAACTGGAGTACCCTGAGAAAAACCCGACGAAAATAACAGAACCACGTACTAGTGAAAACAATAATTTATTCTTACTCCCAGAATTGACCCTTGTTTTTTACTTGATCTAACAAGTACCACACAGTCAGGATCTTCCATTACAAAAGATAGCGATAAAAGCCTGACGAAGTAGAGTAATAACTGTTCAAGACGATGCAAAATATCAAAAATTTTCAAAGCAGACGAAATTGATCAAAATTAAACTACCAGAAACATTGACATCTTCCTAACTAACGCAAGCCTTGAATATCTATATCAACCTAGACTACAATTTGGGTCAATTTTTCTTCCCCACCCCTGGTTAAGTCTGACAAACAAAAGTCGACAACAAGGGAAACTTATAAAAGTAAAAATTAAAGAGACGAAGAGTATGCTTGATAATCAAGTATTGCCATTTCACAATTTGGGGCAAAGAATGAAGGACTTGTTCAGAAAGAAGGCAAATAAAAAAACGACAAATAGAACATTTAACTTTAAGTACCCTTTGTTCATGTCTAAAAATTTTAGGCTAAATGTAGTTATAGACAAGAAAATACCTATCAAAAAATTTTTTCTTATATAATTATAAATGCCCTGTTCGACGCAAAGCGTGAGGATCAATAATTTAAAATGACACACTGCTATTTACGATCCTGAAAAAAAATAATTTTACGAATTACCTTTCGGAACTAAATTCGATAGGAATGCAGCACGCAAACGTTAAAATTAGAAAAGTGTCTTTTGAACCTAAGCTATTGATACTTTCGCACTGTTCACCCTTTAACCCTTTAACACCCGAGATCTCATGAGTAATTCTCCCTACTGTCTAACATAAAATATTTATGATTTCAATTTAGAGAATTTAGTATTGGATCAACTTGTAGTCCCCTAATTGAGTTTTCTTCTTTATTCTCCTCATTTGTTTGCTTGATTCTGTGTTGATATTGTAAGGAGAAATTCTGTCTTGGTCACTCAAGTTAAAGGGTTAAAACAAAAACGAGGACGATACAATTTCCGAGAGAAAAACATGTTGTCGGCTATACCAAGATTGCAATACAAATTGACGCTACAAGGTGGTGAACTAAAACTATGTCTTGTCAAAATAATTTTTGTTAAAAAAATTACAGTTGTAATCCCCGTGTTTGAGGTAAATAGAGTAACATTGAAGTTTATAGGCAAGAAAAAGGACACAACTAACTAAGAACAATAACTACGATATACCTTTGGAAGATATAACTACGATATACCTTTCCCTGCGAAGTTTGCCTTTATCAAATCCTTAGCAAAGTCTGATATAAGCAAAAAGTTTCTTTTGAGAAATCTAAGAGTTATTTAGCAGCGCACCCTTGAGGGGAAATTTAAGGTTTGTATCTAATCCAGGGTTATAAATCAAAAAGTTTCTTTTGAGAGATCTAGGAGTTATTTAGAGGTGTGCTCTTGAGAGGAAATTTAAGGGTTGTATCCAATCCAGGGTTATGAATCTGAAGAGTGTTCACATGGTAATATTCTACCAAGTCCTTTAAAGTTGGGTAATTGGTGTAATTTGCAAAACCATATCCCCCTGGGCCTCTGTTTACTGCTATGTGTTTGACTTCACCTCCGTGCCTGAAACAAAGAACATTGATAACATCAACATTTACTTATATGAGCCATGAAGTCTTACATGGGAAGCAGAGTCAAATATTTGTTTCATTAATTCGATCAAGAATTCTCCGTAAAAGTAATCTCTCCCAATAAGATCATTCATTAATTCAAACAATCTACAACCGACGGCAAACTTTGACGGCTTGGGATTCCAAATTGACGGCTTGGGATTCAAGACTTCCCTTAGTTTTCTTAGTCAGTTCTGTGAGTCAGACTCCAAACAACCGGAACTTTTGCATGTTTTCGTTTTCGAAGGGAGATATGATTCTGGAGTTTTTCTTTTTACTGATTTACAGTACGCTTTAGGAAAATAGTCTCAGCAAAGAACGCCCTCTTTCTGAGCAAGTATGCATCACTTCGCAATAGGAACGTCTGCTTGTTTCTGATGCATGAAAAGAATTGCGTAGAATGCCGCATGGAGAATGGAAATGCCTCTTCAAATCGAGGACGAGGAGCAAACCACCGAAAGAAAGATTAGAACCATGTTTGTCGACTAAATTTTCCGTACCTTTACCGCATTTAAACACACGGCAAAAGAAAACAAAGTGCAAGCCTTTCATTGCCTGTTGGGTACTTGCGTTAAGTTAACTTACTTAAGACCCACAGCATACTCTCCTCGCCTTCGCGCACTTTCCCTTACGAGGAAAGTACCTTCTTCTTTGTCTATTAAAAGTGATTCTGCTTCTTCCCTGAAGAGCAAAACGAAAATCAAATATATTCCTAAGTAATCCAGTGGTATTATAAACGATTGGAAGCACCCGTAAATAAAAACTTTATTGACATATTTCATATCCATCCCGGTACAAAGGCTCGAAACGCAATAAAATAATGTTTGCTATAGACTATAAGAGGTTAAGATGCGATCATCTCCTAAAGCGAAAATCAATTCCATAATAACATACAACGCTTAAAAATCGTTCAAAAGCTGTCCATGACTGTGAGTGCGAAACGTGATCTACGACCTAAGTGCAAGGCGCGTTTCAAAAAACAAACCTTCTTAAAACTCACGATAAAACATCGGATAAGAAGGGAGGCGGAAATGAATCAGACAAATTCCTGCAGAGTTACCATTTAATCTAAAGCCATTTTAAGATTCAATTGCGTTAAGAAATGGCGTTCTGGAGCCTATGATACTCATATGCACTGATCTGAAGATCTTAAATGATAAACGTGTCCTTAGCCAAGTGATCACTATTGCTCTCATAAAAGCTCTCATAAAATGGCCGCCCCCAATAGAATGAGAAGTCTAACAAACCTGGAAATTACAGTAAAAAGCCGGAAAATCGAGAGAACTCAGCTGACCTTCATGGGAATTTTACATTATTGTTCATATACCAGTCTCAGCGTGTACAGAGAAACACCCGCTTACAAATAACTACTACTAAGTACCTTTAAATTTCAACCATAAGGCGTACCGGTATTGTCTGCCAAATTTACTGGTAAAAGTAAAACAACTATCGACTGAAACACATTAGCGACACAAGAAGTCCCATGGGCAGCTTTTAAATCAGTGAACTCTTCATACCTGGTTAGAGTTCCATGTAACCATTGTTCTTCAGAAATGTCTACTTGAGGCCTAAAAACCAAAACAATAACGGTTTATAATCAATTATTGTTTCAGTCCAAGGTTATGAGGGAAAAGTCACATTTTATTATCTAATTCGTTCCCAGTTTTTGGAAACTCAAGCAGATTATTCTTTCCAAAATGATTTCCCATTCGAACTCAGTGCGAACTCAATGCCAATGACATAAACGATTAAATAGGTTTACCGGTCACGAGCCAAGTTTGAGAAAAATGGAAAATATTCATACAGAAAACATCATCTAAAGCTGTGCTGTCAGGTAACTCAAGCTGAGTATTATTCTCACATTCCTCCAAACCATACAATCTACGCAACTGACAACGAGATATGATTGTACTCAGAATACTGACGAATAAACTGGTTTGTCAGCAGTTGAAACCTAATTAATAAAACCTAGCTTTCACACGTCAAGAAAATCCCCGATGATCGGCATTTTCACTATTTTCCAGTCCCAGATTTTTCCGACAAATGAAAATTCGAAATCGTTGAGATTCGGCGAAAAATCGGGAACGTTTATATCATTTCCGATGCGTCCTAGAATTCGGCGATATCCACGATATATGAAAACTTCAATTTTCATTGAATTTTTTGATAGCTCGCCACCAGTCCCTAGTTGCTTAGCTACAGGACCCCGAGCCACTAATAAAATTGCATGCAGAAGAATCTAAGACAGACGTCTGTCGATATATCGGCAAAATCTACGACGTTCGGGAAACAATGAAATCGTCGATCGTCTGGAATTTCCCCAACAAATGAAAACCAGGCTTACTCTGATCCTCCTATAGCTGCAGGTAAAAACTGATCGTTGCTATGACACCCGACCCTAATTTAGTGCATTAAGTATCAAACAAAAAAACGTCAATCATAACTTACATATCGTAAATGTCTTCTTCAGGGTTGCCATTTACCTGTCCACTGTTTAGAGAATAAAAATCGTGTCAGGCAAAATGCTGCCATCTTAACTATGCACGTTTAAGCAGGAACATACAGAAAACCGCACAAAACGTGACACAACAGAGGAGAGGAGGGAAAGGAGGGAGAAAGGGAAGAAGGGAGGAAGAGAAGGAGGGAGGAAGAGAAGGAGGGAGGAAGAGAAGGAGGGAGGAAGAGAAGGAGGGAGGAAGAGAAGGAGGGAGGAAGGGAAGGAGGGAGGAAGAGAAGGAGGGAGGAAGAGAAGGAGGGAGGAAGAGAAGGAGGGAGGAAGGGAAGGAGGGAGGAATGGAAGGAGGGAGGAAGAGAAGGAGGGAGGAAGAGAAGGAGGGAAGAACGGGAGGGAGGAAGGGAAGGAGGGAGGGATGGAAGGAGGGAGGAAGAGAAGAAGGGAGGAAGAGAAGAAGGGAGGAAGAGAAGAAGGGAGAAAGAGAAGGAGGGAGGAAGAGAAGAAGGGAGAAAGAGAAGGAGGGAGGAACGGGAGGGAGGAAGGGAAGGAGGGAGGGATGGAAGGAGGGAGGAAGAGAAGGAGGGAGAAAAGGAAGGAGGGAGGAAGAGAAGAAGGGAGAAAGAGAAGGAGGGAGGAACGGGAGGGAGGAAGGGAAGGAGGGAGGGAGGGAAGGAGGGAGGAAGAGAAGGAGGGAGAAAGGGAAGGAGGGAGTAAAGGAAGGAGGGAGGAAAGGAAGGAGAGAGGAAGAGAAGGAGGGAGGAAGGGAAGGGTGGAGGAGGGGAAGGAGAGGGGAAAAATAAAAAATGAAAAATAAACTGACATTTTGATCAAACAAACTTAAGTACTTACCTCCTCTCACTTCCTCTATGAGGAGAAAATAGAAATAATATGAAGTTAATTAACACAAACAACTGAATAATCTTAGTTTGTTTTATGTTCAGTTAGTCTCTCCTGGTGTTTCTTCTTATTACTATTGTCTTAAAATATTACTATGAAGTGCTAGCAAATAGCAGAGTGATTTGTATATCATGCCAGCTACCTAGATGAGTCTCTTCAGGAAGTGAGAGCAGAAGAGCAATAACAAAAACGAATCTGATTGAACAAAAGCTTTACTCACTCTTCGCCAATCGCTAGTTTCAACCTCTCCACATCCATTTTCCATTCAGTTGTGAGGACACTACAAATGAAATATCTTTGAGTCACGCTACCGCTTAACGATAGGATATCTAAAAAGAACACTAAAAAAAAAAAGAGGAAAGGGATGATGTTCAACTTACAAGTAGTATTGTTGCTTGCTTCTCTGTAGCTTGATGATGTCTGGCTTGATGCTGTTCATGCGCTTGTTCAGAACGCGTGTTTTTTCGGTAATGTTTGTAAGTTCCTTTTCGAGTGTGATCACAATTCCCCTTGCTTCAAGCTTCTTATGCTTTAATAAATCAAAGTTCTGGCGAAGTCTGAAAAGAAAAGTAACTGTGAATCGCAATCGACCAAGAAGTCGAAGCTTGAGCTAAGTCGAAAGTAGCTTCGGTGTAAGGGTATGTCATCACAGTTTTTAACCTCTGTTACTTAAACTACATACACACACTGTTTACTCACATTGTCCTATTTTGTGGCGGAGCTTCCTTATGGTAAGACTCGTGAAGTACCATTTGATCCTCGATCATCTTCATGATTTCACGTTGCGCATCAAGTTCTTCATGATAGTCGGTAATTTTCTGTAAATAAGATGAGCCAACGAATAAGTTAAGAGAAACACCCCTGACTGTAGGCGATGTTCTTCCATAATATCAAATTAAACTATTTCCTAAATGATTTGACAAACTTCCGAATTTATGGCCGCATCCTTCGACTGGTTACGTGGTCAATACACTCTGAATACCACCACCCACACATGGATGTCATCGAATTTTAAACCCTCCATGCATTATCAACAAAGATTTTGGTTTGCGGAAAGTTTGTACCATCCACATAATCGTTTTCACATGTCCAAAGTTTTCTTTGGCGATTCAAACCATGTTGTGCTACCAGTCGTAATATAACTCATGCTCGCGCGCTTCGATCACTCGCAGAGTTCAAAGCGCCTCCTTGATCGATAAGCGAAAATGTTGACTACCATGAAAAAAAAAAAAGAAGGAGCGAGATGGCCCGGTGTTTTTGCGTAGGTTGAGTTGTCAGCCCACTCCTTCGCCTATGCTCTCCTCAGGGGATTGGGGAAGGAGATGGCTGACACTTCTAGATGAAAATCGCATGGCATCAAGATGGATGCGAGTGGAACATCGATTTGCAAGACTAAATTCGCGCGAAAAAAAAAAAAAACAGTAGAGTGCATTCTCCCTCAAAGGAAACTATAATTCCTGACCTGTTCTAGCTCAACACATTCATTATGTATCTTTTCATAGTTGTCTGATTTTTCCATATATTCCTCGTGCGCTCTTCTCAGTTTTTGTATATAAATATTATTATCCTTGAGAGAGACTTCGCCATCGTCATCCTGTGGAAATGTAACAAATATCACCCCTCTACAGTAAGAAAAAGAATTCACAAACTAGAAGCTTTACTATCTAAGTTAGACCATTAACATAGAGATGTGATTGGATAGCAACTTCTCCTTAAACAGTGAAGCTCGAAGATAGGGGGGACATCGCAGCCTACATGTTGTACCATGCGCTTGTCCAGTACGCGTACGCGTCTGTTGACAGACTAGTCTAAAAACGCGTTTAGACGTATCGTATATGCCGCTGTTATTCATCGCCATACTTTGCTTTGTATGCTACTGTTTTCAATGCACAAAAAAAGGCAGATGATTTTGTCAGAGCGCCGGTTCGTAAGTACGAAATTCGCCAAACAATTTTGAAAACGTCCATAAAAATTATCGTATGCAAATTGTTTAATGGAAAAGTGGGTTAATTTGGAATCTGTTATTCTTTTCTCAACAGTTAACAAAGAAAAAGTTTGTAAGCGTTGATCACTTGCTGGAAGAGTACAGTGGGCGTTTTGACCGACAGACTCGCTTGCTTCTCCGCAAATGACAAACTTCGATGAAAAGTGACACCAATAGACAATCCAGCGAATGGGCGAAAAGCATAGTCACAGCAAATTTCAAACAGATTAGTATACTAGAAGTCCCTATGAGATCAAGGAGCATGACTGATTTTCACTACACGCGTTTTCTCCATTCGTGCATTTTCATTTGTAGAGAACATCTCTTCAAAAAAGGTAAAGAACATTAAATTAACCACAGTTAACCCTGAGTTACATGTACCTGCTCGTATTTCTGGAGAGGTGTTTCGAGTTTGATATCGAGTTTCGGATTGTAAGAAGCCAATGATCTTGTCTTGTAATAATTGATGAGTTCAACCACAGACGAAAATGTAAGCGGCTCTGAGAAGCCATAAAAGCCATCTTTAAACAGGATACGAATCAGTTTGTTCATTCCTCCTTTCCTAAAATTAGAAAAAAAAACAAGGCGGTTAACCACTATCCGTAGATTCACTCCTGAGGTGATAAGAGATCTTAACTCTTAACCCCTAACCCTTTAAGCCCCACTAGTGACCTAGACAGAATTTCTCCTTACACTATCAGTACGATATCAAGAGTATTGTAAATGGAGGGAACTATATTCAAATTGAGCAAAATTCAATCGTCAGACCTCTCGCTAAATCAACCATACTGAAATCAATATATAACATAAATCACATGCCCAGAAACTTTTATTAGCCAACACAGCGATATGAAAATTAATCCTTTTTGAATTAATAGTACAATGGGATTGCAAAATGGTGTCAATAGAAATAATTTACTAATTAAAAACGTACCTGAGCGTCAAGGTATATTCCCCAGGAGCCCGCCGCGAGTCACGGACAATAAATGTTCCATCTTCTTGGTCTTTTAACCTTTCACTGACAGTTTCCCTGAATTCAAAGAAATACAACACAATTACCTTGTAGACCTCACTGAACAAATTGTTAACATCAATGAGGAAAATTGAAAATCTCACCTGTCTGTGTGTCCCCAGTACCAGGGACAGTCCTGAAGTTTTTCTTCTGAGCTGTGAGTAGGAGTTGTCAGCGACGATGGTCTGGGTGGTCTAGGTGGCACTGGAAACAAAAAATTGCAAGATTGATGACATAAAGTAATATAATAATTGTTTGTCACTGATAACATGGACAACGAGGAGGATCCAAAACTGTTCATGATAATAATGACACAGCCCTAATAACCTTTAATTTTCCCATGTTTAACACTATCACTATCTCCAAAAAGTGGAAGGCCAGACAAGTGTGATAAAACACTAATAATTACTATAAATAACTTTTATTGACTTGGTACTGTACATAGATCAAAGGAAAGGAAGAGGCACTCTTCCCCTAGGGAGGAGGGGGAGGGGGTGCTAACTTTAAATCCTGATCAGTGGGACAGGTTTTGACTTGACAGGACCACTCATTTGATGGGAGGGGTTCATTTCATGATTTAAAGTATCACAAAGATTAAATGCCAATAATAATCATTTTCATGTACCTGGTGGTGTATTTTCCTTTGTCCATTCTCCATTGCTAATAAGGAAGTCAATAATGCTTACTGCTGTATCATGGTTTGCAACCATTGCCCTGTGTAACCAACATTTATATCATGAGAGCCATTCATTAAAAATTTATTGGAATTTTATGAAATGTCAAATAATAATCACTTTAAATCTACACAGAGAGTATATTTGTCATTTGTATGAAATTCCAGCATATTGAACCCATATAAACATTTTGTTCATTTTTTTCAGTTTATCAACATCTACAAGAAACATTGCAGTATTGTATTGTGTTGCAAATTTCAGCAATGGACTGCTTTTTTACTATAAACTCTTAACCCTTTAACTCCCAAGATCTCATTTGTAATTCTCCTTAATGTCTACCATATAGTTATTCTGATGTTACTTTGGAGAATTTGGTATTGGATCAACTTATAATCCTCTAATTAAGATTTTTCTTTACTCTCATCACTTGTCTTCTTGATCTTGTATTGATATTGTAGGGAAAAATTCTCTCTTGATCACTCATGGGAGTTAAAGGATTAAAGTTGTTCACTTTTTTGCTTGTCAGGCTTAAATTGTGACCAAGTGGTTGTGTCTTCTCATAAAAACATTTCTTGTCAGACATTTAAAAACCCACAAGGTTAAAAAGATGTCATAACATTTCCGAGTGTTGGCTTTGGCACAATCATAATCAATACAACTTACGTAATATGCTGTGGGTTTGGCCTCAACAAAATAGGAGCAAATAATGATGAAAGCTTTCTTGATGACATGTCATTCCACTCTACACTTCGGCTAACCCTAAAAGGACAGTCAATTAATTCATTTGTGTGACTAATTAAGACTGCTGTGATAATTATCACTGTTATTATACTTTAGACTTTCTATGAAAAATCTGATTGGTAGAGAGAATTGACATGATAAATGCGATATTTTCAGCAGATATTGTATTTATCATATCAAGCTCTAAGTCCACCTAGTTTCCAAACTCCTGGTTTGTGTAGTGTTATCAAACTTTCACAAACCCAGAGAGGTGTCTTCTTTTGCAGATTGTTTAAAACAATGCATAATGAAATTGTTGAATTCAGTTCTTGCACAATATGACAATACCATGCATCCAACAATTATTGCTTATTACATCTCATACATATCAACTAAAATTAAGTGTATCTACACACAAAATTAGCAACTTCTCATTGGTCCCCAAACCTGGTAAATAAACCTAATTTTATGTACTTCACAGCCAACAAAAAATGTTTTGGGCGAAAGAAAAATTGCTAACTGAAGTCAAAAGTGTGGAACATTTAGAAGACAGAGAGTCTCACATTGAATACCAACTACTTCCAAAAGGCCATTTACAATTGTGTACTTAGTTGCCAAGCCTTTGATTTGGAGTGAGGCTGAAGTTGACCATGTTGTCATAGAGACCAGTATCTAGTTAGCATGATAAAAAGTCATTTACATTCGAAAAACAGCAAGGTTTGCATCATAACAAGGCCACCCCTTGCCTCACTCTTAGTCAAAGGCTTGGCAACTAAGCACACAACTGTAAAATGGACTATTTTATAACTGGATCCCTTCAGATACCAAATGCATTAGAGACCTGATTGGGTTATCTATGGGTTAAAGGGAGTTAACATGAGGTTCAACCAGTAGTTATTTGTATAATCATGGGTAATAAAAGGGTAATGTGGTAGGTTAGTTGTTCATGCCTTTCACACTGATTTGAGATCTGGTCAGGTCATTGTATTGCATTTTTTGGGCAAGACACTTTAGTCTCATGGCGCCTCTCTCCAATCAGGAGAATAACTGGGAACCACCAAAGATACATCTGTGGTGTTTAGGGTAAACTATGATGGACTAGCATGCCATCTAGAGAGGGGTGGGGAAGAGATGATAAATGATAACTTAAAATATTCCTGGTTAGTTTATGCTACAGAAACTGCAAAAGGCATAGGCAGAGTAGGGCAGTTGGCTCTTAAGCAGACTTAGTAAGTTCAGCAGCATTCTTACTTGTAAAGATGTCTCAATAAGTACATGAGAAGAGATTTGTTTTCTGGAGGAAGACTCTCAATTAGGTCCATGAAGAGTTTTCCAAGGGCATCTCGATTCTCATCTTAAAAGAAAAACAGACCAGAGAATATACCATGCAATTAAAAGTGTAGTGAACTCAACAAAAATTATCTTGCTGATCAAAATAGACAAGTGCAGATCTTGTCAAGGGGGTTGCAAATTGTTTTTTCTTCCATTAACTTTGGATTTAACCTCACACTGACAGAGCAAACTTCAGAAAATTCATGCTTGTAACCCAGGGCAGTAGCTAGCATGAGGCAAGACGAAGCAATTGCCTCGTCTTGATTTTGGCTGATTTACTTTTCTGAAGAAAAATGCCACAGGAAATGCTTAAAAAAGCCTTTTGAGCATCTAGATTTCAAATTTTTCTGGGGAGGCATGCCCCCAGCAGCTCACACCTTCAGAATTCAAAACTTGCCTTGTCTTGTTCTGAAGTCTGGCTACGACCCTGAGTAACCTCAATAATTTATTCTCTACTTCCAGGAACAGGTCTTTTAATCATATTTGGGATCTTGCTAAGGTCATAAGTAAAAGCTCTCTAAAATTGTCAGGTTGTAACTGTATGTTTCAGTTTTCTTAGTACTTCAAAAGTGACTACAAGTACATCCTTGGCAATTACTTACCTCTAAAAATTTTAATAAATGATAGATATTTCTCCTCAGTAAACACACACACTGGAAGCTCATTTAGATACATTTTCAAAACTGTAGCAACACAATGAGGATTCCTCCATTCTTCGTCATCCATGTTCACATCCTTGGCACCTGCGGCATGGTAATTTATGGGTATGAGTTAAGTTTATTACAGTCAATTATTATAATTAATTTGTACCACAATGGCCACAAATTGAATGCCCTCTTTCTTAACATCACACAGAGCAGCACAAATAAATGTGAAATCAATAAGAAAAATTTATCTTTACAAAAACATGCCAAAACAAACTCTAGCCATCCTATAAGATGTTCAATTAAGCCAGTGACCAAGACATAATTTCTCCTTTCAATAACAACACAATATTAAGTAGGCATGTGATGAGAATAAAGAAAAATATTAATAGGGAATCATAAGTTAATCTACATTTATAACACCAAATTCTCAGAACTAAAATCATAAGAATTGTATGTCAGACAGTAAGGAGAATTACTAATGAGATCTTGGAAGTGAAAGGGATAAACCATGAACTTTTACACTGTAAGAAAGATTGAAAAAATTAACATTTTATATGGTCTCACTTTGATTCAAAGCAGTCTTAAGAGCATTCTTTTCACTTCCTGACGGCACAATACTGTAGATTCCCATTTTCCTTATTCTGTCTCCTCTTTCTATGGCCTGAACACATTTCATGACAACAATTGGTGCTGGTCTATCAGTTGGTCGGAACTGTGCACCCAGCTCTGCTCCAAATACAGGAGCTGAAAAAGACAAAACAATTGAAAAATTAGCATCAGGAAACAGAACACAAACAGCAAACTAAAAATGAAATTTACAATGAGTTCAAAAATATGTAATATATTTCTAACTAGTCTGTAACATACAGCAGGGGTGCTTTATTGATTTAACTATTTCAATGTGATATCTACACTCTTCATCTATCAAAAAAGTGTAGGACCTCTTGGCTCAAACAATGGAAGATGATATAAGTAAGCCCAAACATGTCCTGCAAACTGAAAAATATTTTTTCCATACTTGAATATCATACATTACTAGCTAATTAAGTAAAAAATTAAGTCCCTCCTTGTAGATGCTAGAAGTAAAAAATTAGAAAAGTGTAGATTATATTCCTTGTAACTCTCAAAAAAGGAATGAACAAAATATAAATACAAATTACAAAATTTGTATGGAGTCCCTGTTAATCCTTTCACTCCCACAAGTGACCAAGACAGAGTTTCTCCTTACAATATGACTACAATATCAAGCAGGTAGGTGATGAGAATAGAGAAGAATATCAGTTATGGGATTATTAGTTGATCCAATACCAAATTCTCTGAACTAACATCATATGAATTGCATAGAAGATAGTAAGGAGAATTACTAATTAGATCATGGGAGTGAAAGGGTTAAAAGAGCCTCACATGTAAGTTGATAAACAAAAGTATCTATATCTTACCATCAGCATCATTTTCTCTTCGTATTCTAACCCTTCTCCTTGGACATTCTACACCACTATCAAACATACACTTCTTGTGACATTGAAAGCCACACTCTGAGCACAAAACTCCTTGTTTGAACAATCCCCACAGACACTTGCCACACTTGTCACACCAATGCAGAGATGTGAAGTTCTGTTCTTTTGGGAGATGATTTCCCTTTGTACCTATCCATGAAATAACATTCTAACAAAATCAGCATCCATCTGATTGATAAATTACTATGACAGCAAATAACTAACACTCAAGCTATACGACAATAGGACAAATTATCATTCAACCAGGCAATATTGTTTAGTTACACCTAAGAACTGGCCAACAAAGAAATGTTAACTTTACCTTCTGTTCAGATTTTTGAACCAAACATCACACAAAAGAGTAATTATCACAAGTATTTCCTAACATGTTTCAAGTCAAATCTCATTACTAACATCAAGACATCACAAAACATTTGAGCTGGGAATTTTGCATTATGCTCAGTGCTCTTGACATCTTTTACCCCAATCATTTGAAAAATTCAACTTTCCAATGTGATAATTTTGTTAATAAGACAAAAAATAAATGGACTGTTGCATCTGATTTACTAAACGGGTGTTGCAAGTTTCCTCCAGCAATCAGAGAGCAAAGTACAGGAAAATTGAGGCAATCGAAGATTGCTGTCTGCATTCAACTGAAAGTTGCTCCATCTAAACATGAATGACAAATTACTTAAGATAGGATTAAACTGACCTCTTTGGGCTGACTGAAAACCACTAAATACTTCTGATTTTTTCTGTTAACGATGAAAAAAAATTATTGTTAGTACTGACATGATAGAGTAGTCACAATAACCATATTACTTTATTACTTGATTGTAAAGAGATGATTATTTATCATTTATTTAATAATTAACTTTGTTATGCACCATGATATGCTATTAAGTAATATTCAATACCACAAAGATCACTCTCATATTCATTTATAATCCACAGTTCAAATCTATTGCCATTTTGAATTTGTACATTCATCCTTTCAGAAATGATTTCATTCCAAAGAAAACAAATTTAATAGCAGCAAGAAAGTTTGCCCCTCTTTGGCCTGAAAGAGATAAACAAGCAGGCAAGAAGCTCAAATCACTTGTGATGTATATGTACTCAGTGCTATAAGTACATTGTAATATACAATTGCTCAGTTAACACTCACAGTCTCTGATTCTCCAGTGAACAATTCTTGGATAGCAAGCAGTATAGATTGCTTATGAAAGTTATCTGAGATATTCATCTGGTTGAGTGACGTGTCCGTCAAGTGCCGCAGTTTAGTTCCTGTTATTTCATTTTCTCTGAAAACCTCAGCATAGAGGAAATGATTGGTTGCAGCAAGCCACACCAAAACATCATTAACATCCCATTCATCTGGGTTCTAGAATAAGATAAAGGTGATTATGCTACAATATTATTATTCTTCCTTTCTTCTTTTCTTCTTTTTGTGTGAAAATCTTTCATAGAAACATTATTAATTCAAACCAGAGAATTGAAAAGAACTCAGTTGAGTCTCATTGCCAATTACATCAGAAATGAAAAAACAGCAGCTTAACTGGCTTAAAATTAGTTAACTTTGCAATTTTCCAGAACATGTTTCAAAATTGACAAAATATTCAATATAAAAATATTTAAATGTAAAAAAATGTCTTTCTTACAGAAAGTTTTGATTACTTTGCAAAGAAGAATAGATGATTATGCCATATTGAGTTCTATATTGAAATTAACCAGTAATCTGCTTTGAAACTGAGTTGTGTTCATTGACAGAGAATGTAACAGCTTAGTATTTCCCCAACTTGATAGGATTTTTAGGCCATACTGAGTGTGACCAACTAGTTGTAACTGATTTGCAAACTTTTGTTAGAGAAATCATTGCAATATCTAAACATGTAAGATAAAGCTCAGCAAAAAGTAGCATTAAAACTTTTACATAGAATGTACTTACAGCAACAAATCTGATATAATCTTCTTCTGCTTCTTCTGAGTCTTTTTTGAGAATCTTACAAGGAAACTTAGATAATTCCACTGCACATTGGGGATGCCAAGCTAAATCACATACTACAAACAATACAACATTAGAACATTACTAGTAACATTAAGTTTTGAATTGCAATATCAATATTAACATTTCTTAAGCTACTCAATTATATTCCAATACTGCTAAGTACCCACTGAGAGAAGAGGAGGGAGAATAAGAGAGAGATAAACTTAGTATTAGTAAAGAGATAGTATGTTTAAATTAACACTTTTAAGTTAAGTATTTTTAATTGCATTGTTAATAGATGGAATTCGCTTTCATATTCAGTTAGATCAGTATCTAGTATTTCAAATTCTGAGTATAGCTTCTCAAGGAGCTTCTTCAAATATCAACCAAATTGGTCCAATTATAAAAAATTCATAGTAACATAGTTGACCATTTTTCATACTAGGTATTGAAACTTTCTTTTTTTAACAACTGATCAAGTTATTCCTAACAGTATGTTACGCTCTACGCTCAGTTAAGTGGGTGTTCTGCATATTGGTTCTTCAACTCCTTTTCATTTCTCTTTTCTTAATTAGGTTATGGTATTTTACTTAGTCAAGTGCACATAATTGTAACAAACAAATCGTAAGAAATAAATACTCAAATATTTCATTTGGATTTTAATAACTATTACATACTTGCACATCTGTATAATTGACTTCCGGCTCCCCAAATGAAGTCTTCACCTGAAAATTAAAATGCAATAAAAAAAATTAATTTGGAAATGGTCAATAGTAAAGAATGAATAAACTAGTTTCCCAAAGCTGGGGCTTGTTGAATTAAATTACAATTTGCTTCCGTTTTTTCCTGGTCAATTTAATCAAATAAGGGTTGAAGTACCATGCAAAAAGCTCCTTGTCTTTATATACAAACCCTAAATTTTACATACATGTGTACATTAGAAAACATTTCAAGTTGAATGACTATTACATTCGACAAAATCAAGACCATTGTTGCTAAAAGTACACTTAATGTTGTTGTTTACAAATTAACTATTCACAAACCATATTTGCACTAAGCTATCGTTTAACAAAAGAGATTAACAATCTTATTCCAAAAAAATCCCCTTGGAATTTATTCCACCTGAAAATTGATATTTTCGTTGTGGATTTGACTCTTAACATGTATGCTACTCACATTGACAACACCACACAGGTTTCAAAGCAGACGTCTCAGTCAGTGAATGGTCACCAGTTTGATCTGTAAGGTACAGCAATGGTTTTTTCAACTTTTTTTTTTTGGTTACTTATGAAAAAACCATTCTCATGAGAAACAAGAGGCCAGAAAGGCTAAGAAATTTAGATAAAATGCAACAGAGTGGCTCAGAGCTGCATTTCAAACCGGTGATAAGTTGACTTCTAGTGCCTGGTCCTTACAAAGAGTTTCCGGGAACTACCAGCTTCAGGTATTTATATATTTTGGAGCATGCATACTTTCTGCTCAAAACAAGGAAATCGGCAAATGAATTATGATACATAAACAAACATTTATTGTAAGTTTTATGAAATATTAACGTAAATTATCTACCATCATTTTGTATTAAAAACCGATAAGTTCACCCCTAATTGATGCAACGTCATTATATATAGGGAAAGCCGAAATAACAGTAAAATAAATTAATACATCTCCTCGATATCCGCGAAAAAGATCACTTTGTAAGGAAGCTTTGATTTGCAATGATGCCTAACAGTTATCGTCCAGCTAAGATGCAATTCAGAGCTGAAAAAAAGCACCAATTTCTTATCGAGTGGGGTTACGAACACCACTATGATTTAAGCTACTATAATGAAAACGAAATAGTAAAACACTGTTGAAATAAATACAAAAACAAGTTCCTGACTAACCGTTTGAATCAGAGCGTGTACTGTTATTTCCTCCCGCGTTCCGTCGTGCAGGTCGCGGTGGTCTTGGAGGTGGTGTTGGAGGCTTCTCCTCCTGAGGAAGTTCTTCAACGTCGCCGATATATTCCACATACGTAGCAGGGAACTCACCAACTTCTTTAGTGCGTGTGTTTTCGCCAGTAAGCCAGCCAGTTGGGTCGGACACAGGCTTTGCGACTACCATAATATCACCCTCTCTGATGGCTATGTCTCGCTCATCGCGAGGCTGATAAGAATAAATTACTCGAAACTGGGCCCAACCTGAATCCATGGTCAGAAGTCTTAAAAATACAGACAACTCTTCGATTTCACCCCATTATTTCAGCAGGAAGGAACTCTAAGACCATACTTCAGATGGCTAACCTTCGTTAGGAGAGCAGTTCACTACTCCGTGACGTCACGGTCGTTGACAGCCTCAGCTCTCGATCAAGTGAGCCAGTGGATAGTTTGAAAAAGTGTACACGCACGCGCCCAAAGTTGATACTGGAAGTTTCCGCTAACTTTATTTTATTCAGAGGCTCGTGAAGATGCCTTTCGGTCTTTCTACAGAAGACAAAGTAACAAAAGCTACTGAAGAGTATGGTCAACAACTACGTGATCTCTACAAGCATGAGTGTTATGGTTCCAAAAAGAAAGAGTGTAAGTTGGTTGGTTAGCACCAATAGTGGGTTACATAATGTGTAGATTCGATCATCGACTTCTTGGCAAGGTTGAAACTGTCCTCGGGTTAACGAAAATAATTGTGGGACTATGGAACTGCGGGAGATGCAATAAAAATCGCATATAGACAGGTGTTGCACAATCTAGCCAGTTACTGTTGTAAAATTGCGTGAAAAAAAAAATGATACGTGGATGTAGGAAAGAATAATTGAAGGAAACCAATACTGAAATGAGTGTTTTACTATGATTGTTACTTAGAATTTTATTACGAGACAGGTAGAGGGAGTAATTTTTTTTTTCGCAGTAAGTCTTGCTATCAAGGCAATGGTCCTTTCATGTGACAAATTTAGAAGCCTTGATTGTGCTCTGTTCAGTTATAAAGTGCACAGGAAGCAGCTAGAGCACGGAAGAAGTGTGAGGAGATACACGAGATGAAGTTGAGTGCTCTAGCAGCTTCCTGCGTGCTTTACAGTAGAACCGAGTACAGTCAAGGCTTCTCTACTGGGCTTTTTAAGAAAGAATCTGTAAAATTCCCCTTGCATATATTACTTTCAATTTTCAAAACAAACTTTATTTCCAAAGCAAACAACTGTGTCATCAGCATGCACAATACTCTCTTAAAGTATGTTACAACAAGCCAATCAGAACATGTTTCAAATAATCTGATTGGTTGAACAAGACTGAAGCTGTCAAAAATGTCAAACCATCAAAGTCCACAATCTGCAGTAGTTCACAAACTGTAATAATTCAGCAAGTTGAAATAAACACATCCTGCAAATTAGTTAGTGTTTTTACAGAGTCTGAAAGTAAGTGGAAAGTTGTGGCTTGTAAAAACACGTAAGCTTTTTCACATGATAAATAAACTGCCAAGGTGTGTGTTTTGTGAATAAACAACAGCCAAATTCACAGGAACAGGAAAATTGCTCTGGATGACAGTGCTATAGAACTTGGCTGCTGTGACCAATGTGGCCTTCCACTCAATGATTTGGAAAGAATATCAGAGCAAGCTCTTAGTTGTTCACTTGAAGGGCAGCCAATGTAATTTCTGAGGCTTTCTCAGCTGCGATGATTGCTATGAGGAGCTAGATGTGATGGACCTCAGCATGACTGCAGTCACACTGACACCATCATGATTTGATGAATCTTAACAGTTATGTTAGTTTGGCTATATTTTTCATCATTCCTGCTTTGTTCTGTTTAACATTTGAACAGAAAACTTTTATACTATGTGAGTGTTATCTCTGTTTGATTTTTATTAGCGTACATAAGCTTGTAATCTAACCGAGTGTGAAACTTTAAAATGCAGACTGTCCATTTTGTCTTCTCTTGAAGGATTTTCATCTCTGTTCAAATTACAGTAACATCAATTACAGCACTTGGAATGTTTACAAACCTTTTTTTGTTCATCTATTCACTTTGTTGCAAAATTTGACTTTCAATTAATGAAAGAAAGCTAGAGAGAAGTCCAGGAAATGGTTGGACATAAGTAGTACAAATTGGCAGATGGTGTGACAGCTTTAGGTCAGCTCCATATTTTGTACTCTGATAGCACACGCTCTTTCAACTAATGGTAGCATGCATTTATACAAACCTAATTATAATTATTGCTCTCTCAAATTCTATAGATACCTATTTTGTATTAAAGGTTTTTTATGACCTACGGAAGTCCAGTGCCCCCCACCCCCTCACCTCCCCTCCCTCAAAAAGAAAAAGGAATCACCATAGGTTCCTTCCTTTTTTTTTCTTGCCTTTTTTTTTCTTGCTTCAACAACTGTCAATTGGCTCACTGTATTATATGATAACCTCAACTAGTTTGATTTACAATCTTTCTGACTCTCTCTGTGGGCACCTGTTAATGTGATATCACACATAATGTGTTTGTTTTTTTCAAGGTCTTTTCTTTTCTATTCATTGTAGCTTGCCACATACTTGCTGAGTTTTATGCGTCAATTGAAATGGATATTGATAAAGCAAAGGAACTCTATGAACACACTTGTAAAGAGCTTGATTTTAATGAAAGTTGCTTGGCCTTAGGAAACCTTTATTTGACCAACAAAAGTAAGTGGTTCAATTTTTCTTGAGGTTTACATTTAGATAACTTTGTCAGTAATTGTGTTTTGAAAAATTGCAATATTTGTTCAGTTTTAAGAGGCACTCGCTTAAAGAACACATCATTCACTTTATTGTGGCAAGTCAAAAAATGAAAATTTCAGTACAATTCTTGGGTATAAGATGCAACCTAAACAAAGGGTAAATGTTTCTCTCAAGGTTTCTTTCCAATATACTTTTATTTTCAGACTCACTAATTATGGCCTCTTGATACATGTTAACAAAAGAAAAAATTTAGCACCTTTAGTGACAAAAGAAAAAAGTCACCTATCAACAATATACAACTCAGACCTTGAAGGAAACAAACTTAAAGATCAGTGTGCATATGTATAAACATCATTCACACCTTCATTGAATTTATATCTTTTTCTTTGCTTGAAAACATTCAACTGCTAGTTGCACCCTGAGGTTATAACATGTTGAGGATGAAAAAGTAAATTTTTTATGAAAAATCTTTTTCCTTATAGCCAAACAAATACAATACCTCCTTTCAGTAGTACTTACACACTTCACATTACTTTCTTTATGAATCAGTACCCTCCACCATGTCATCACACCTTCTGATGCCACAGAACTCACCTTCAACAATTCTGATGAAGGAAACATTAACTTCTTCGATGGCAAATTGAAATTAAAGGAAATGTATTGTGTGTGTTAAATTTTATTCATTGAATTTTTTCCTTTTTTTTTTCTTTTTTTGTTTTCTTTTTTGTTACAAGAATTCAAAGATCCTGAAAAAGCAATGAGCTTGTTTCAAGAAAGTTGTGCGAAGAAGTCTCCAGGAGCTTGCAATAATGCTGGACTCATGTATCAAAAAGGAGTCAAAGGATCCACCATAGAAAAGAATTTGCCAAAGGCAATAGAATTCTTTACCAAAGCCTGTGACTATGGACATAGGAATGGTTGCTTCAATTTAAGTGCAATCTATCTCACTGGAAAAGATGGCATCCCAAAAGACATGAAAAAAGCTTTTGAACTATCCCTAAAAAGCTGTGAGATGTCACACCCATGGGGATGTGTCAACGTCAGTCGAATGTATACTTTGGGTGATGGGGTGGAGAAGAATCCACAAGAAGCAGAGAAATTTAAGAGACTTGCAAAGTTGTACTCTGGTCAAGACAGCACACCAGTTTCTTGAGACAAATTTTATTGCCAATGTAACTGCAGCAAATTTGTAATTTCTCCTCTACATCAATGCATTATCACAAGACTAAAACATCTGGGAGGACATTTCAAAAATGAATAAAAAGATGAATTATTAGAGGCTGGTTGTAAGAAAGTTGACCTGAATTACTTGCTAATGAAATGTTCAGTTACATGTAGAGTATTTCATCCAACCTTGCAAGTGACCACTACATTGTAGCAGCTAGAAGTCTTTTCAAACGTAATTACTAATAAAAGTGTTGCTACTGACAGTAAAGTGTCAATATCTCCAACCACAGTTATCTCATGCCTGTCATTCATATCTTATACTAACCAATTTAAGGTCAGTACTGCAATTTACAAGAAACGTTTTTGTCCATGTGGAATTATAACTCAGGCATGAAGTGCACAGGCTATAAATCCAGGCAGAAAAACAAGGTTCCATAACTAACAGCATGGATCAAGAAAATGAGGTTTACTCAGTAAGGAATTTGTTTTACCTCTAGGTTAAAATCAAAAACTAAATTGCTAAATTGACCAATAGTTGCACTCACACTAAGAGGTAAAATAATTTGTTTTTGCATCTAACAAATGTACCCCAGTGGTGTGACTTTTTCCTTTGATATCTCCCTCCACAAATATGTTAAAACTCCCGATGAACCCCCCCTCCAAAAAAAAAACAATTTCTTTAAATGAATTTGACCCCTCAAGTGATATTTCACTTAAATTACAAAATAGTCACAACACAATAACATACCACTAAGTACCGATTCCATTGTCTTCTTGTGCTTAGTTTTGAATTTTCACTGTTAATAGGAATTGTTGATTCAACTAGTAAAAAAAATCATTCTCAACTAATGCATCACACCAACAGTGACAAGAGCAAAACATGGATTATTCAGTATGGAGGATCTGATGGTCTGACAATAATGGTTGCATCAATTTCAAAATTGCAGCAGCATTACAGACCATCACTTCTCTATTAAATATTTCTTGCATATTAAAGCTGGTTTTTTTCTGTTACATTAGTGGACCAAAGACCCATTTCTTGAAAATCTTAGCTGAGGTTATATCTTAAAATCCAAATTTAAAGCATAGAGAAGCAGGTTCTGGCACCCTAAGCAGTCAAATTTTCAAAACTTTTAGAAACCCCATCTTGATTGAAAACAAAAAAGCTTAATATGAGCTGTCAGGCTAGCAGTACCTTGGTAAAACAAGCCCAGTACTGCATGAAGAATAATTTATTCTTACAGAATTATCATGATAGAATTTACTATCATTATTTTTTAGCCCCTGTAGTCTTTTTTTCCTTGAAGGGACTCACTGACCATTCCAAATTTAAAAATGTTATTTACAACAACACTGCAAAGCTAATGATTCTCTATGAATAAAGTTCAAGAGTTAGTATTCTTTTATAAGAAAACCTTTTAATGTTAATGGTAGAGGAAGTTCCTGTATAAGGTCCCAATGACAAGCAAATTGTTTCCTCAGTGTAACTTTACATATCTGAATTAGCGGCTGTGGCATTTCTGCAACAAGGAGGCACAATATTATTCATTAGCAACTTTCTAAAAATTCCCAGTCAAGAATAATTCTGCAGACTGAACAGACTTTCACAGGAAAGCTTGTTTGCTAATAAGCCAAAATGTCAAAAAAAGAAAATCATGATGAATTGTGTTACATAAATAGTTTGACTTCACAATGATTGAAGGGCTTTTCAGAGTCATGTCAAGGATGACATCAGTGGCATTTTGATCAGTATTTCAATGTCTTTCAATTGAGCAATAAATGAAGACTTGTAGAAAAAAGAAGTTTGTAGGACTAAATCTTTGCAAAAAAGCAACACATGCTGCCAATGAAAATTACACCTGCATCAGTTAAAAAGTTAAAATTGCCCAACATTTCTTACCCAGAGCTATTTCCAACAATTCTAAACAGTAACTTTGCCCAGATAGCCTTGCTATATCAAGAGGCATGTCATCATCCCGTCCAAGAAGAGTTGGTGATGCTCCATACTGAAGGAGAATACTTGTTAACTGGACAGCAATGTCGTGGGCGTGATTGGCTCGCAGTGTTAAGTGAAGAGGTGTGTCTCTAACTAAGTCAGTAGCATTGACCTTACTGCCAATATCCAAAAGCATTACAGCAACTTTCACTTTACCTAGAAGTGCAAAGAGTGTTTTTTATGCCTCCCTGGACTTTTAAAAAATGCCGCCAGAAATGTTGCTATGGAATGTCTAAATCACAACCTGGTATAGCATAATATTTCAAAAGAAAATATCAATGTACATGTCATGTGTATATCAATAAAAACCCACAGATAAGCCACACCTTTTTTACAAAAATCGTTGCTCGAAATTGGGAGTGCAGCTTATCTACGGGAACGTTTTCCATTTTCACGTCCGATCTAATCCCTGGTTACTAAGTTTCGAATGTTCCACTTACGGTCTTGTTGTAATGCAAAAACCTATGGAAAAACCGTGTTGAACTACAAAATTCCTGTCAACAAATACCAGAAAAAGATCAATCATATGTCAAAGTTGGTAGTAACGATGTTCATTATCTTAAAGAGCTAAAAATTGTGGGTAAGAATTTGAAGTATTTTCCGTTGCAATGTAAATGGTGAGTTTACATTCGATGAACAGTGGATGAAGGAGACTTCACGAGACTTGACTTTGGATTTATTTTGATTTCTTTCAAAAAACTTTTTTTCCAAAATTTGAGCTGCTAAATTCAGGGTGCAGCTTATCTGCGGGTACGGCTTACCTGTGGGTGCGGCTTATCTGCGGGTTTTTATGGTATGTTGAATTTGTAGTAAAGAACCCTTATCTACTGCTATTTTTGGAGGATTGCAACTTAACCCCTCACACCCTAACATCATTATGCATATTCTCCATACTGTTCTCTGATATATATATATATATATATATATATATATATATATATATATATATTGATCTCTATATATATATATAATATATATATATATATTGATCTCTATATATAAAGAGAATTTGTAAAACCATCTAGAGTTTTTGTAGTTGGTGATCATTTCCTTTATTCATTTGATCTTAATGTTTGATTCTGGGATGATATGGTAAAGTCAGGGAAATCAGCCCCAAGTCACTCTTGGGGGTTAAAGGTCAGGTTAAGAGAAATTGCTACCTGATAGTAACAAACTGGTAGAATCACATTATGGCAATGACAGGACACTTCAAGGGTTAGTTTAGGAAAAATATTTACTATCTTTATCCAAAGTTTTGCATCAATAATATTATGGTAAATTCAAAATCTTAATTGAATAAATAAGTAAAGAAACTTATAAGCAGTTCAGTTATTAGATTGTTATATGTATTATACACTTACTTATTTTTTTTTTGTTAAAAGGGATAATTCCTTTAGAGGCAGGTAGTTTCTTTGAATTAGTAGCGGCTAGTTAAAGTCAATTCGTTCAAGGAAGTCACATCTTCAGGAGGAACTGTTTAATTTCATGTTACCTCTTTAGTTGGTATTTACTCACAACACCTTTCAGTTAAGTTAAAGCATCAGTGATCAATTCAGCCAAGTTTGCATGGCATGTTAATGATTTTTGAATAAAGAAAGACTGTTAGATGTATACCTTGCATACAAGCTTCATGAAGGGGACTCCTTCTTTGATTACTCTTGGCATGTGGGTCTGCACCCCGGATGAGAAGCTCACATAATACAGCATCATAACCTCTATATGCAGCCTCATGTAGAGGGGTATGCTTGCCAGCATTGACACTGTTCACATCAGCACCAGCCTGTATTAGTAATCTGACACAATCTAAGTGTCCCTGACGAACAGCAATATGAAGAGGTGACCAAGGTGCTCCACCAGAATCTACTTTCAAGCACAAAACAAATATAGCTCAAGTACAACAACAGGGTTGTAATTTGGAAATGTTAGCAACAGATATAGGACCTGAACTGAGAAGCCAGCTGAACTGAATTATACTCACGTAGCAAGAACGGCATGTTACAAACCAACAGGCCTTTGTAGGGGTTTGGGGAATAGGAAATTTGACTCTATCTGAGACATAATTTCAAGTATTCTGGAACATATTAGACTAAGTATTTTTTTTTGTCAGACATTGATGTTGAGTCAGTTCAAAAATAATCCTTTTCCCTCTTTGATCAGAATTCACAAAGTAACCAGTGCAAATGTTCTGACAGCTGATAGGTTTCTAACCCTGAACATTTAATATGTTCTAGCCAGAAAATCTGTAATATTGCCTGCTAGAACCTCATAAAACAACAGGTGAATAAAATGAGTCTTTATCTTATCTCATTTTACTTCCCAAGAGGTCTATCAGTAAGCCCCACTTCCCACACTACACTCAGTTACCACTGATTGATTATGGTGATCAAAGCTTTACAGTGACCCTGTTTTTGAACAATCACTTACAGTGAGTGGGGTTATTAACTGGTGCACCAGCCTCTATTAATACTTGTACCAGTTCTGCAAAACCAGCTTTACAGGCCTCATGAAGTGCATGCCAGTTGCCTTGAGAGGTCACAGACGCCCCAGCTTGAAGTAAAACTTTAACAATATCAACATATCTGCCAGTCACTGCCCACATAAGTGGTGATCGTCCAAATTTGTCCACATCATCTAAAGATGAACCAGCTTGTAAAAGAATCTTCACGATGTCAAGATGACCAGTTGAAGCAGCTACATGAATGGGGAGCTTCCTCCGATGCTCTGTTTATTAAAAAACATTTTATAAATTAGCTATGATTAAAGCAGTGTTTAATTAATAAATTTCACAAAAAGATAACAAGAGGGATATCTCTTGTGAAAGCCTTGCACTCTGTAGCACTTTCTTTGCCATCAGTGTTTGTAGGACTTAGACTATGATCACTTTTAAAAACATTTATGTGCTAAAAATTATCAACGTACAAATGAAACAAGGTAACTGGAACCTACAGGGAAAATGAAGAAGGTTAAGTAATAAGTTGTTTAATGCACTCTACAGCTGTAAATCAGGAAAACTTGGCAAAGACTGCCCTAACAAGTTTTGTGTGATGAAAAAGAGGACAAGTAGTACAAAGTGGCTGCTTTCAAATAATAATTCATGGCACAATGCTCACTGCTCATTCTAGCTTGTTAGTATTAACATAACTACTTGGCTTTATATGAACTGAATCATAGCAAGTAAAATTAGAAGAAGCAATACATGATTTCAAGTGCAATTTGGTGTAAATATATGAGAAAATATTTTAAAGACAACAAAATTGCACAAGCCCATACTGGGCCAGTAAAAAAAGCATCACAGAGAGTAAAAACAGACAAAATATTAATAGTGCACCCACTAGTTGTAATTTGCACTTGTGTTACAACTTTGCACTGGTGTTATAACTTTACACTCATGTTACATGAAAAATATCATTTTCAGCCAATTAGAAGACTGCATACTTTTTTCAATTTATCAATTTAAAAAAGTGCCCAAGGGAAACAAAAACTAGCTCAAGTCATTTAATTAGGCTTTTTTACAAGCAACATTCACAAACTAAAGAAATCAATTGGAGGAGGGGGGAGTTATAAAACAAAAAAAAAACCAGAAAAGCATCTGAATGTTACTAGTTAAGGCTCCAAGCTGATTACAGGTAACCCCTTGTTTTAACTACAAGAAACAAAACCATACAGGAACCCTTTTAACCAATGCCTTATGGAGCACCATTCCATAACAAAAACTTAAGGTTACCTTTAACATTGACATCTGCTCCTACATCAAGTAAGAATGTGACACATGCCATGTATCCACCCCTGGCAGCATGATGTAGAGCAGTCCCTCCTTGACTCCCTGTCACATTGGGATTTAGGTTCTTGGCATCAAAAATAGTCTTTGCCTGATAGAGCATTTGATAAAGATACAAATAACAATCTCAAAAGGATACAAATAGTACAGGTATCACTCTTACAGATATCCTAAAAATAATACACTCAGCACTAGTTGCCTATATAATCACAAGTACACATACATCTCAGAGGTCAGTCTGCAACAAGTCACAAATATTCAATTCCTTTATTTCACTGAGTGTTAGGACTTAAGACCTCAGCCCCAAAAACAATAAATCCTGACTTGTGAAATATGTATTTGGTTTGCAAAGTCATGACTCCTTGGTATAGTATAACTAAGTTTTGCATCAGTGGTGTGAAGTCAAAAATTGGCAAGATTCTTCTCAAATTTTACTTATTGGTTACTTCTCTCTTCTAACTTTTATTTTGGAGTTAAAAAAGACACACCATTAAAAATGTTCTTGTGGCTGCTATAAATCCAACTCTAAGTCAAAATCTAGATCTGTTTTCAGACCGAAATAGCTAAAAAGCTCCATCTGTGGGTTGCACTTTCCAAACCAACTCAAATAGGGGGAATACCCTCTCCCCTTCTAAAGGACAGGAGTAACGGTTTTGATGCGGGTCACACCATGTGATACGAGTCAAAATTAAAATCATACCTAAAGGCGTACAACGTATTTGTCTATCTAATATGAGTCATCTCGTAACACACCTCACTTTGAATATTTGTATTACTGTTGGTGCTAACCGAACAAGCTCTGGAAAGCTTTTAGGTGGCTAACTGTAAGCACGCTAATATACAGACACGATTCCCTGTTGCAGCATAACACCGAAAATATGATGCATTCTGATTCATGTGAGCTTATTGTCGACTTACTATCTGTTAGTACTGTTTCAAAATAAACAATGGACATAATGTTACACCCAGTGTTGAGATTCTTACTTCGTCCAAATTTCCCTCACGTATTGCTGCCAGAAATTCTAGAACTCCATTTTCTCGTGGATTTGCTAGCATAACATTGAGAGGTCGAGGGGGAGGAGGAGGCCTCATCAAATCGTCACCTTCTCCATCCATAATTTTCGAATTGAACTTCGTTCAAAGTTTCCGTTCGAAAGAAAAGAGTTTTATAATTCGTTTTAGATGTTATCGACCATTGCTTCAAATCAGTAATGTCATGACCATATTAGGAAAACATTTTTTATCCAGCTGGAGTCTGTATTGCTTTGTCATTCACACCTCTGTTGGCTTTCCACTTGGAAAAATTCCTCTACTTTGTAAACAATTGTAGTAAAACTAAATTGCTGGATGACTTCACCCACAGACAAAGAGAACTACAAGGGAAATTATCCTTATTTGGAACAAGATTAAAGGTGGCTCAGTTTACTGCTGCATACATGCAGAAATTGATGACAGCCTTTGTCATCCGCAGGCCAGCATGTGGCTCATACTACCTAACTAAAGGCTTCCTTTGTGTAAGGCATATCCTAGAGGTCATTATTTGCCCCTTAGGCTTGAGAAATTGGGACTTACCCGAAAACTTTAGAAGGGTTAAAATAAAAGTCTTCCATTCCTTCTTCTTACTTTTTCTACCCTTTATTTTTTACTTTTCTCTAATCTCACTTCATTTCTACCAAAGCGGTTCAATGAGTACCATGTTGAAGAAATTTGACCTTGATGTGATCTTTCAAACAACATACTACGATACTCGCTAAAAACTGATCTTGGAAATCTTTTGCTGACGTCATAACCGATCCAACTGGTGGTTGCTGGTGACAAAAAAAGTTTCTTATTTCCGGCTTCCAAGATTCAGCCTTGCGTTGAAACGTGGAAAATTATTTTCCCCTTTTAATTCGCCACAGACTTCCTTTGCAATATTTTAAAATCATTAGCACGTGTCTTTAAAACATCGCTAGAGAAGAAAGACATTTTGAAAGGGAAAGCAATGAAAATATTCGGTTTACAGCTGATCATGAGATGACAAGGATTATAAAGCCGGTTCAATTCGGAAATTTTTTCCTCAGTAGTCCGTAAACAATATTTAAGTGTGGTTAAACGGCTATAAGCTATGGATTCAGGAATCGAAACAAACGATAGTATGAATGACAACGATAAAGTGTTAAAGGTAAGATTGCTTCACAAAAGATGTATTATTTGAAAGTGTTCAGCCAGGGTAAGAAAAGGGCCAAAGCCTCATTTAAACTGACATTATAATCCTTATTAATCTCTTCTTTTCTCCGTCGCCGTCTCAAGATATAATATGCGCGCTGTCCATTTTTCTCCCTACGATGTTGTACAGGTTTTAAGAAATAAATACATCCTGAGCCTAATGGTCGGGGACCTGCTTTATCTTACTTAATCTGGGCGTGTTAACAGATGAGTTTAGACTAATTGTATGGAAATTTGATTTTATACATTTACAAGAATTACGGAAATTAATACTTGGTACTAGCTAATCCTGAATAGCATTCTAGCAGTGCAAAAGCACTTTTGTAATTATTTATATACTAATTATACCGATAGCAATCTAGGAAGCGAGGGCCCGATACAAAATGGACACACAAATTGCCAGTCTTCCTACGATTCGTGGTATTTACATAACAATGTTCTCCACTTGTTTGATAAATTAAATGCTGTTCGCTGAACAAGCCTTTAAACGTATATACCTGTAGATAGTACTTTAGAATTCAGCTAGATATCACAGATGTTTACCCAATTTCATGCAAAAAAAAGCATATATTTGTTGCAAGTTCCAATTGCATTGGAGGCTCACGGTGACATGTCGAAAATTTCCGAATTTGGTCAGTTTTTTTTTCTGAATGTCTCCATTTAATTTCCCTCTCTGGCAATTCGGGTTAGGTTTAACTCTTTACCTGCGAGTTTATACTTCGTTTCCGTGTAAAAGTCAAGTTAAGCTTAGATTACCGTGAAGCATATTTTCACCTAAAATATTAACCGCCAAATGAGCAATTCGAACTAATTTAACAAACTCATAGCTAATCTGAAAGCAAATCCTTTTTTCTCCCCTACCAAAATTTATTAAAAACTTTGTATACAATGTAGGATTATTAGACAAATGCGTCCAGTAGGCATCTGATCGCGTAACCACCGTTTTTAACTATGGGTGTTAGCTGGTTTCTTGCGCGCGCTCAAAATTTCAAGCGCGCAAAACATGTGCGCTCACATCACACAATGACGGTTATACGTGCAATCTTTACGAGCCAATCACATTGCTGTATTAGCAGGTATCTTAGCAGTCCGTTGTGAAAATAACCAGCTTTATCCTCAAGAGAGCGCACAACTTATACGAATTCCCGCAGTGAAGATTTGATATATGTAATTGCTTTAAAATGTCAACGTTAGCAAAAAATTATGTCCAGCAGCCTGCAGTTTATAGAGGAGCTGTGGATCGATCATCGGTGAAGAAATTAAGAACAGCTAAAGACATCCCATTACCGGAAGTACCAAAAGTCATCGACAACGGAAATGGGAAACGCTACTTTCGCGGAAGATTGCTCGGCAAGGTAATCTATGTTTAAATGAAAATTATCTTGCTATCTTGCTTATAATAAAGCCAGATTTGCCTTGATTTCAACAAGACAAGAAGAGATTGGTACAGGCCTTCGGTATATTGACACAACACCTTAATTGACGATACTCTTCAACATAGCTCAGTCTTTATCTGTAAATTTTAGAATTTTAATGCAAAACTCTGCCTGATTTGCACACAAACTAAGCTGACCTAAATAGAAGCTTTGACATTCCTCGAATGAACACTTAAACCGTCTAGTAGTAGAATCGATGTTTCAGTTACTTTTATTTGAAATTCGCAATCTGCAACTGTAACTTATCTCTCCGTCCATTTGTGTTCCATGTTTTTTGGCAGTTTCATTCAATACCATAAATTGTGACTGTCAATAAAGCTATTTTTTCATGTCTGTTTTTGAAACGTGTTTTTTTTTCTATGAAGTACAGAATAACCAAATTTCAATAAATGATCACATCTGATCATATCTTAGTGGAAAAATTGTTACTCAGAATCTTTTCAACTTTATATCTTTGAATTCATCAGGCTTTCGTTACTCAACTTTAAAACAGGTTTGTATCAACATAAAACTGAACCTCATGGCGTTATATTCTTTTAAATACTCAGGGTGGATTCGCTCGTGTTTATGAAGTCACTGATATGTCAACAAACAAGGTGTATGCCCTAAAAGCCGTGCCAAAGGCTAAACTTACAAGGTCCGCTGACAAATATAACAAAGTGAGTGAACGCGTCCATTAATAACTAGTTGAAGTATTTGGACCACAATTTTATTTTTATCAAACCCTCTGTCCGTAGAGAAAGTTGTTGCGAAGAAGAGGAAGATAAATGCTCCTTCTTTACTAACAAATGAACATTAATCCCAAGGCACAATGAATTGCAACACCTGGGGAATTGATGATTTTGTTCTTTTGATCACCAATTCTTGATGGAAAGTAGTCGCCACCCGTTTTTGTTTTTTTACATAAAATTGGAAAGAAATTTTCCTAACCATTCCTCAACAAGATACGATCATTTCTCAAACAATCAGGTTACCATAGGAACATAACAATTAACTGAAAACACCCTTAACTTTTTACTTGAGGTAGAACTATGGGTGACTCATCTCGTAAGATTTAAACTTGCACTGAAATTATAACAAAGTCAAGCGCATGTGATTGTTTTACACCTAGTTTCTAATAAAAAAGTTAGAGAGAGTATTTTCTAAAATCGAAATTGTGTTTTTCAGATAGAAACGGAAATTGAACTTCACAAGAGTCTCAGGCAGAGACACGTTGTTGGCTTTCATGGACATTTTGAAGATGATCAACATGTGTACATACTGCTGGAGCTTTGTAGCCGAAAGGTGATTGTAAATTATTCTCCATAAGAGTAAAGAACTTTTGCCAGCATGAGATCCCTGAGTTTGGGTGCGATAACATATTATGCCTATTAGTTGATCATGGGCGTGACTCTTTTACGTGGTTGGCCCTAAGCGAGGAATGCATTTTAATAAAGAGAGGGTGAATTGAAATGATCCTCTCTTGTTTGTATTTATTTGGTGCAAGGTTCACACATGACATCGGGTGGAAATTGAGAAGAATACACATATTTTTCCTGAGTAATTAATTTATTACCAGTTGTCGCTTGATAAAGATAGGTAAGCCACCCCCGCAAAGAGCTGACGAATCTATCGCAAACCCTCAATTAGAGTGAATTGAGAACTCCTTTTATGGAATCCTAGTTTATTATCAGATGAAACGTTTCCTTGCCTGCTGATGCAGCATAACAGCTTCTCCATAAATTAATATCTTTCCTGTGAAAATATCGCCGAGAGTACCTCAATCCGAGTGACGCGGTGTTCTGTTTGTTAGCACCTCTTTCAATATATTCAAATTACGATTTGTTTTGCTTTATTATCTTCAGCCAATCAGCCTGACAGCATTGCGTTGAATAATATTCTAACATTTACGGCTCTTTACTTATTTTATTGTATTGTTTTTGTAGTCTTTGGTGCAGACACTCAAAAACCGTGGAAAATTAACAGAACCTGAGGTGCGATATCTAATGTACCAAGCCGTGCAGGCATGTTCATATTTGCACGCCCAACGGGTCATACATCGTGACATCAAAGTCGGTAACTTCTTTCTCAATGCTGACATGGAACTGAGGCTGGGAGATTTTGGCCTGGCAGTGAGACTGAAGGAAGGAGAGAATAAAATAAAGTAAGTAAAAGAATCCTGGCTAAAAACAGCCTCAAACCAAAATTATCCAATATGGCGTTTTAAGTTCTGAACGAAAAGAGCTATTGATCTGAAGAAACGACCAACTCTTCCGGCGTTCAAAGAGATTGCTACACAAAAGGTGCACATGCTACATACGCACGAATATTTTCGTCGCACAGGCGTGCACGTGTATGGAGATACTCTACCTTCCTACGAGTATCCAAATGTGCAAAATTGTAAGCCAGAGGCAAAAAGGGTTTTCTGGGCCTCAACTTTGGCACAAATTTTCAAGATTCTTTACTCTGGCGGGACTAAGTGCGATAAAAGACTGCTCGTATTTCACTTCGAATAACACTTCTTCTGCTTTTCTCGTGACCCAGATTTTTGCAAAGAGAAGCTCTTCCTTTATATCATACCATTGTCATGGGCTCTTGTGCGTTAAGGCTGAGAAATGCAGGCAAAAAATCTTCAATTTGCAAAACAACAATGCTGCGTGACAAGTTGCAAGAAAATGACATCATTATTACTTGGCCCTAATGTGTCACATAAACATTTAAAAATACCAATATACATGAAATTGTTGCTGGCTGTTCCTCTTTTGGTGTTCCTATCGACCATACTTCTTAGCCAATCTTAATTGGGAAGACTTTGATCCAGCCAGTGCATGTCATCATTTTCTTTTACTTTTAGAACAATGTGCATCCCATCCTTTTCTTTTACTTTTAGAACAATGTGCGGTACACCAAACTACATCGCCCCTGAAGTTTTGTCCAAAGAGGGGCACAGCTACGAGGTGGACACTTGGGCTTTGGGTTGCGTTATGTAAGTCTTCTGAGAAGTAGCTGTAGTCAAAATTTACCGTTTCTCGGTGCATTTCTCAAATTCTAATGATGCAATGTATATATAAGAAAATAAATAATTTAAGCGCGAGTAGGAGACGTACAACATTTGAAAATTCGATGTATTTGACATGGAGTTTCGGTTTTGATATTAAATATGGGTCACCCCTAGTTGTATGAGGTATAAATCTCATAGCTATTCAAAAACTTTTATAGGCGGTCAGAAAAATATTATCATGAAGCATTTGACAGGCTTGCGCTGTCAAACTTTTTAAGTTGTGGGAGAAAATCAGAATCTAAAGCCTTTATAATGAAAATACTTACTGATTCAGTCCAAATGTCTTTTGAGTAAACGGCGTTACCTCCTTCTTTTTAATACAGGTACACGTTGTTGATTGGACATCCCCCCTTTGAAACGAAGTCTCTCAAGGAAACCTACAGCCGAATACGGAACAACGAATACACGATTCCGCCTCGTATCTCCGACAGCGCCGCGAAGCTCATTCGGAAAATGCTTCAAGCGAACCCGGCTAACAGGCCTTCCCTTAACGACATTCTGTCTGACGAATTTTTCAAAAAGGGATTTTTTCCCAACAGACTTCCCGCATCAGTAGTAACAACTTCCCCAAGATGGTCTGAATACGAAAGAACAAGGGAGTCTAATCAGAATATATCAAAAGATGCCATCAAGAAAATAACATTGGCTTTATCGCGCCAAATGAAACTTTCTACGGACGAGAAAGAAGAGTCGCTTGAAAAAGATTTAACAGAAATGGAAAGAAAAGGAGAAAAATGCAGTGTATCTTCTAGTAGTGAAAAAGACAGTGAGTTAAGTGGAAATTATGGAACTAGCTGTGCCCGAGACACTGGACAAGAAGGTGAAGATTTGTAAAGATCATGTCCTTGTCATGTTTAATATGTTTAAGCTTTACACCCTAACGTCAGTATGCATATTCCCCGTATTGTTCTCCATACATTTTTTATGGTACTAACAAAGAGAATTTGTCTAACAATCCGGAGATTCTGGAGTGCTCAATCATTTCCTTTATTTTCATAACTTAAACAATGTTTGATTCAAGAGTGATGCTGTCGAGAGAAATTGGATGATTATCACTCTTAGAGGTTAGGGGTTAAAAGCAAATCAGATGGATAAAGTCGAGATTTTGTCGTTGCTTTCCTCGTTGTCGCATTTCTTGTTGAATGATGGTCGAGTACTAATATTTGGGTAAAATAAGACTTTTTAACTGAGCCTTAATTTCATCTCCGTTCACGTGTCTTCGTCACAAACCTTTGATTTGTACACTGAAATGGTCGATGTTTAGCAGTCGTAATCAGTCGTGCAAATAATATCCCAGTGGTCACCTCATTCATGTGGAAACTTTGAATGTGTTTACAAAAGTAAATGATAATATTACAGGTTCTCGGTGATCGGGAATTTTGTAGCTAATAATAATATTCATATTCTTAGGGCAGGGAAGGCCAACATACTTTCCCCCCGAGGATTTGATGTCCAAACTTTCTAGCTGCCTAGAATGTCTCGAAGAACGTCCGCAAAAGACTCTGGCTGGAAAATCTTCAGGATCCTGTGCGAAAAAGGCCCCTCCTGACTTATTAGAGAATGTGCGAAAATCAGGGGGGATTCTACCTTCTGATGCTCCTAAGTCCTTGCTGGTTACCAAGTGGGTAGATTACAGTAACAAGTATGGATTCGGAGCCCAGATGTCAGATGGAGGTGTAACTGTTCGGTTCAACGACTGTAGTAAGATAGCGATCTCTCCCAATAAAAGGTGAGATGCAATCTGAGAAACATTCCAACAACTTCCATTTTATTGTATTCGAATCGGTTAAAACGTAAGTGATTAGGCCACCCAGTAAGTAGGTCCGTCGGTTAGTCAGCTAGTGATTCAGTCAGTCTGTCAGTTAATCGCTCAGTTTGTCAGCCAGTCAATTAGTGAATTAGATAGTCAGTCAGTCGGTCAGTCGGTCAGTCGGTCAGTTGGTCACCCACTCACTCAATCAATTAGTCAGTTAGTCAGTCAGTCATTCAGTCGGTCGGTCTGTTTGTCCGTCAGTCTTTCTGTCTATCTAGAGGGGGAAATTTTCTGGTGGAGATGTATAGCAAGATAATTTGGTTTTATCAACTGACTTGATAATGCAAATTAGCCGCCGTAAAGAGTTCGCTCTAGCAAAGGGCTAATGTTCGAAACGTTAGCTTTGAAACTCTGTACGATTGGTTAATTTATATTTCCAACTCAGTCAATAAAACCAAATTATCTGGTCTGTCTGTCTGTCACTCATTCGGTCAGTCTGTATGTCTATTTGTCTACATGTCAGTTAGTCCGTCAGGCAGCCGGACAGACAGTACATGCAGTTAGTGAAGAAGCAAGTCAGTCTCTGCGGTCATTCAGTCAATGAGTTAGTCAGTCAGGCAGCCGGGTACGCAGTTGTTAATTAAAAAGCCAGCTTTTCAGTCAATCTATTGTGCATCTCTCTAATATACTAACCTTTTGTTATGGCTTTATCTGACAGTTTTGTACACTATTGTGACCAAGCAAACAATATACGTCAGTTCCGGTCCACCGCGGTGCCGACGAACTTACAGGCAAAGTTTATGCTGCTCACTTTCTTTGCGAACTACATGGAAAAACATCTCTTGAAGGTATGGCTCGGGGTACACTGCGTACACCCGGGTCCTCTATTCTTAAGATGCTTCTCTGATTAGGAGTACAAATGATTAAGAGAGGATAGCCGAGGATGGATTAAGAAAATGAATAGTATAACAATGATTGATTTATACTTTTGCAGGCGACACATTAAGTCAAACATAAACGGTAAAACTAAGAGATGAAGAGTACACATTCATCGATACTTTGTTCTATTAAAAAGAAGAAAACAATCTTTTAACCAACAGGGAGGTGATTCAAAGGCCCTCACATCCACTGACCAACCGAGCTTTCCGTTTGTTGACATCTGGTTTCGCACTGATATTACCATGGTGATGTATCTTAGCAACGGAACTCTACAGGTATGTATGCTTAATTTGTTCGGTTTTCTTAATATTACAAAGATATCGAAACGCAGATGTGAAGGCCACAATAGGACTCGCCTTGTGATGGCCTCCTTTTCCGCGTCACTAAACCGTGGACAGAAAAGAACTGTGTGAAATATAGCATTACACTTTTGACATTACTCATCCTGGCAGCGTGCAGGACGGCTGTCACATAGAGATCAATGCGATACACAACCTAACTCGACATCAGCTATGATCGACAGCTAAGTAATTCGACCAGTGATACAACTGATGATAAATGCGTTCCTATCAGTGATTCAAACTTTTTCCTTATTTTGAGAGATATTACCATGGGAAATAGTGCTAGCGATAATTGGCTAAACAGGGCGAGTGACTTCATTTTTTCGGAACCATTGTCAACAGCAGCATCAGAAGCCCTCAGTTTGAAAATTGGCCAAATTAACATGAGTGTTTTCCCCGTTCTTAGCGCCAGTTACGTGATCGGGTTTCCCTACAAGTTAAACTGAGTATGTAATGATTGTTACAAGCTGTCAGCGACACAGTTTTAAACTGTCTTAACTGAAATTCAATTAAGTACTTTTTTTTTTACTTTACAGGTTAATTTTTTCAATGATCACACAAAAATCGTTCTTATTCCTGGACCTAGGGACGTGTTAGTGATTTACATCGACAGGCAGCGAGAGGGGACAACTTATGTTATGTCTGATATTAACATGCAAGGATGTGCTTCAGAATTGATAGAAAGACTTCGTTATTGCAAAAGAGTGCTCAAAAAAGTCTGCGATTTAGTAGAGGAGGAAAACAACCCTTGACACTCCTCTAAGAAACCTTAGGACGCTTTCGATCAGTTGAAACAGTGTTGGATAACATTTAGAACCGATGCATCATAGATTCTTTATAATTATTTGCTACGAAGATAATAATTCAAAACCTTTAGAGAGAGTATAATTTAAAACAGTAAATTTGTATGTACACAACATGGATGGGAAACTGCAAGAGCGCCTGCAACAAAATTGGCTCGTGCTTAATTTAGGGTAACTCGAAAACGAGCTACCATGCATCAAAAGACTTTAGTAGCAAGAGCGAAACATAAGTTTTAATTTGCTGGTTAAAAAGAAGAAATAAAAGAGGGAAGTGTTTATTACTGCAGTCCTGCTGCTTGTGTTTTTCACTTAACTGCAAATGGTGGTCAACAAGTGACGCCTGAGCTCACCAGAATCTGAAATATGAAATCTTCGTTATCATCTTTTACACTATTAAACCATACTCGTTATTCTCGTTGTCTCTCTTTCACCTGGGAAACCTGACTTAATTACGAAAACATTGATGCTGGTGGTAAACACGGACAAGAATTCCATCCGAGAGAGGAACTCATACTTGTCAAATGACCCATATGGCCCCGTGCCCATAATCCCCGAGAAAACCATAGTAAGAGCAGACGTATTTAGGAACGGACGGGTTGACGTGAGTCGTTCTGGCCACCGCAAAGAGTTAAAAAGTTGACGTTTCGAGCGTTAGCCCTTCGTCAGAGGAATTGTGGGTTGTATGTGGGTTTGAAAGCGGAAAATAGAGCTAAGCTATTGGTGGGAATATGGTGTCAAGAAAACAAGAATAAATTAAAGAAAGATGTTTTTTTTGTTCGTCTTGTCGCGAGCGTGGGACAAAGAAAAACTTCTGAGTCCCCATGAGGAATCGAACCTCAGACATTCGGATTCCGAGCTCCGATTCTCTACCGCTGAGCCACAGGGACTCCACGGTGAGCGAAGTCTATTACAAGTTCATATGACACACTGCTAATGAGGATCAGCAGTGTCGATAGAAATAGGAGAGATGGTAAGTTTTGAGCTCCGAAAAGAAATAAAGTTTTTTTTTTAATTAGTTGAATAAATAGTGCTCGTTGATATCGTGGCGACTAAGAGTGCTGATTTGAGAGATACATTTTTGTTCTGTAGTTTTGCGGCTTTCCGAACTGCCTAGATGTAGGGAAAGGCCGCAAACTGCTTTAAATGACTAGGGAGATTGAAGTGTCTAGCGACTGGTTTAGATGCGTCTTTGTCGTTTCTTTTCACGTCACGTGCGATAGTGTTCTCAGAATCGGTCATCTAGTCGTCTTCCTGTTTCACCAATGTATAACTTTTTGCAACGAGTGCAAGTTTTACAGTAGAAGACATTGGCAGACGTGCACGTGAAGTGATCAGTGATCTTAATGGATCTCTTGGGTCCCGAAATTTTCTCTACGTTATAAATAAAACGACAAGTTCTGCGTCGTGATTGAGCGCATTTGAAAGTTCCAGGTTGGTGACTGGTTTGAAATGAATTTCTGAACAAAACGTTGCATACCTTAATCGAAAAACTAGAATAGTTTACAAACTGAAGTGGTTAGGCTTGTCGAATTTAACACGTTTGCCCAAGGTTTCTTTAGTTTCTAATACAGAATCTGAAAGTGAAATGTTCAGTGAAATCCGGCCGAATTATGGCTCATAAAATCACGCTAGTTTTTTCAAATGACAGATAGAAAACAAACTGTTCAAGGCGTGTTTCATGAATGAACGACAGCCGAATTCACAGGAAGGGATATCAGAGCAAGCTCTTAGTTGTTCACTCGAAGGGCGGCCGATGTGATTTCTGGAGCTTTCTTAACTACGATGACCGGAGATCGCGAGGATGAACTAGCTACTATGCACCTCAGCACAGTCGCTCTGACACCGTCATGGTTTGTATGAATTTTAACAGTTGTACCAGTGGCTATCTTTTTAATCATTCTTGTTTTGTTCCGTTTTATTTTTAAACACGAAACTGTATATACAGTACGAGTGTTAGCTGTGTTTGATTTTTACTATCGTACGTAAGCTTGCAACCATGTCTACAAACCTTTGTTTGATTCTTCTGTTGCAACTTGCCGGCTCGCAAGTTCCGAAATTTCACTATCAATTAACAAAAAAAAGCTTGAAAGAAGTCCCGGAAAAAGGTCGGACATCGTTCAATTTGGCAGATGGCGTGACGTCTTCAGCTCAGCTCTACGCTTTGTACACTGATAGAGCACATTCTTTCAACCAATGATAACGCGCGTTATATCCGAACTATACTATAAGAGAAAGATAAAGAACACCGGACAGGAAAACTTAAGAACCATTTTAATCCAAGCAATTATGGCAGTAACGATGAGACCTTTGGGTAAGCATAACTACGTGTACTCCACCACAAATAAAGATGTATTAGTCATCCATGAATAAATGAAGCTGAAATACGAGGGGAGGGGCAGATATTTCGTCCCACCAAGGGAACACAGCGGCAGGAAAGCATATTGAGCCCTTGCTCCTATATTCCTCTTCCAGGCTCTCTATTAATCCAAACTAGAAACGATGAATGTGACTGGGCAACGTCTCTTAACTGCATTCAGTTGCAGATCCTCAAACTGGTTACAACATCACAAAATCTTTAATTCTGAAGCAACAAAATTGTACTGAGTTCGAACTCTGAATTTGGTGTCCACCCCAGCTTGTAAATGCTTATGTCATGATGTATCTTAGACTCTAACACAAGCGACATACACGCCAACTTTCTCTTTGCTCATGGCCAATGTTCCATAGCAAAGCGACTCGAGAAATTGCACTCCCATCTAATCGCGAGGAAGTTTGTAAGAATCAATTACAGTAGTTTATTCACTTTAACGCCTATGAATCTTGAGACTCAGACGAGCAGGATGATTGACCACACAATCATCTGGAAGAACATCATTGAAATAAAATCACTGAATACATTCTAATTACAAGAGTTTGGTACAATATAACACTTAGCAAGTCGAACAACCGCAAATAATAAAATAATAACACCATAATTATAATTGTATGCTTTACCATATCTAATAATAATAATTATGATAAGCAGTATTAGTTAGGCCAGTAAGATGGTCCACCTGCGAGAAAATGAACTTCCAATTTTAATAGAATGTTCTTTTCGGACATGCAAAACATCAGAGACTTTGTAATTTAACAGATCGGGAGAAAAGAACGTCTTGGTTACGTTTAATCATCCGCTTGGTTTAGTAGAAAGTTGGCAGCCAACGTCTCATTCTTTTCACAAGCAAAATAGGCTTGGATAACTAGAACTTCTGGAAATCCAAGTTGTTTTAGCTGTTGAGTCAGGAAAAGAACAGTTCCTGTTATTGTAGACTGTAAGTGAAAAGGATGAGAGCACAAAGGGGGAGTACTGGGGAGAGAATGGTGGAGGTTGAGACAGAACTGTCAGAGCAACAACAAAGAAAAAGGTGGGCCAAAAACAAAACGACAAAATGATTGTAGAGAGGCAGTTACAGATAGGAGAGGGTAAGAAACTACGCGTGCAAGTACAAGGGTCTAGCCGTAGAGAAGGAGGATAGAGAAGGACATGGGTAACTAAGGTTAGGGAGGACAGAAAAGAATAGAAGAACTAAAAGTACTTTGGGTCAGAAGAGAAGCAAGAATGGGCAGATACAACAATCCCAACTCTTACCCTCTCAATGGCTTCTTTTTCTTGTGGTGTAACATTAACGTATCCTGCCTCAGCAGGTGGTGCTTCTGAGTCCTGTTCACCTCCTGAGCCAGGCTGGGGTGGCTGTGAACCCACTCCAGGGGCAGGACCAATATCGGGGCTGTTTAACATACCTATGAACTCCTCTTGATTTTGGCTAATAAGCTACAATAGGAAGATATATTTCAAACACTTTTTGATATAACCTTTACTCCAACACAAAGCCTTTTTTAAAATCATAAAACACCAAGTTATGTGATTTGAATAGCTAAGGAAAACTGATAACTATAAAGCTTGTAATAGTATTGTGACAGAAAAGACAATTGAAGTTCACCTTATGGCCGTTTGCCATTTCACATGTACAGCAGGTGTTTACCTGTTGTGGTTAGAGTCTTGACCCACAACACTAATACAACTACTAACCTGCAGGAGTTGTGGGTTTTCCTGTCCCATTTGCTGAAGTAAAAGTGTCAATGATTGAGGGTTTCGTTGAACCTGCTGCCTCAAGCTAAGGAATGCAGGGTGCGAGCGCAGGAAATCCAGGTTACCTTTTATACAGAAAACATAACAATAGGGGTTTGCTTGTCCCATTTGCTGAAGTAAAACTGTTACTTATTAAGGGTGTCACTGAACCCATTGTCTCAAAATACGGAATTCAGGGAGTGAGCACAGGAAGTCCAAGCTACCAGTACTTTTTGTGCGGAAAAGGTATTGATGTTCAACATAATTGATCATTTGAAGAGTATATGGCTCAACTCACTCCTACATGCACATGCATCCATTCCCTCTACATCAGTGGCAGAGAAATTGTTCAATAACCTGCAGTACTCAACTATTTTCCAACTCTGTCCCATACATGCACTGATGATTCATGCTGAGTTCTTTGATGAGAGGGCTCCCCCATGAATAATATTGATATCAAACTCATCATCATTACTATTACCGTTATCATAACCATCATAATTCTTTACCTCCAGAGGCTGGTGCATCGTCTCCACCCTCTCCTTGTTGTTCGTCTTGTTCTTGGGACTGGGGCATCTCTGGTATACCCTAAAATTATCAAAAAATAACAAGTTTGTCTCTGAGTAAATGCTTAAAAGATAATGCCCAATTTAAAAAAAAAAGCTCAACTTTTTTGTCCATGGGTCACCTAAATACATTGGCTACTAACAAGTTAGTCACATATCCACAAATAGAACTCCAAATTTGAAATTTTTGTTGCCAGAGATGTTCACCTGCAGTAAAGCACTCTGTTAACCTAGCAGACACAGGCACTTTCTACTTCAAATGGTGCACCACCGAAGTAAAGGACTTGTATAAATTTGACAGGTACACAACATTCTTTTATTGCACTTTTCTTTTCTAAATATTTCCAATTTTTTCCTTGCTACCCATGATTCCAAATGCTAGTATAGATGGTCAAGTCAGACTTCATTTTTCAAGTGGATTTAATTGTCAGACTCTAATTCCTGCCACATTTATGTTCTCATTTTATTTTTTTGGTTTCAACAATTGTACCCTTGAGTCTTATGTAGTAGGCAGTGTGATCATTTTCAGATTTAAAAAAATTGTACCAGTCTAATAAAAAAAGCTACATGTCACACCCTGCTGTAATTTGAAGACTCAGAATAACCAATTAGGTCACAGTTCAATAACTACATTAACAGGTAATGAGCTTCAGATACCAAATTCTATGGCCCCTTTTTGGCATAATTTGCTGATTCAAAGAGTAAAATGCTCTCTTTTCAAACTTTTTTTTTCAATCACGTACAATCTTGAAATGATTGTCAGATGTTTATCATCTTCTGCTGTTTTCTGTAGTTCACTTCAAGAACTGGAAATGTAATGGTGTCTATAGGCCAGAAACACCAAAGGAAAGAGCTCAACTGTGTATCAAGTGCAAATGTTGAACAAAAAACAATAAGTAACACCAGGAAACATTGGGCCAAAATTGGGTCAAGATAGGAATTCTATTGTTACACTCACTAACTCATCCCAATGACGTATGTAATTTCCCCTCCTTTAGGAGGCAGTAGCCACAAAAATGAAATGCCTACAGAAAAAGACACTTACACTCATCAAGTACTCCACAGCTCTGTCTGGATTGTTAAAACTTGCTCGGAGAGCTCGGTTAACCTGCCATTGAAAAACAAATAAATAAAAACATTAACAAATAAATGAAGGGATGATGAATGCTACAACAAAGTACACATAGAACCATACAAACAGCTGTTCTAAGAGAGTTTGTTGGGGGAAAGCATGAAAATACACATGAGAACCCTAGAAAGGAATGTGGGTAATTTTCAGGTTAAGTTTCCTTTGCCTCAAATTTCACAGAAATCTGAGAAAACGTTACTGTATGGACGAGGCATCCAAGTTTGGAGAATTTATTTGTTTCACTTATTGAAATTTATTGATAGCTGGATACCCAAATAACCTTTTGAGGTCCAATTTTGTCCTTTTTTTCTGACAACCTTTCTGAAAACAGCTGTATGCACTGAGAACTCCACATTGATATAAAAAGATTTGAAATTATTCCCAATTGTGATACCAACAGGCTAATCAAAATTTATGCCTTGCGACTAGACTCATAGTGGTATACTCAGTAAATGATTTTAAGACTCACCTTTTCCCTCTCGAATCCCATTGCACTTATTTCATCCACCATTCTGTCATAGTCCTGCCCAGTAACTGCAAGTGCAAAGGAAACATCAGCAGAGCGTAAGAATTTTAGTTGGTGATCATTTCCTCTATTCGTGTGAGCTTAATGTTTGATTTAAAGGTAATTTTTAAGTATAAATTGGATGCTTGTCTCTCTTAGTGGTTAAGGGTTTAGAGTTCACCACCAAAGCAGGTCTGTGGTAAGTGCTCACCCACTTCAATCGCTATGAATTAATCCATTCAGCTTCATGCTTCCACTATTAGCCATACATTTCAATAGTCCCAAATCAAATACAAATGGACATAAGTTCTAAATAATAAAATAATTAATTTCATGATACATCTTTTTGAAGTACTGGCTGCTTTCATGAATTATAACTTTGACCAAGATTTGAAAAGCAACAAACTTTTAAATTACAGGTGTTGGTGTTCTAAAATTAGTGACTGGCCCTTCAAACTCAAATTTTGAGAACTGAGATTTAAGTTTTACAGTCAAAGAACTGAGGTGCAAGGGAATTTCATCTTAAATCCTAGTTATACATTTGATCCTCTTTCTAACTGGCGTACCAAGAGTTGATTCAGCGGTGGACAAAACTTGATCCGAGCTAGATGATGGAGCAGCAGTAGAAACAGCTGGACTTGTTGTTGATTCAGGCTCATCTGTAACTTTGGGTTTATCAGCATCAGAGCTAAATAGAGTTCCATCACAAAAAAAAAGGGTCAGAGAAAGACATTTTACACACAACAACAATAAAGAAGAATTAACAAGGTGAGTGTGCTGACCATAGAGCATGACAGTCTAGATGGATGTGTTTGGAGTAGTTCAACAGAAGTGTATCGTGGCCACCTGGGAACCCACCTAATCCCTCCCCTTAAAATAAACTGATACAACAGCTGGCATGTATCGTCTCAAGTTTGACAGCCAACTCAAAATGCATAGAGTCCCTGGACAAAACAGGCAAGAACAATAAATCTAACCATATTGACAAACACAGCTTACAAATTACTACAATGTCAATAAATATTATAATTCAATAAAATTTCAGTACTTCAGTACAAACTGCAAGGCACGACGCACCCAAAGAAAGATACCCTCACCTTTCAGGCTTAGACTCATCTGCAGGCCTTGCTGTACTTTCTGTGACTGTTGCAGCAGTGGGCTATCAAGGTCATAAACGCAAATAAATATCAGACAAAAAGCTTTTGAACTTTGCAATAACAAGGAAAGATGCTTCTTCATCAAGGTATCAGGCAGACAATGATTACAAATTCAATGCAAAGGGAAACTAAACCTAGAATAAAGTACATATTCATATCTGGATAAATCAAGAGCTATACTTGCTAAGAAAACACCCAAGCACAAATAAAGTCACTAAACACTCCCAGTGGCAATGCTTCTCATTGCCATGCCATGCAGAAAAAAATTTGGCCCTTATATTGCTGTAAAAACCAATCGCTAATTTGTTAGGGTGGTCATGTTTCAAGCTGTACAATAACACTGGTTATTTATCAAGGCCTTTCTGGATTTTGTGGTGAGTTAAACATTTATAGAAAAATATCCTCTACACTCCATTCAGTTCCTATGTCTAAGTTGGCATTATCACCTTAATTAGCAAAGTAGTATGCTTTTTAATATTTGATTTACATGTACATTGTTGTAGAACAGCTAGGCAGTCATTTTGTCAACTATTTTGAGGACAAGTTGTAGAGTCTGCATTGTGGCCCATTAAGTAACAATACAAAAACTATCGTTTTCTCCTTTTTCGGTGAACAATATTCCATCTCTATCAATAACTTAAGGTTGCCAAACTGGCACAAAGAAAACATTGAACTTCAAGCAGGGGACAAGTACTTCTTGGTACATAAAACTCTTGAAAAGAGGCAATTCCTGGGAGAGAACAAAATCCTACCTGAGGTGTTGTTACAGGTTGGCTTGGAGCTGGAGCAGGTGCAGCCTTTGGCTAAAATATGATGTGGAACAGAATCTGTTTGTCTGACTTACTCACTACATGTGCCATATCTAAGCACTCTCTCAAAAACTTTTCAGCCATTTGCATTTTTCATAATTTTGCACTATGGCTGAATAGCTTGTGATCAGTAGCACAGTTCTGATGTACAAAAGCGTAACATTGGGGTAAATTGAAAAATTGATTAAAGAATCAATTCTTATTAGAATTAAGTCAGAAAGTGAAGGAAATTGGTTCCTATCTTGAAATTATGTCATTTTGGTCGATTCAGACGCATTTCAAGCAAAATTTCTATTACCCATGATGCAATGCGGCCTAGCTCTTTTTTTTGTTTGTTTTTTTTTTGTAAAAAATGCATTAATACCGTGTTTCAAGGAATATGGTTTTTTCCTCGCCACATCTGAATCCTAGAAACTCTAGAATCCTTAATCTTTGCATTTAATTTCACGGCCTTGTGCTTGTGAACAAACAGCACATGACTGCATGCTTGAAACATGCGGTATGTACTTAGGAAGTTTCCCGCTCATTTCCTCATCTGATGTAATATTTTACTTCTTAATAAGGAAATCTAAAACAGTCCTTATTGATTAAGTAGACTTTGGGATGATTTGGAAGTAATGGAAGCCATCAAAATGACAAACGCATCGCGCTTGTTTTAGCTATAAATTTGATCGCGTATGTTCCTGAGGATCAAAGTTGTAGACCTAATGTTTCAGATGAACTTAAATGCTAATATTTATGTCAGCTTTTAACAGATTTGATCAAGTTTGGTACCAAAATTTAGCTTGTCATTTGAGCATTTTGTTTATGTCAAAGTTGACATGCTCCAGTGTATACTTGTCGCAAACAATGCGATTAGGAAATTCATTGACTGGTTCTATCGCGCGGCAGATCACAGCGCTCGCCAACTGTTTCGGACGCAGAAACAAATTCATATCTCAACAATGTTTCGACAAAAACACCAAAAAATGAAAAGAAATTGAAAATCAACTTATGAGCATTGCATTTTGAGGTTAAATTGTTCTGTAACTCAGGAATTATGACTCGCAAAATAAATTTAAAATTATCTGTCTCTCCTAAGCTTTAAAGCGTGACGCGTCAAGTGGTGAACACTTTCGTTGATTTTAAGAAAGATTTAGCTCAAATTTTCAGGATTTTGGTTGCCACTTTGCTTAAAAAGGAACTATTTTCATTATCTGTTAAGTCTTACGGTTATAAGCGAGGCTTCAGTGGGCAAAAACAGGAAAACAGTGAATAGTGAAGCCGACGCATGTTACGTGACACCATGTTTTTGTCGCTAACTTTACAATTCAGCTCCGATTCAATATTTTCAGAGATCCTTTATTCTACCTCTGTTTAGTCCAAAACCATCTTTAACACATTTGTAACAATTGTGGAAAGTCTCAAGCAGATCTGATCATTGTCTGCCGAGGAATTCTTAAAAGATTCAAGCAAATCCGTGATTTTTCAATTTATACGTGACAAGCGTGCTACTGATCTTGTTTTGAGGGGGCCTCTAAAGCAAAAAGCCCACTAACTCTTTAAACCCTAAGAGTGAGTATCAAAGTAATTAATTACTGCAATAGCAGGTAAAAAAATAATTATATCAGGGATTAAACAAATATATAATATATCTAATAGTTTCACCAGCAATACAGGCACAAATGAAAGTATAACTACATTTACAATGTCTTATCAAAGCATGTTGAGTAATACAACATACATATATAGCACATTACATATAACTAAAATGACCCATTTTCTTTCAACACAATTTCAATTACATACAAAAACTCTGTGAACACAATATACATGTGCAGGGGTTTCAAAATGATTTGAAGTAGGCGTCAGACTCTGCACAAGTAGGTGTCTGTGAAAAGTTCATTACTGCATTTATCCGTGTATAAGCCAAACCCATGTATAAGTCGACCCCCCATTTTCAACGTCAAAAATCAGATTTTTCATCATTTCTAGTTAAAGAAAAATTCAGACCGATAGAAAGTTCCCAAATGTTTGATCTCTTATTTCTAAGAATGTATTGAAAACACGGTGAATTTAAAAAAACTGCAGAGCAAAATGTAACTGTGTACTGTGAAGTTTCGTAGAACTTGTTTATATCACCACAATTCATGATTTAAGCATACACGAGCACCTCGATTTACTGGAGAAGTAATTTACCAAATTTTGTAAATCGCTTTGAAAATGAAATCTTCATGCATTTGAATAACGTTTTGAAAGGAGATTTAGTAGACCGAAGGAACACCGAAGAGCTTCAAAGGATCACTTGATGAAAACACCGCCATCTTGGAAACTACAAATTTGAGGAGCACTGGTAACTAAGATAACCTGTACTTACAATCTCATTGGTCCTTTTCTGGTTGCTAAAGAAAACAATATTCGCGCAACAAGCCTTACAAGCCTTTGGTTACAATAACATAATTGGTCCATGTGCGTAACAAACAAGACCGTATGAGAAAACAGCATTTGCCAGGTCACTAAGCTGCTGCAATCATTCAATGAAAACGAGAGTTTAGTACTGTAAACAGCAGCCAAGCTGTAACAAAAAATGTCTGCTCTACAGATCAGAAGATACAATAGAAATCAGCTCCAGTAGGTTTCTGTTTAAGCCACATGAAATTTATTACTTCAAACTTTTTTGTTGATGAAGGATGCACTGAAAATTGACAAAACTCAAAAACAATTAGAACTGGTTTTGTAAACTAGGTTTTACTAATGGACTTCAGGCAATTGTTATGCTAATTTCTTGGGTTGCTTGGGTCAGGTCGTGTATAAGTCAAGGGTGATTTTTTGGGCTGATTTTTCAGTCATAGAAGGTTGACTTATACACAGATGAATACGGTAATTTACATCCAAAAGTTAATTATTTTGACCAGAAAGACAATGACATGTCCTCAAGTTGCCAGCTGAACTCCCAGCTGTCACCAGCTTGTTTTGAAACCCCTGAAACAGCACCTTTTGGATGTTTTAGAGAAGAGACTGGTGCTCACCTTTGTTACCATAACGACAACAAAACCCTTTTCATCAATTTTGTACTCTGATACTGGCTGGTCATCATTTAATATTTTCCCTGAAAAAAAAAGATATTTCAATGAAAAAAACAATTAAGTTTAAACACACAGGCTGATAAGTTTCTGCTGAAGGGGATCAAGGAAAGATAGTCCTGGTTGGTATTTTGCCATGCAGACCATTTCCATGAAAACTGTTATATGCTGTGTATTCCGGATTTTACAACAGCTAGCAAATTCAATATAAAGAAGTGGTCCAAGTGAGTTTTTTTTAATACCGACCTTACTATGTTCAGCCTGTACTGTCACTAACTTGGGCCAATATTCCTCAGTACAGCCCTTGTGCTTGGTTAGCAAGAAGTTATCAGTTTAATGTAATTGGATGATACCAACAATATCAATCACCCACATGAAAGAGTTATCAACTGATATAAGTTGACCACTTGATATTTATCATGATTTTCAACTGCCAAGTCTTATGATTTTTTTGAGAATCAACTAGCAGTCATAATAATAATATACAGAATTATTTACCAGCATATATAAGTCTGATGCTAGCCTTGGGATAAGCTTCCTTTCCTTTCTCAGTTTCCAGTTGGTTTTTGAGATCCGCCACCTGAAAGCAACAAGGTTGTTAGATAAATTTCCACATGACAACAACGTAGAAGTTGACTATAGCATAAACTGTGGAGTACAAATGCCTTATTATAAGTGTTGCACAGGACTACTGAAATACGTGGGAGGAGGGTGGTCTCTAAACCAGTTAACTCTCACAAGTGACCAGGAGAGAGTTTCTCCTTACAATATCAATACAATATCCAATATCAAGCAGAAAAGTGATGAGATTGAGAAAAATATAAATTACTGGATTATTAGAGCATCCAATGCCAGATTCTCAGAACTAACATCATAATAATTTTATAGTAGAAAGGAGAATTAATAACAAGAGCTTGGTAGTGAAAGGATGGACCATTTTTTGACAAAGAATCAGATCAACATCTCAATAGAGCAGCCACCTTTGGTAGCTCTAAGAAGACTGCAGCTCTTGTTAGAAACAACTGATAGAATTCTTACATATTGAAAGCTTTGGTTGACAGAAAAAAAAATATCCATTGAACCCATAGGAAAGTACTAGCAGATTCTAGAAAGGACAGTAACCAAAATAAATTCTTCTTTTGAAATTCAAATATGTTTCACAGCAAAAAATTTTAATGGCAAGCCTTTTTTAAACCCATGTTCTACTACAGGCTTGAATAAATAATATAAAAGATTTATATGGGGCCATTTCTACAAAGTATCCAACAGCACTCTATAATACTGAAAGTTAAATAATGAAATAACAAATGCATCTAAAAAAGAAAGGCCTAAAACACATTATTTAAATTATATACATCTATTAAACCAATGTATATCAACTAGAAGTTCTCTCAAAAAGAAGTGACTTCAGCTTAGATTTAAAAGTGGTCAACAAGTTGTACCTCTCCATATCCTATTGAAGAAAATTCTCAGAGGGCACAGAGGGCACAGTAACAAATCCTGAAATCTGATTGAATTGTAGTGCCATCCAGATTTTCCTATCTCTGCTCATGGGCACAGCAATGCTTTTGTGAGTTGCTAAGAGCATCACTAGCTTCTTTGCCATTTTTCATAAATACACTTTGTTTTGCCAACTGGCCAGCACTTTCAAGCAAAGTACTTCTAAGCAAATCAAGCAAAATTATAACTTATCAATCTTCTCTTTGCTCTCTCTTAAATCACTTTGATTGTCAGCAAAAATTGTTAAGGAAATAAATTTGTAACTTAAATTGCATAGCAAGAACCAAAGGAATTCAATGAGAAAAAGCTGCATTAAATTCTCCTTGGGCCTAATGAACGTGTCTCATTTTACTTTAGTTTTTTGGTGGAAAAATTTGCATATGCCATAACAACACACAAACGAGCAAGCTTACACAGCTTCAAAACCTATCATTGAATTTACACACAAATACTTTCCTTGCCATTTCCTGACTGAGCAGAGGTATCCTTCATACATTAATCATTGATGGAAGTAACTAATTCTTACCGTAAGATCATTAAACGTTGTTGAGGAAAAAATTGTTTGACAGTCATTGAACTTTAGTTTGTTGGCCAAACCAGTAACATTTTTTTTTCAATAGTGTACATGCACTTTTTTTTCTTAAGCACTCTCTAATTGACAGTTGTCTGATTGTGACAGATACTTGTAAAAAAAATGTTTCAAAGTTTGTTTGGAAGCCTTTTAAATCGCATTTATTGTTACACAAATAAAAATATTTCAGTGAAGCCTCTCTCTTTAATTTGCATTACCTGTGTTTTAAGCCTACATGTAGATTTGTCTGTATTGGGAAAAACTGTGCCCAAGGTCTTGAGTACTGCCTGAGGCCCTAGGGCGAGGGTGGTACTCAAGACAGACCAACTCCAAAGAATAATTAAAGCATACCTCTTGCTCTCTCTTAAATTTGCATTTCCTATGTTTTAAGCCTAGGTTAGTCCATATTGGGAAAAACTGTGACCTTTGTCTTGAGTACCACTCTCAGCCTATAGCCTTGGGTGGGACTTTGTACCTTGGGCACAGTTTTTTTCCAATATGAACCTCCCAGGGGCAAATAATGTATTAATACTGGTGCAGTAAATGAAAAAGCCTATGACTGTACATCTTAAGATTACAACTTAGTATTTCAAGAAAATATTTCCTAGAGGGGCACAATGTTCTCGGAGGAATTAATCTGAATAATTCTTTTAAATTCTCATACATCTAGCTGTACATTTGATCTTGTTGCACATACAAAGTGTGGTCTGAGAGATTAAAAAAAAATTGTATTAAAGTATTGTTCAAAAGACTTCCACGTGTGAACTTACACAGGAAGCAGTTCATACCCAACTCTCACGACTTTCAAGGCTTGGATAACACTACTGTATGATTCAATTACTTTCCAGGTGTTCAATGATATGTGCTTACATTAAGAACATGCTGAAAACTAGAGTGAACTTCAAAAATTGCAATCAAAGTTAGGTGTGTTTTCACATGCCTGACAGTTCTACTGAATATTCCCCACAATTATTACAGAAGGACAGATGGTGAAGATTCCAACATATGTTATTGTCATGGCAGGCAATCAAAAGATTGTCAGGTTAATGATCTTTACTTACTCATTTTCAACACTCTTTTCACATTACATGATCAAAAAAATTAGTCAACCTAACACACAAGTTTCCAAAAAAATTAACCCGACTATTTTACAAAGTTCATGTATTTCGGTGATAATTAAGTGATTACAAGGGCATGAAACAAGAGAGAAATGCAAATAGATGTAATCCATAGGAAAATGTAAAATTTATAAGTTGAAATATCTAATCCATAGCCTGCCGGCCAGTTCCCATTCATTTCTGGCAGGAAGTTAAAAATTCTTTGATTTCATACCATTGCGACTTGTATAATGAAAGGTGAAAGAATTTTCAGTAAACAAATACTATCGATTGCTCAGTCACACGTGTTATAGAGACAAAAGCCTACTTCTAAAGCAGGAGCTCTTAATGCTCAACTTAAATTGTACTTGGTCTAGAAAAAAAGTCGACACTTTGAGTAAGTGGTTAAGAAATATGTCGAGAGCTTATATCGATATTTGAAAAAGCAATTTACTCTTCAAGTAACCAAATGCACTGGAAGATAGGATAATAGAAACACAGTAGACATAGCAAACACTACAAACAAAAATAACGAGAAAAGATAGAAAAATGCTATAATCGATGTAAATGTCTGAAAATTGAATAAAAGACCGAGACCTGCTCGTGATCGATCAGGTTGTCAAACGTACCGTTGCAGACTCGTCTATTTCAAGCTTGAAAGTTTGTTGTTGGAGAGTTTTAAACGTTATCTGCATGGTTCTTCTCTAATATTGCAACAGATTTAGATCCCCGACGGTAAAATACAACGGCTGAGAGCAAGGAAATCGAAGAAATTTGGAATACTGCACTACAAGCATTTGTAGCGTGTAATCCTTAGAAAGAACCAGCCACATGACGTCATCAAGTTGGCTACGCGTACCTCGCATGCGCCATGTGGGGCCCGTAGGGTTATGGGTAGTTTTTGGTAGACTGGGCACGAGGTTGGGTGTAGTCGGAAAAGACTAGCACTAGAAGGAAGAACCGGAGCAAAGTTATCATCGAATATCTATTGCCAAAATTGTGGACAAATGAAATTCGTCTGTGAACTTGCAATAAGTATTCTTACAGCCAAATGTGTGTTGTAGCGATTGAAGTGACTGAAGTCACGAGGTTCGTTCCGTCTAACTTCGTGACTTTGCTCGAAAGCTTCCGGAAATTCACGGAGGAATCCAGAATGATGGTAACCATCCAAATCCGAAGAATAATCAAAGCATACCTCAGGCGATCTACAAATACAGTAAAAAATATTATCCTGCGTTTATCAAATTTCCTTTAGCAAAATTCATCAAATTTAGACGCTGTGATCAAAATCTTTCGGTTATGTGACCGCAAGTATTTTCACTGATTGAAATTAAAGATATGTGGTAGTAAACTACTCGTGTTTTCCTTTGGTCAGAAAAGTACAGGGTTATTTTCATCCGCCAAAGTGTTACTGATCGATCCAGTCGCCAAAGTTTACGAAAGATAATTGAATTTAATCAACCAGCCAATAAATTTAGACTGTTCCCACATTAGATCGTAAACAATTGAAGCGATTTACCATATTGGGTTGTGTTTTAACTAAATATGTTTTGTTCACTCGAAAGGTGGTATTTGAAGCAACAATGCTAAGTATAAACTGTAACAAACCTGGCTATCGTTTATGTGCGGTTACTATTCTAGGACGATGGCGTTAGGCCCGTGTCTACATCTTAATGAGTAAGTGACTGACTCATTTGCATATTGGAGTCACCATAACAACTTATTTCTACGCTTTGCGTTAAGTTAAAGACGAGGCACTCCACTCTCAGGCCCGTCTGTTTGTGGACAACAATTTAGTTACATTTGTGGAGTAAAGCTGGAATTCCAGTTTTTCCTTCATCCTCTTACTGATCAGTAGTTCGCTACCACCCTTACATATTCCCATTTCTTATATGGACGGGAGTGTTTTACCTCAGTGGAACTAAGACACTCGTAGAATCAAAACGACCACTATACATCGGAGTGTATGCAACACGAGTGGTCACATTTAGCAACTACGTCACAACCCGCCTTTTAAAACTTTTCTTTTCAATCTACCACGTATTTATTGCCTATATGATAACAAGAAACATTACTCGTTAGCTCGAAGATATGAATTTTATTTTCTCACATCTTCTCACAACCGTATAATATCCTCAACATAGCTATCCCCTCCGATCAGCTCCTTGTCGACAACGACAAAAAAATTTATTTTTCTCGTTGTTGACAATCATTGTTGTCGTTGTTGAAATAAAAAAATTTATATAAAAGCTTCTAAATATGGCCGGCTGCCCCCAAATAAAACTTAAAAACTATTATATCATTATGCAGCTGCCTGTAAGATGAAAAGAAAATATATGACAGATTCATCCCTCGACCATGAGAATCTGTTCGATGACCTTTTCATTTTTCTTTTTCTGGCCTATAGCTTATGTAGGCACACAGGGAAATGTTTTAATTCCTTCTCTGGTCTAGTTATAAGCGGGCTAAATAAAAACTACCATAACACATATAACATGATCGCTATAAAAAAAAAAAAAGATCGCCCGACTGCTTTGCTCGTGGCTCATAATGGCGGGAGCCCATCCTGATGATGGCCGATTCCATTAAAGCAATAAATGGCAATTAAAGAAATATACATTACTTTTGAATACATTGAGAATCCTCCTTTTAAAAAAAAAATTTTCTTTAGTAAAAATTTATTTGCCTGTCATATAAAATTTTTAGACAGCCTAGTGGTGTTTTTTTTTTATTAAAAAATATAAATCCCTAAAACACTGACACAGGGAAAATTGAGAACTATGACCTGACGCATATGGAATTTGTGAGAAAAACAGCGAATTCTTGGCCCAATTCAAGTGAAAGGATAACACTGGGTTTATCACAGGCGGCCCAAGCTCCAGCTGTGAGATGATCATCTTGCACAATAACAGTCACAGCGGAATGGGCTTTTCTTATGTAAGTTGAAAACCTCGAAATGGACAACTCGCTAAAATGGGTACTTTTCATCAAAATAAACGGTGGGATAACAAGCGATACGCTGTGAAAGTAAGGTGAGGTATTTTCATTGAGAATTTGACGTATTGTTTTATTCCTTAGAGCAGTCGTAAATATTCTCATACAAACTCTTATAATTCCGCCATGACTGTTATTGTGCAAGATGATCATCTCACAGCTGGAGCTTGGGCCGCCTGTGGGTTTATAAGTGAAATATTGGTAAAAGCTTGCTAAAGACAGCATTGGTAAAAGCTTTCTAAAGACAGCATGTTTCTTTTTCATTAACAAAAGGTTGTTTCCATGGAGATGGGCTCACAGGAACATCTGTCATCAAGACCTTTATGGATCAGTTCAATCTCCTGTTGTGGTTTGTTGTTTAAGAAAAGCAAAAACACAGTCTCGCTTTACGAATTTCTCACCCATTATTAAGCTATCATCCTGAAACGAAGGGCTAAGGTTAATTTTGCTTTGAGAGTCAAAAATTAAAGAAGGAGACCTCTGCTGCGAAGTTTTACTTTGAACGGAAGGTTAGTTGAAGCTGAACTGATTCGTTGATGAAGGACTAGGGATAAATTAGTAAGCTGATTCTATATTTTAAGCTTCACAATGCAAAAAGCCAGATTTCATGGTCAGCACTTTGGGATCTTTGAGAAAAGCTTGCGAACTGACGATTCCACGAAAAACACTACAACAGAACAGAGAACCCCTCGCATAAACGAGACAGAAGATATGGAGGAACACCTTGGAAAGAAAACACAACAACACGATATGGCGAATACAGCCGAAGGAAAGCGGAGACAGAGCGTATTTTACACGCACGAAATCAAGAAAATAATGGACGAAATTTTGAAGGAGAAACTATCCACTCAATTATATGACGCCAATACCTGTAGGGTTCTCTGCATTAGTTTGTCAGAGGATATTAAAAGCCGAGTAAAGAATCTAGGAATGGAGAGATTCCGTTTGATATGTAGCGTCAGTATAGGATCGAACTGTGGCCAAGGTATTTTGATGGCTAGTCGGTTTCTTTGGAATGACTTCAGAGATAATTTTTCGACTTCTTCTTTTCAAAATGCGTCTTTATTTGCTGTAGCTATCGTTTTCGGAGTTCTAAAAGAGTGAAGTGACATTTGGAGCGATGAAGAACACTGTAGAAATCAGGCTGAATGGATTAAAGCTTTAAACAGCAAGTGATGATCATGACTCTATGTAACCGTACCGAAGTCTCAAGCCAAATGAAATAGATAGATGGCAAATTTTCTTCTATGATTTTACCCTTTTAAAGGTTATCTCCATGCTGGGTCGTAAAAAAATATCAAAATTATCATATTAAAATCGGTGAAAATGATAAAACATCCCTTGCAATCAAGTTTCGGTGAACGAAGCCGTAAATTTAAATAACAAAGATAGTTTTGAATTTCATGACTGAACTGTTCTTTTTAATGAATTGAGGCAAATTTTGTTTTCTCCGCTGTTCTTATGGTGACATTTCATTAATTTTTCTGTTTTCCTCTGTCAGGAACTAAAATATATTAAACAATATGAATTATTGACTCCAACGTTTAATTTGTTGACTTTTTTATTGAAATAAGCAATTTGGAATGAAAATAATCACGGTGAAAACCTTTCAATCTACATGAATCAAATATCACGCCTACGTCCTCTGTAAATAATACCAAATAGGTATAAGATTTTAATTGTCTTCGCGCTCTACTGGGGAAAAAAGTCCAGCATCGATTTAGTATGATTATTTCACATCATATAATTTGAGTTTTTCAAGCGTTGCGCGAATTGCACACTCGAATGAGAATTCTCACGGCCGTCTGCCATTCTGGAACCCAGACCTCTTACAGTCACACAGCTGGCTAACAACAAGAAGTCTCCAGGGTAGAGCAAGAATGAAATATTTACAAACGCAGTTAGTTATTACAGATTCTTCAAGTTTTGAACTCAGACCATGGTCGCTTATTCGAATTCGTCAGCTAAGGTTGACACGGGCATAAATAATATATACTATAAAAAAAAACGGGTGGGAGATATTTTTCAAATGAATTCGCACAACTTTCGAATAACTGAGTAGAGAAACCGTATCGCATATGGCATACAGTACTCCATTATATAAATGATATCTCACGATAAACACAGTATTTAGCTGGTGTGTACAGAAAAGGTTAGGGGCCCGCTTGTCTACCCAACCTATAATTTTCTTGAAACTCAAAAAACTCTTTCTCCAAACTCGGCGAGTTAGATTTTTAATTTTAATGTCTTTGTCGGTCATAGATATCAATATCTATGAATCAAGTACCGATTAAAGGATTTCGTGAAAAGTAATATCAAAGACAGAAATAAAAAAAAAGTAATATCAAAGACAGAAATAAAAAAAAAGTAATATCAAAGACAGAAATAATATTCCCAGACGCGAGTTATTTAACAAGGATTCTACCCTTGACGTGCAAACGCACTGCAAAGAGACAAGAGATCTTCTTATACACGAACTTTTTTCAAGTCATCCACCAGGCTTAAATATACGGTAAATACAGGATTCGTAAAAAGAGAAACGCTACCCCTCCTGAGAACGAATTCATCACGCTCCACGTTTAATAAAAACGTACAGAAGTTCTAAGTAAGCTTAAAGAATCGAGGATACTCAGGTGAAAGTTTTGAGAAACGTATCTCTTGAGTTATTTTCTGCGGGAGAGAAAGGTTACTTAAATACAAAGTAAATAGTGTACAGGAGAAAATATTGCCTTTTCTAACAAATTAGCGACTTCTCTGCTCGCAGAGTGATCATTTATCAATTTAAAAAAGTAAAATCGTCCACAATTACATACAACGCTAAACCAGAGATCGCTTTATTTCTTCTAATTTTCCTATTTGTTGCTTTCTTCATTTATTTTCGAAAACACTGATTCCTTTCAAAATTTCTAACCGCCGCCCCCTGACGCGCATGACGTCCTTATTCTAACTAAAGATCAGAGCTTGCCGATGTTAACTTTCGACCCGGCTGATGCCAGTTGGTGTTACGGCGTTGCTCTTCTTTCATACAAGCCGGTCCAGCTGCTCTTCATACAAGCCGGTCTAGCAGGATAAATGTCATAATTTAGTATTTTCAGTGTTGCGTGAAGGCAGGCGAAACGGCTTGCACAATATCTGCACCATTTCGGTTGCCATTGTCACTTGTCACCATTCCTGGTGACAAGTTATGTTAGCAATCCCAGACACAACGTCCAATCCTAACCACAAAGAGTAGATAATGAACCACAATTTCTTTGAACTTCTGACCTTCCTATATTTATAATCTCTTGACCCAGACGTTTATTAAATCCTTAAAAAAATGTAAAGGATGCTCAGCTACGTCATCAAGTTATTATATTGCTTCTTCAAGAGCCTTTTGTTGTCAATCAAATTCTCCTCGTCTGTCATAAGGTTAATGAAAAACCAAAAAGGAAACAAATTATGAGCTAATCAAAAGACTGATATCGGTATTTGAAGCTCGCAAAATCGTGTAAGTTTTCGCCTTGTTTCATCACGTTTCTAATTGGAGGGAAATCCTTGGATAATGAGTAACAAGACTGGGACAAGAAGTCCAGCGGCAAGATTAAGAAGTCTGGCTTTGAGTAGGTCTGTTGGTAGACCAAAACTACGAAAAGCTTTGTCGGTAAACAGCGAAAGTGAGCTATTAAAGGCAGTCGCTGGGACTTCACTTACGACAGGCAAAGATTTCGGCGTGAGCAAAACCCCGCCTTTACAAAGGAAAGCACTAAGTGCCTCTGAAAATGTACTTTCAATCAAGTTACAGGCCAGTTCATTTAAGGAATACGACAGAGAAATCACGACTTCAAGCAACCATGCGGAAAACGTCGGTAAACAGCCAAGGAGTGGCAAAGAGTATCAAAAAACAAACAGTTTGGATCGTAAGGATTTAAACTCGAAAATACAAGAGATAATTCGCCAGAGTTTGTCTGCGCACCTCGAAAGTATGGAATACAATCACGAAATCTGCGGCAGCAAGTGTAGAACTATAAGCCAATCAATAGAGAAAGGTGTCAAATCTCTTTACAATACTCAATACAAAATTACAGCTCTGGTTTACATCGGCGCTATTCGAGACCGAGGAATTGAAATCTCTAGCCAATGTGTTTGGAATCCGAAGACAGATAACTTTGCGATGGCAACACTTGACACCAATTCGCTGTTTGCAACAGGGATTGTTTTTGCTACGTTATTCAATGATGACTAGATGTTTGCCCGCCGATTTTTAGTTCGTGAGGGAATCTTGGCTCTCCCGCAGGAGATGTTATTATTTTTTCACTTCAAAAATATCAACAATAGAAAGAAACAGTGGGAGACAAGTTGAAAGAGTTATTCATTGATAGGGAGATAATTGATGGTGCGATTAAAATTAAAAATGAGAATGCTGTTGTAAATTGTTTGAAAATAGGCAGCGAGGCGCTTCATTAATCTTAATTGTTTCTCAAGGTTCAATATCTCAGGAGAACAAAGAACTAAGTTCTCGAGTCCTTTCTTTCAAAGAAAGTCATGAAGTGTAAATGGTCAGAACTTTTAATTTCAGTTTTAAGTTTTCAATGTCAGTATTTCGAGACTGCGTAGAACCAACAGGAGTTTTACAGTTTATCGTATCAAACTCAATAAACAAATTAAGGCCATATTCTAAAGCCAAAATGCATTTGTGTAACTTATTTGGATAATTTATTCACGTTGAATCCACTGTTTGACTTTTTCGAAAGCGAGACTCATCCACTGTGAAAAGATTGAAAGTTTATTCAGTTGACTCTTCATGGTCCTTAGTGAGTGGTTCTTTTAAAGACAAAACAAATGATGGACAGGCAGACAAAGAATCGCAAACATCTCGGATTTACTTCATGTAAGTCAGATATCGTACATTTTTGTTCTTGGACATTATCTGTTCCTCAAAGCTCACAAGTTTCCTCGAGCTTCGCTCTCAGAACTGACTGTTCGCATCTTGTTTTGGATAATGTCCGCGGACAAACCGCCGCGCATGTTAAATGGAGGCTATTGTTTATATTTCCCAATAGGCAATATTTCTTCGAAACCAGAGGAAAACTCAAACGAACTGAAAAACAGGAAAAAGTCTAACAGAACCCAGTTGTTCAAAGGAGAGATAATTCTATTCAACGGATAAATCGCTATCCAACGAACAAGTTATAAACAAAACGTACTGTGCTATCCACTGGATAGAGATTGATCAAGCACTATTCACCTCCAATTCGGTGAATAATTACTAGTTCTTCCATTGATAGGACTTTTCCTACCCTATATCAGTAATTGGTGCACCCGGGGGTGGAAGTAACGGAAACAGTTAAATAAATTTGTGTACCGCTTTCTCATGTCTGAAGCTCTATATGTGGCCACCGACAACCTGGCGCTGTATATTGGCTGGTCTCTGAGTTGTCTGCCAGATGCAGCTGGAGAGCAATTCAGCGCCCCCCTTCTCTAATAAGCTATCCCTTATAAGCGCCAAATTTGTCTTTGATGATAATTGCCCCTATTCTAATAAGTGCCCCTGTTGAGAAAGCATCCTCATTACAATGAGTGTCCTTATACAAATAGGCGCCCCTGTTCCAATAAACACCCCTATTCTGTTTCAGTAATAACACTGTTAGAGTACAATACATTGAGGTCAATTGATGTCCATCTTCCTTAAATTGCTCAATTAAAGCTTCACAACTTAAGAGTGGTCTTTGTCTCAGTCTCTCAACTATTCTGTCGCCGTGAGTGCACAGTTCCTTCAAACGAAAGATCCCGTCTTAAAATTTTACGACGATTGCTTGGTTAGTCGTTCTGGCAAGGAAGATTCCAGGGAAAACAAGTCCGTTTTGCGGTCTTTTCGATCCTAAGTCCTAAGTCTTTTTCGATCCCAAGTAAACATAAAAGCTTTTCTGCTGTTTCTCAAAAGAGATTAAGCGCCCTGTTTCAGAAAAGCATTCCCCCCATGAGATACCAAAAGTAAATAAGTGCCCCGGAACTTTCCAGAGGGTACATACATCACTCTGTGTCGATGATATCTGGTGCTTCTGTTTTCTACTTGGCAAAGAGTTATTATAGTAATGATAGTCTGGGCTCTGTTAACATAGCAATTAGTGAGATTACAGCTGCATTTTTAGATATATCTAACATACTAGGAGAGGAAGGAAGTTTTTGAGTTTCAGGGAGGCACCAGTTTTCACACTCGGTCGTCAAGTAAAGCATTCCAATAAATCAACGATGAAAGTAGAAACTCTTACCTAAGTAAGTGAAGGAAATCAAGGTGGAATGAATCAAAAGTTGCAGTTTCGTTTAAGTTTTTGACATATGTTAAGTTTGCAATGCTTCAGATATGCTTTTTACAACGGCTGCGGAATTGGCGGTTAAAATTCAGCTGACTATACCGGTTCATCAGGAATGACAAAAGTTTTACATCACGTAGACTTTCTAAACGTATAAAAAACTGAGATTCTAGGAGCGCACTAGAAAACCGATAGAAAATTGAGGTTTGCTTTTGTAAAAGCATTACACCGCACTTTCTATCGGCTTACCAGCGTAACAACCCACTTGAGCTGTTGGAAGGACATTCAAAAAGTTTTTAAAGCACTCACCTCTGGATCATGATTCCCATTACTTTCTCTTGCTTCTACCCCACTGCGACCCTGTTTCCATGGTCCTCTACTTCGACGAACGAAGTCAATTTTCTGTCTTCTTAACCTCAACCTCAAGCTTGCCTGATACTGATACATCTACAATCACGGACCTAGCGCGTCACACAGTCACGGTTTTAGGTTTGTCTCAACTTAGTCAATGAAATGTCGCTCCAAATATTTTGAACAATCATTTCAATTTGTTATACGCAGGGGTGATATTGGCTCAAATAAAAGGCTGCTGCTCTGAATAATTAATGTATGACAGGCAGCTAACATTACACAACTTCCCGCTGTTTGTGTTCTTTCAAAATTTGCAGATTCTGATATTAACTCCAGATTTTAATTCACCTGCTTCTCTCATTTTGTTACCATAACAACAACTGCCAAATCTATCTTTTCTCACTACAAATAATGAGCGGCAGAAAACGTTTCGTTCAGGATCATATTTCATCATTTTGCAAAGGTTAGCGTTACAAGGAATGAATCTACTGAAATCCTGGCGAGGAAGTTTAACTGATATTTGTCTGATGGAATGCTAATTCATCAGTTTCGGAATATATTCTTAAAGTCATTCTGTGTTTTCTAATGGAATCAAATCGTCAAAATCGTCGAAATATGAAGGACAGTACGACAAGTAACCGAACTTAACTGCGGCAAAAAAAATCATGGCAGCTTTAGTTAAGGCTATCGAGCGAAAGCGATTCAAACAAGCCAAACTACTTTTGAAACTTGGCGACAATGTTAATCAACAGGAACAATTATCAGGAAAAACTCCTCTCTTAGCGCTTTGTTTCGTAGAGGACGAGAATCTAGCGTGTCGTATGACGAAGAAGCTACTTCTTAGAGGAGCAGACGTTTGCATGCAAGACGAACATGGAATGAGTCCACTTATGCAAGCTTGTAAGCTAGGTAAAGAGAAACTAGTCAAAGTTCTTATTCAGAGCGAAGAGTGTGATTTTGCTGCTGCAGACAAAATGGGGAATACTGCGCTTATTTACTCCGTTGATGCTGGTAACGCTGTTATTACTAAAGCTCTCACAGAAGCAATGAATTCCTACGATATAAGAGCTGCTGATAAGGCCAACAATGACGGTGAAACTCCTCTAATTAGAGCGATGAAACTCAAACGAGATGACTGCAAGGAAGTGTTATTAAATGATGGGAAAGCGTCCCCTTCAGCCCGCGATTTTGATTTAAAACTAAACGCAAAAGAATGGGAGAGGTATCTAAAAGATATGGGCGAGGATGAAATAAAAACTGTAGAGGATAAGGCGAAAAGAGTCCGCTACAGGGAACAAAGTAGAGGTTCATGTGTGAAGTCAAGGTTCTCATCCATAATTGATTATGGACAGGATGTGAAGAGTTCGACCAAGCTAGGAACGCATTCAGTCAGCTTTAATCACAACTGTAACGATATTAATTCTACCAAGAGGTTTTCCCAAAGGACAAAGTCTGCTCCTTTGGTGAGTTGCATCAACACTAACAAACGCCAATCGACATCTAAGATTTTCCATTTGGAGTCAAGTGATGTTGTAAGGAAAATTACTGAAATTAATTTTTCAGAAAAGGGAAACAGTCGATGCTTTGAAAAACAGACGAACAAAGGCGAGATGATTTCAAACCACAACAGTAAATCAGTCAGAACCCCAGGGAGGTCATTCAAGCGTCATAATAAATTGAAGACATACCCAGTGAAGGAAATGCTTCCTTCGACTGCTGCTGTCACAGAAAAACAAAAGATGGCATATGAAAAGACTGGTGAAGACAGTGGAGACGGGTTATCTTTTGGTCAAAGCCATATACCTCAGCTTTTTAATCTGATGACTCAGCAAAGGACCCATTCATTCCGGTCTTCAGCAAAGACACCAGCCCCCGGAGAGCAGAGAAGCAAGTGGTCGATCCGTGAAGGGAAAGGAAATAACAGGAGAATATTTTCTGGAAGGAACTCAACCGCGATGCAAAAGCAGTGTCTCTTAGGCAGAAGATGGTCCACAGCTGAGTCTTCCCTTATTGCGCTCGAACGATTTCCCTCGCTTTACAGTCGTTCGGATTTCCAAGCGTTAACTCTAGACAACCGCATGACTTTGGAAAAATCAGCTTTGAAAACAAGACCAAACTCTGAACTATTAAGCCTAGATGAGCTAGTTACAAAAGGAAAGAATTTAAACAGAAAATCAAAATCACCCACTATATCTCCTAGTTTTTTTAGGCTAAACATACCTCTCTCAGCATCCCTTCCTGACAGCAGTGGTCACGGACGGATAAAATCTTCCAGACCAAGATATACAAAGCGCAATAGTGACCCACTCCCAGCAGATAGAACCTTATTAAGTGGGTCGTTGAGGACAGTGACTGCAGGCCCAGTGATCGAGGAGATAGAGGAAGGAGGGGATAACGAGATATGAGAAAAATTAATGGAATGTGGATTATCGAGGATACGATAATCTGAAGGTCGTGAGAAATCGTAACTCCATCTGGAGTAAAAATTTCTTCATACAGCTTGACTCTGTAAAGGAAAAAACCTCTTAACTTACCATGGTACTTGGTCAAAATTATGTGATAATATGCATTTACTATTTGAAAACCAAGTGTGAACATGCAGAGAAGATAATCTATGCCCTCAATCAAAGTAGTTTTCGGAACGCATAGCACCTTGCCTTGCACAGCACGCTTAAACTGCGAGAAGACAGTAACTGTAAGAACAGTGTAGCATGTGCTGAAAGAAAGGAAGGTTGCGATTAAATGTTCAGCCACCGAAGTTTTTGTTGTGCTATCTTCATCTCACATTTTTCTTTTTTTTTTTTTTTACTGAAGTAATCTTCATAAAAAAAATGATTTAGGTTTTGTGTGTCAATTTCTGTAGCCGGCTTGGATGGTAAGCCAAGCTACACGGATTGAAACACCTAAATTTATTTAGTCTGTGATAAAGACGATGAATCAAAGAGAAGCAGCTGACGGCAAGTGCTGAAATCATTTATAGCAGTAACTTTGAGGGACCGTCCAAAGATCGGAACAGTTTAGTGAAGTAACCTTTAGGGGATAAAAGTTCTGCTGGTGTAAATCGGAAAAAATGCTCTGAAAGTAATAGAAGTGCTTCAGGAGAATCACTCACCTAAGACAGAGAGAGTAATGCGCAGATGTATCGGGGCCAGGAAGAAAAAAATCGTGAATAACTCGAGATGGACTAAAGTGGAAAATCGCCTTGCTTTTGAGTTGGTCTAGACATGGATACATTCTGCATTTCTCTATCAAACATGACTGATTTCTGTAGATCCCAGGCTCCCTCGCTCTCTCGTCGGGCCTTAAACCTGTTAATTATCTGTGTCTGAATCAGGGCTTACCTTTCATGGTCAGCAAAAAGGTCAAGTTTTGCGTTCAGGAAGTGAAGACATTAATCAGAACAAATTTCACACATCAGTACAAGTTATTCCAAAGATGGCTCCTTAATTTGTACGTTATCGTGGATCAAATAATTTTATACAAAGGATTGATTGACAGAAGTGCAATATTGAGAACTAATGATGAAGGCTTTCGTTGAGCGTTCCTCCTCTCTTCTTTACCTCGTGTATTGTCGTGAAAACCAGAAGTCTTTACTGCATCGAAACGTGACCGATTTTAAGTTTCACTGACGTAAGAGGCTTTAAACCTCATTTAATAGGGTGTAATACGAGAGCACACCAAATGAAAGTCGCCAAAGATACATAACTCCCTGACTTAACAAGTTGTAGACAAAGCTCTTCATTCATATTGGAGAAATAAAATTTACATGATTTTGTTGGAGCAAGAAACCTATTGCCCCAATCACACCAAACCTAAACATGTTTTAAATCTATTTTGGTCATCATAGTTCATCATCCAAACAAGCTGCATAAACCGATTTTTATCAACTTCAAATTTAGCACGTTGAAAATACAAGTTAGTGAGTTCTTGAATCCTATGGAAAATCCAGTTTTTCAGTTCTATGTTTGTGACCTTCATTTAGTTAAACCCGGTTTAACGAAACAAGTTTTGCTGACGAATAGGATTGAGCAAGTCATACTCACGCCAGTTGTCCGCTTAAAAAAAAAACCTACTCTTTAAAAAACCGGAAACTTGCTTCATGAAAACCGTCCCTTTGTTGTTACTCTGCGTACAAAGCATAAACAGTTGCTTGAGCAAATAATGACGAATTCGTAAAGGAAACAGTAACGAAATCGTCAAAGTTCTCATTCCAGGCACATCTGCTTGCAATTCGTATTCCCTGACCTTTCTTCTCGCCAATGTGCACAACAACAACTAGTTTATATCGCGGGCATAGCAAACTTTTTACCTTCTCTTTGATGAGCCGGCAAACATTCTGACTGTGGTCTTTGCACTTGGAACTATCATAAACTTCGTTCTTGAAGCGCTCTTTCAAAACATCTGCAATTATGGTTTCCACTGTTTTAGTTGGCATTGGCGTTTTGGCATCTGGCAACAATTTGTAAGTGTTTTCATAGAAATTTATCCCGCTTGAAAACTCGCTGTCGGCAACGGAGGCGTCATCGAGGCGATCTGTTAGATGAGTGTCGTTGCGATTCATTGCCGACTTCTGGGATGGAACTTCTTTGGAGTCCAGTTTAGAAGCAATTCCCAGTTTGAGCTTGGAGTGTGGTTGAGGACTTTTTCCTGAAAGGGTAACAATTCCTCGCTTAGTCCCAGATGCCGACATTTTAAAAATCTTACGGCAGATGTATAATAACTTTGGTTGCTTTTTGTTTTGAAGAAAACGAAAGCGTAATTTTGATTGTTTTCTCTCTCTACAGTCAAACACAGCCATTGGAAATAATTAAACCTCAAACTATTCAATTCGGTAACAAAGCCATGTAAAGGGACTCAAAGAGCTCGATAATAAAGAGTTATAAGTATGTTAATCAAAATGGAAAGTTCGTGACGCTAAATAAGTACGGGCTTTGTGTGATGAAAGTTCTCTTACAATTGGTTTTATAGGAAGATGAATGTTTGAGTGGAATTGAATAAGTTTTTAAACAATTCACTGATTGTATTGAATGCCGGCATTCCGTATAAAGTCGTTTAATTCTTTCTAAATAATCAAACGCCTGCATGGAAAAAATAATGAAGTGGGAAGGGAAATTTTATCATATAGGCATGTCTCCTAAGATCATTCATCGGAATCCTTTAACTCCAATCATGATTTGCAGACTAGAATAATCCACCGTTAGGATAGATCATAGGAGGTTTATTTTTCTTTTTTCAGATCAGTTATTGTGTTGTGGACAGTAGAAAAGTTTATTTAAGGAAGACACAGTGAGTGCTTTTGATAATACCCTCTTAGGTTGATATTTTTTCAAGGTAAATCTCATAAGCTCGTTTTACCTTATCAGTAGCAAGAAAGACTTCCACAATTTTAAACTCAAAAAGGCGTGCAGAACCTGTCTCAATATTACAAGCAGTTATGGAAGTCAGCTGTTATCCATGATTCCCTTTTAAGCTCTTAAGCCATTGTAGGATGAGCTCCTTGTGTTGTCTATAAATCTGTTTGGTGAAAATGAAATCAAATAAACCCAAAGTTATATATACCAATTGTATGTGAGTTTGGAGAGTTTAAAACAGAATTAGAGGCGAGACCTTTTTCTGCTTATGGTGTGTGGCTGAGGGTTACGCTGTTTCAAGTTATGATGACGTGCACATTGTCCTGAAAAATTACACGCTTTGTTCATACGTGTAAAATATATGCAGCCACATGATCAGATTTACTCATCATCTCAGAGCCCACTATCTCTTTTTGCGAAACAAGAAACGCGTGCTGGTGACCAAATGTCACAATAACTGTGCAAATGGTATATAAAAACCCGGTTTAAAACGTTTTTGAGACGCGGACGGCAAGTGGGATTAAGATTAAAGCTAACCTTGGTGCACTTTAACTACCATAAGGTCTTCGTTTTAGCAATTTAAACCAAACTGTGCGGACCAAAAAAGTGTCAGTAATAAGCACCAAGAATAAGTACTTTTAATTTCCACCTGCCGTCCGCGTCTCAAAAACGTTAGGTGCTTACTGAAGCTCCCTTTTTTTGATGGTAGAAATAGATGTCATGTGGTTTCTGGGGAATACTTCTCCTTTAAGATAGAAACTGACGGCCTCGTTAATAAATATTTTGAATCCTTTCTACCGTTAAAATGGATTAAGATCAAATGGATCTTTTTAAGTAGCAAAAATGGGCCAGTGACTCCTTCGTTCATTTTCTACAGCCCCCCTTAGGGTTCCTGTTGGCTCTCGCATTTTATTAGTCTGTCACATTTATGGTTTCATTGAAAAATGTGTGCCTGCGAATTGATAAATCAAGTATAGTGCGTTGTTCAACTCTTCTGAAAATACATTCTCTTATCCGCGGCATGCTGGTTTATAATGAAATTAAGCAAAAACTTCGTCTTTCATGTAGACGCACATGTCGGTAAATCTGGAGCAAAACGTGCAGCTTTATTTTTTACCAACCTTGTGGAAACAAGTATTTGGACTGTAAAGGGGAAGTTCAAGCTGAGTTCTACACTTGGAATAAGTGACCCATACTATTTGAGCTTACCTGAGTTTTCCCAGCATTAAGCAGTTAGGAGTATTGCCACTCCTCCCCATGGATGGGTGTTAGGCCATCCCAGGTATCCACATTTTGTCCACGGTACTCTGACGGTTAATTAACCAGCACCCATATTTATGCTCCTGGAAATGTTGATCATAACAAACACAACGCATTGACCCCGGTTTGAACTTCAACGCCAATGTTTTGACTCGGAGTCTGGGGCGCTAACCCTTAGACTGAGTCAGTGTTGAGTGTTTTAGAGTGTTGAGGCGTGGTCTAATTACCTTGGGGAGACTATTATCCCATTCACACCAGCAAAACATGTTTAATCAAACCGAGTTTCACTGAATGTAAATCAGGAAGAGAGTCGGAATTAAAAACTTAATTTTCCATTGGATTCAAGTATTTACCAGCTTGTATTTTCAATGTTCGACATTCTACTAAATACAGAGTCGACAACTATCGGTTTATGCAACTTCTATGAAGAAAACAGCTTAAAAACACGTTTTAGCTTTGGTGTGAAAGGGGTATAAGATTGTTGTTAAATAATTCGAAAATTTTTGTTCTAATTTTTGTGAATTTCTTGGAAAAGTTTGGAAAAAGGAGAATTAAGACATGGCGAGATTAGATATTCAATCAACAGTGACTTCCGCTCCTCACAATTCGTTCAGACATAATAGTTTATTGTTTAATATAGGTTTGGAATGGTGTCAAGCTCATTGAGCTGTTGACTGTGGAAATCTTAATTTTCATCGTCTACCTTGATTTTAAAGAGTACACTCGACCAAGAGCCGAGCTAAAAAATTTGTCCTCTAATTACTAAAGAGAATTGTTCACCAAAAAACAAAATTAAGTTTTTTAGAGACATAAAAAGTTTATCATGAGGTAGCAGTCACGAGAAGCCTTAGGGAGGCTTTCAACTGATTACGGTAACCGCCAAGGTAGTCCTTAAAGTGTCTAAAATAGGGAAACGGAAGGAAACGGCCGACGTATAGTTCTAGCTAAGTAAGAAAGATTGCTTTGTAACAATGTACAATACAACAATTATTGCTACAGCTTTTGTTATTCTAATTATGGCACAAGCTTACAAAAAACTGTTTTGGTCAGTTTTCTTAATTACGACAAGGACGTATTTACTAAATAGCTTAAAGACCTCCATAGAATTACGGCGTTTTCCATGTAATTAGAGGCTATTAGATGTCAATTCAACAGGCGTGGTATTCTGTTTCAAGTATCATCGATTATATTTGTTTTTCCTTTTTTATTTTGCAGTCACAGGAAGCTACAAGAAACTGTTTCTGAGTTGTAGTCGGGCAATTTTTATCAAAAGGCATCTGCGTGTCGGTTTCAATTTAAAATGAAAAAAAAAGTCATGGCGTCTAATTAGGGAAACCATAATGACGGTGACCTTTTTGTTCAACTATAATTGCAAACCTCTTGTTAATACTTTTTGTCCTTCCACGATAATGGTTTTAAGCGAATCAGATAAAAACCGCTTAGCAATTTCCATTTAATTGAGGTATTCATAATATCTTTTGTCCATTGTTGAGTCGCCATCCTATTATTCACGTCTTTTGTCAGCCCTGAGTCCTTCACCCACGCTAAGTAAACATTGTTTGACCTGTTTTGCATTTGTCTTATTCCGAAACAGAAAGTTCTAGTTAAATGATAAAAATATCCAGGATAAACTGAACAGCATGGTGCACCTGGTCAATTACTGCTACGATCTTTGAATAAGGTTTGTTTTTCACTTATTTTTGGATCAAAGGTAAAGCGATTAAAAGAGAAAGTAAGCCAGTCAAGTTCAGGACATCTGCACATTATGTATACATGTTACTTTATGCTCAATATTCACTGGATAGTTTGCTCAAGTTGAGTAAACATTCATTTAAAGAAAGGAAGAGTTGACTCTTCATTTGTATCGCTTAGCAACGGAAAGGAAAGTTTACATAGATAAAGCCGATAATCTTATCACAGTTTTAAGTGCTGACGAAAGATCAAAGAGGGTTGTCTTCGCTCGTCCTTGTGTCTCCAATCAACTTCTCGTTGTGAGCATAAATTGGAGATTTATAAATCCGCCTTTAAGGCGAAAAGGGTAGATTGACTTTTATAATAATCGAAGGGATGTTACATACCCCCCAAGTACTGCTGTGAACTAGATTTGTTGTCGATTTTATTGGTTTTAAAGTCATGGATTCACAAATCCACCGCATCAGCGCCGTAGAACATCGGCCACCTTCGTTGTCTGTATCTTCAGCGCAAGGAGAAACAGAGAGAAGGCGAAGATCGTCAACTAACGCGTCCCAAAATTCTGGTGTCAATACCTTTTCTCCTGACAGGAGCGACCGAAGAAAACCATCCAGTACAGCGACGCCATTCTTGTATTCCTCCAGCGGTCGCAAAGTATCTAGCAGTGTTTCTCCAAGGCTCGAGCCTATAGACACTGCAGCCTCGAAACACAAGCAAAGTGAAGTCTTACCGACCTATCGAATGGCACCGCAGGCCGACAGAAAATTCCGACCTCAAGTTGTCAAGAAAATTATGGATGAAGCTTTTGAAGAGAGCCTTGACGGACTGAACGGGTATGATTCAGTGAAATGTCGGGCGCTCACTACGCAAGTCTGCGAAGATATCAAACAAAGAGTTAAATGGCTTAATTTTGAACGCTGTAAGCTAATTTGTCTGGTTCATATTGGCTCGGTGAACGGTCAGGGTATGAGAGTAGCAAGCCAGTGTCTGTGGGATCACACGGTGGATAATTTCGCTTCGACAACATATTGTAAGGGCGACATTTTTGCGGTTGCGTTGCTCTTTGGAGTTTACAAGGAGTAGTTAAGCGACCGCTGTTCTTTTCGTATAGGTTATTGTTCGTTTATAAACTGTTGTTGCTAAGATTAGGGGCTTTAACTGTGAAAAGCGTTAATATACAGCTTAATATATACAGTACAGTCATAAAGAAAGGTTAGGAAGCGCTAGCTGATATCATTCGGCAGCCTACTGAGTAACTAAATAACACCTTCAGTGATAATTTCCGATATCTTTGAAAACCGCATCAAAATTCTTATGCTAGAATAATTTCAATTCTTATTTAACCTTTATCGTTACTGCAATGAGCCCTTGTGCAAATTGGATTTGCAATGAAATGATTTCTTTTCCAATCTGATTTTTCCGAATTGCGTTTCAACATTCCATTGTTACACTCCTCACGTATTGACGGATTACAACCAAGCTACTTAGTGTAGAATAACATATTCAGCCCGTGCTATGGTTAGAACAATGGGTGCAAAGCACATTTCAAATCACTGTAAGAAGATAAATGATAAATATACGATATATAGATAAATAAACATTTGCGCATTTCATAAAGAATCAAATTCTCCGATACACCAATTACAGGTTGAGATTCAAACACAAGAAAAGGCACCACTGGATGCAAAGAGGCGGAACCTTTTTTAGATTAACCTCTGGTAGCGCCGATAATCCTGACTATTTTCTTAATCGCGTTCAAGTTCTATGTAAAGATTCATTTTTCCTTTTATAAGTTACCTTCTTAAACAACGATTTCTCTGCAGACGGGTCAGCGGTACTTGGAAATAAAGGCAAGTTGCATGAGAGAAGTAAATGTTGCAAATTTACTTCGAACCTGGGAGAAAGAAATTTCCTAATCAATCAAGAGTATGCAAAGCCCAGAGAACTGAACATTGAAATTTGAACTATTTTTCTGCCAACCATTTCCCTAAAAGACCCAAAAAGAAGACATAGGAAAAGAAATTTCCTTGAAAGTTTCTCAGGCCACAAGTTCCCCTAATGATTATGTATCTTTTGCCTTCTTTAACATGTGAGTTTCGCATGGATAACAATGAACAATTTGCTTATGCTGTTAGAGAGGACAGAAATATGCCCACATGTGCAGAACAGTGCACATGCGGATAATAGCCTGAGTTCATAGCCATATTAATACTAAAATAGACCATCAAGTTGACACTATAGTGTACACGTGGATACACTGTTCAGAATGTAATTAGATTACCGTACATCCTCCATCATTTATTCAAAATAAAAAAGAAAGGGCGCTTATTGGAAGGAGGGTGCTTAATCGAGGGGGACCCTTATTAAGAAACTATGAAGCTGAACTGATGCCGCTGTCGTTGAAGCTTAAAAAAATTATGAAATGGCGATTGAAACAGGTTTTCCTTGTGTTCCTACTATTTAAGAAAGTGCAGGAAGAGGGGCGCTTGTTTGATACTATGGCCTAGGGGTTGGGTGCTTACTTGGGGGAGGGTACTTATTAGAGCGTGAGCGCTTGTTTAAGGAAATACGGTCTGTAAAGTTGGTTGTACAAAGAAATTGTTAGGGTGTTTGAGATTCATGTTTGTTTCTGAATGCGTGTGACCGCAAACGTCTAGGAGTCACTTGACTAGACTCCAGAGGCTCACATGTTGACTTTTTTCAAGTGAAAGCCGACGTCGGTCTAAAAACCGGAAAGTCTCGAAACTCCTTATTACTGCTGAAGGCGGTTTGACGTTCGCGGTGAACACACCAAACGTGGATCTAAAACTCTCTATTTATATTTAATTCCTATCGCCCTTGAAATGAGTAAGCTTTCTAAGGGGCAGCATCAGTAGTTTAAAGTTTGATTGACACGTTATTCCGCGTTTCACTTTCGGTACAAAATTTGACGTCATTCCTACAAATGTCGCATACCCCGTATTTAACAATCGGTCCGCCATCTTTAATAAGATGCATTCTCTCCCAAACCTCCTGAGGCCATGCTTACGCCACGAAATTTGCATATCAGATCTCCACATTATTCGCTCCTTTGCGTCGCATATCCACGAGTAAAAACGATAAATCTTGCATCTGGAAAAGATGCGTTTCCGTCATGTTGGCTTAAAATGGCAAAATTAGATAATTGCTATACCCCTCTGAGACCAGAGGCCGCGACTGGTCTTTGACTCGTTGCGCCAGCGTTAATTGCTTTCAGTGCAGAAGGAAGCACCAATCCTGCGTTGCCTGCCTGCTGTCTTCAACCGTAGGGGTTTCAGGGTCGGTTTTCAAAATGGAGGCGGGAGTATCAGATAATCTATAAGTTGGCATGGCAACTGACAGTGTGTACATATCCGTAAAGTCAGCAACAAATCACTGGAAACTGTTTATTTTAGGATGTTGGCAAAACACAAAAACTCTCAATGGCCATCTTCACGCCAAGGACTTGCGAACTCATAAAGTCCGTATGCAGAAAGCCAATGGAGATTGGGGAAACCAGTGTGGAAATAACAGAGCATAGTAATATAAAGACAAATTTGCAGCTTCTTATCATAATGTCTCAATAAAGGCTTTGAACTTGAGTTTGTTTTGAATTATATACTTGTGAGGGTGCCTCAAGGTTTCCTGTGAAAATTCAACGGGCGTAACGACTAAAATAAGTAAAGTTACAATTTTTTTAGCATTATAATCCAGCTTTTATTTTGGTTCTCTTTACCAAATATATTTGACCAGAAAAATTCGATTCAAAGTTGCTGTTTCTGTTAATCATCTTTCATGACGCTTAGTACAAGTGTTTCCTGTTACATCTCTGACAGCAGGTATATTGTGAATTCTTCACCAGCTAAATTTAGTGGTTTTTCTTTCTATTTTTGTACTCAAGCTTAGGAACTCCAAATGCATCCTTTTCGCTAGAATACAAGACAAGTTCATGGTTTAAAAGTTTTCTATTACTATTAATAATTTTATAGTATGAACAGTGAATTAGTTTCATTATGCAAATCAATTGATGGGGTGGTTTCCTCTGAGAAGAAAACTAAACGAAGTGACTTCCGAAATTTGTGGCAGGAAATTTGTGCGCTTCAAGTTTGCTGTAATAAATTTTTTGGTTTTCTTTTAAAACAACAGCCTTAAAGCTGGAAAACGGAAAAAATCGAAAAGCGCTAAGGTTTGTTTAGATACTGTTTGAAATTAACCGAGCCACCTTAGGAGATCAACAACGGTTCAATAATTTGGTTTTTACTCCTAAAAGGCATTGTTATCATGAAAAGAGAATAGAAAAAAAAACCCTCAAGAACCAGTTGCACGTATCGTTCCCAAAATTGGTATTATTTTCCGGTTTTATTTATGCGTTCCAGGGTAGAAATGGATCTTTGAGAAGAAGGTTGCAAGATTATACCGATTGTGTTTGGGAGGCAAACCACAACAAAAACATTTAGCACTTTTTGACACCTGCAGTAATAAATATTTCAGTAGTTTGTTTTTTAAGACAATAAGCGGTTTGCTAGCTTCTTTTTAAGACTTAAATGACCAAAATATTAGTTGAGCAGAATATAAATGAAAAGAAATGTTGAAAAATGAAGGAAACTTATCACGGCTTATGAATTTTTTTTGCAACCTTAACTGATTTAACACTTCACTTATTACTGAGTTAAAATCTCTATGTCCAGCCTTTTGTTTCTGTTTTTCGCAATAGGAACAAAAGATCCTATTTTTCCTCGGGGTAAAAGACTGCTGTTTCCTGCAAACCTCCGATAAAAACAAAAGAATTTCCTTTCTACATATGTAATTCATTTTCTTGTTTCCCTCTAAAAATTAAACGTTTAAGGCAGCTTTCAAAGGATGAAAAATATTGCACTTATTTTGAGTCTTTTGATGTGCGCTGCGCCGGCTCCCAACTTTGTACTGACCTAACATAGCAGACAGACTAGAGAAATATTATCAATTGTATATCTGTAGAAATTGCGGAAAAAAAGCTTCACCCAAATAGGAAATTAATATTCTCTTTGCCGAAAGATGTATATCTGCAACATTGATTTATGCTTGTCGGCAAGATAACAAATTTCAAGAACAGTTTTCATCACAGAAATATTCTAGAAGGAAATTAAGATGCGATATTTATTTAAGTTCCAGATGACAGGTGTCTGCTCTAAAACTGACAGACATAAAGCAACTCTTTTAACGGACGATTTGTGATCGTATATCACCACGAAACCTGTCATTTTACAAAGGAGCGTTAATGTCTTAAACTGTACTGTTGCGAACTAAATTGAAGCTGAATGGTTAGGGAACTTTCGGGATCTGACAAAACAGAGTGCGCGAAATGGATGTGATATAATAACAGTGATATTTGAGAGCGCACTACTTATCGAGTTTTGCTTTCTAACGTAACAGCTCCGATTTAAAATGAATTTTATGCATTTTTTCCGTCTAATTTAGCGGCAGTCCACAGCCTATTGATTGCACTTTACTTTTGCTCTAAAGCTAGACTTCGATTTTGAATACGCTATATTTTTTCTACGTGAGATACATAAATTAGGCTAACAATTTATGAATGGTAATCCTTTTTTTTCCCTTCCTATGTTTTTCGTGAAACTAACTGTGTTGTCACAAATTCAATCATAAACAATACCACCGACCGGGAGCAAACCGGGGTTATCTGTTTTGTCAGCCTCTAAGTACCTATAAACGCTGGTTTCCTAATTTTCTTGAACAATATCTCACCATGCATTTAGCGCGGTTGTTTCGTGCAGACAATGAATTTCCAGTTTCCTTGAACATTTATACCGTGCTGATATGCAGATGGCAAAATTCGCCAAACAAATTTAATCCAAACTCATTTTCAATGGCGAAATGGGCAATAAGATACATACTTCATTATGAAATATTGCAGTTTGTAATTTTACGGTAAAAGCAAATTTGTTCAAATCGCAAAAGAATAACATTAACATAACCCTTCCAAACGCAAAAACTGTAATCATTAAAATATTTTTCTTCGTTTCAAGCACTCTTAAATGTTCCATTAATTTCATGTTCTTTGAACTTGTTTCCTTTTCAAAGGAAGAGAGGTATTTTCTATAACGTGAACAAATTCAATTTTCCCGGTGCATTATAACGGGGTCAATATTTTATTTGAAAGAAAACGGGGCTGTTCGTCGATTTTCTTGTGGTGTATTCTTTGTCGACCTTAATCAAGTGATTTTCGCGCTTATTCAGTATAAATGCAAAATGTGATGTCATTATTTTCCTATACCTACTGAGCATTTTCGTGTCTTATTGTTACAACATACTGTGTTCATTCAAATTTAATAAAGCTACGGTTCCTTAAAGTCGGCCAAGCACATAACCAATCATAATGAACGCATTACAGCTCGCACGCTAGGAAGAAATCTCTCGCTCATGAACCTCAAAAGCTAAAATCTAAAAACAATTTAACCGATATGACAGCTTTAGCTCCACCGCCCGAACATGTGTTGGATTATGAAAGACTTTCGTTATATGGCCTTTCAAAACACTTTTATTTCGTGAGCCGAAAATGTCGTGGTAATAATTTTGCGAAACAATTTTGTTTCGATCTCGCATGTATTTCAGACAAATCCGACGAGTTTTTCCCGAACCCGTTAGTTCCCTTTGCGTGAGCAGTCAAGCGATCTGTCGATCAGTGCGATGGATGAAACTAAACACCAACTATTCATACCACTTAGGTTTCTATTTGGTGTGAAACTTTTCCAAAACAACCTTACATCATTTTGACTTGGCTGTCAAATCTTTCCGCCATGCGAAATCGATCGATTTCTAAACCCCCTGGTTTCAAATGTTGGTAGTCAATTACCTGATAAAATAAAATCATTTTGTTCTTTTTGTTTGAGCTGTAAATACGAAACTCTGACGCAAGAAGCTCCTTTGATTCAAGAGACTGAGCCAAAAACACTGCTCATCTATCAGCTTCGAGTTTTGATAATGAGATTCGATTTTGGTTAGTTTCGTGATCTCTGAAAGAAAGAAATATTAACAATGAGGAAGAAAGGAAGGGCACTTTCGTTTTATGTTATACTTTGACAAGGGCTTATAGACAGCTCTTACGACAAAAAAGAAAAAAAAAACATGAAAGGCTGGAAAATAGACAAAGTACATCCTATTTGAATAAAATTCAAGTTGCTTTAGTCAACACGGACGGCATTTGAAAACAATTCAATTTTATTGCATGGATAATGTTTCGCATGGAGTTGGTTAATAACATTAGCACACTATTTTATCAATTCAAGTTTTTAGCCCCTCTCCATCGCAAAGATTCGTTATCATAGAGGATCTATGTATTTCTCCGACATGAAGCATTGTCTTCAAACCCCAAAAGCCAAGCTTTAAATTTCAGAAGGCGCCCACTAAATGATTAAGATTATTTTCTTTAGCAATTTCCTTGTTTGCGGATTACGACTTCTGAATTTATTTTTTAATTTGGAATCACCCAAGCAACCATAAAGTTGGGTAGATTTAGAGGTAAAATGAAACATGGAGAAATCTTGTGTTAAGATTGATTTTTCTCAGCCCGAATTCGGTAGATTTTCTCGGCTAGAAATTCATGAATTTCTGTCGATTAAAAAATTAGCAACAGGATTAACCGACTTCATAGTCCGAGGTTAAGCATTATCGATGTCCTGTACACTTATTAATTTCATATATGTTAAAATTTTGACGCGCCGAATATAGTGGGCAATTTTTTGCTATACAATATTATTTTCTAAGTGTCTGTCAAATTCTTGTTAAATTTGGTCAAACCATAAACATGGGAGCATTCGCCCCAAAAATTGCTGACAAAGTCAGCTTAGTTATATGAATATCTTTGAGCATCATCGGGCAATACAGGTTTATCCCATTTAAGAAACAATTTATGAAAGATGTTACAAAACCTCTAAAAAATACTATAACGCTCAAAGAAAGTGACAAGGAGCACGATACCTACTGTGGAATATTCCTTAAAAAACCTAAACAATCTACAATACTTAAATACGTTTTAATATCTCGTTCTATAATTTATATATCCAGATTATTTTACCACAATTTAGAGGCTGGAGTTTCTAAGCACTAGCCTTTTCATACCCGCCTTTCTCAAGTGTTGTTGTTCGTTATTCGCCAGCGGCAAGAAATCAAATGAGTTCGTCTGCCGCGTATAACCTTTTTTCAGATTTGCATGTGCAGCAATAGTTCTTTATTCAAATGTTTTGAGTCAGTGGAGTGTTCTGCGGCGGCTGCTTTGCAGAGCTTTTATTTTTGGGGCAGTACTTGATGGTGTGCGACTGGTCCCCGGATGCTTTGCATAGAGGACATGTGTATGCTCTGAGTATTGGACATGTAGTGTTCCCCTCGGCATCCTTCAGAACATGGCTTGAATAGACTTTTTTGCTTTCTCCATTATTTCTGCAAAACACACACACGTTCGCATTTCTGTTCTTCTTACTTTCGCGGTTTTTCCGGTTGCGATTGGCCACTTCGCTGTTGTTTTCGGCGTTCCGTTTGGAAACGTTTCTGGTTGGTGCGCCGGGCGCGAGAGATGAGCCTGGCGCTTTTGACGTTTCAATGCACAATTCAATGTCTGGATTTCCACCAGAACCCGAGCTCGTTAGAGAGTGATCCGATCCCACGCTGTCCACACGAGATCTTTTGGTGTAGGTGAAATCATACAAACTGTCTATCCCTGCAGTTCCTTTACCGTTCAACTCAGCGTTCTGTACGAGTCTTATGAGTCCAAAATAGTCCCTGAAAAGGCGAAATTCGCTCTTTTCTTCGAAACTTGCCTTAAGGTTCGCTACCTCCCGAGCGCTTATCTTACCGTGGCCGGCAAAAATATCTCCACTGTAAAACACGCTCAACATCTCGTCTCCCATTGTTTCAAAGAAGCGACTCGTGAGTCAGTTTTTAAATTAGTGTGAGGAATCTAGAGAATATATTTAACGAATTTACCCCGAGCTCTCCGAGTTCCAGTGACCGCGACCGCCAGTAGTGAAAATTTTGCACTTGTTTCGATCGGGGTGATTAACTTTGTGAATGAAGTGTACGGGTTCTGGCTCCAACAATAGCACGACGGCACCTGAGATTGGGAGACTTAAACTAATGCGTGCATGGATCCACAATTATACCCGCCAACCACCACCGACGGCAGCTGTCGCAAAGCTTTTCAAACGCAGTCTTGTCACTTATCATAGCCACTGTGAATAAGTTTGAAAGGCACATTGAAAAATTGCTTTAAGGAGAAGCTTTGAACATGTGGTCCGATTGTTCCTATTGAAAATGATCATTAAATTTAACCAATCATATAAGCGCTATTGACGCGGTTTAGAGTGGCACCGCGTGCGTTTCATAAGTCAGCATTTTAAAAAGAAAACGGGATCGTTTTACATCAATTTGATTGGCTGCTCAATATAAGTGCCGTCAAAAAGCAGCCTGATTTCACATGTAATTGTTTTTAAGGATGATCTAAAGTTGTCATTATGAATTCATTTTATAAGACAAAACAACAGAGTTGCACGTGGAATCCTGCTGAAAAACAGGCCTGTTAAAAATAGTCTCACAAATAATCTACGCTATTTTCATTACTATAAGGCTCACCAAAAGAGATTTTAAGAACCTATCAGTTCCAACTAAAAACGTCTATCAGTTTTTTTGCTTATAATCTATCGAAAAAAGAGGTTCAGGTTTCGGTTTCGAAACATTCAAGTTAGAAACGAAACAAAAAAGGCTTACAATTCGCTAATGAAAGTTTTGTAAACACTGAAACATGCTGCCCATTTCGATTCGCGCCTCAAATTAAATATATAACCTTTGCTTCAAAGACGCTTTCGAAAGCGGTTGTGAGAGGTAAATATTTTCAAAGTTGGTTTGAAATCATTGCATCTCTTTGGTGATCGAGGTTAGCGAAAATCTTGAGAATAGTGTTTTGCTTTGTTGTCTTTGCGATCTTTACGGGTGATCACTTTTAAGAACATGCAAAGATAGTGAGCTCTAGCATTTGGCGTGGCTGAGAAATAAACATTAATATGGCAGGTGTTCCATATGCTAATTATATCATCACAAAGGACAGCTTTGGAATAAATTTTCCTCTTAAAACTCAATATTGCATTGTTTAAGATACTTTTTAATGGCTTTGTTTTCGGTACGCTGAGCCGCAAATGTGGCAAATTCATCCAAATCGGCATCGTACAAGCAGACGGCCCTTCCCAAAGCCGATTTTATTTCTGTTCTCGCTTCAAGTGGAGTTAAATTATGAAATATTGAAATAAAGTTAATCCGGTGTTCAAGGTTCCTTTATATTTAAGCTCTATTTTAGAATTGCCTCTGTTGTGAATAGAGTCTCTGATTTATTATTAATAAAAAGCCCTGTCTCATTTTGTCTGTGTATACCTTAATTACAACCAACACTCGAAAGTCCATTACGTGTTTTTGTTTGAACATTTTCGGTGAGAGTTGAACATGAAACCAGGTAAGTTCTCAGCTTACTGGTGATCAATACAAAGTCTTTCTTTGAACTTCTAGAATGCCAACTTCTTGAGGAGCCGTGTCTGTCAAATCTAATTATCCCTTCAGGAAAGTAAAGAGTTAGAAAAACTTCCAATTCAATTTACCCGCTCAAAAACTAAAGACCGTCTCTCACCGTGGGGAATGAGTCATAAAATTGCTTACCCAAAGATGACAATTGCCCAGTATTTGCATTCGAATTTTAAGGTGACCTTAAAACAACATCAATTCTAAAGCGGAAGAAATTCGTGGATGCTAGAATGCTAACCTGGAAATAAGCCATACTCAAGGTGTCAGCTCTAAAGTTAGAGGTAGATGTGGGTCGCAAAGCCTTCAGTGATTAGACAGCTCATACGGTCAGTTAGGGTAACCTAAAAAACGATCCGCTTTCAAAATTTCCTTTTTATGCATATACATGTTGTTCAGTATATATTAGATTGGCTTGGATTATTTTGGCAAAGGTTCGAAACTAATCTAAGTGTTCCGGAGCAAACATACTAAATTAATAGGTGCCTGCGGTCAATTGAGAAAGGACGGGAGGTTGATCGATAATATAAGTTCATTGAAAGACCGTGAAAGGCTTTCATTCGCGGAAAGTACCTCATTAATTTAACGTAAAAGAAGTACAATTTCCCCCAAAAGAAGGCGATAAGTTGCTGAGCTGCTTTATCGCATGGTCTTTTTTTAACTCTAGTTACACTGAGGTGCCTAAAATGAAAGAGAATTTTTTGTACAAAGCATTCTGAAGTTGCACGTAAATAAATAAATCGTTACTTTGTGCTCGCTGGTTTTGTCTTTTGTCCTACGTTTTAATCGGCGCTCAGATGCAACGTTTGAAGTAACCTGTTCCTTATCCCACTTAGAGCAATTCACCTAAGACAAGCTAACTTGGGTAAGAATACATCAAAATAGCAACCTTAAATTACGTATGACATTGCCACTAATCCTAAAACCAATGCATCGGATATAGCGAGTGAATTTTACCTCAGTTTCACATAAATTGGCCATACACCGCTCCTCATAATTCATAAATACCGACATAAACATTTACGAAACGGTGGAAAGCAAACTCTGTGTGCAGTTTTTTTTTTATGGAAGTTCATTGTGTCGATCGTTGACAGACAATAATTTTGTGGCAAATGTTATTTCTAATGATGAATGACGAAATAAATTTCTTTTAAATTTCTGTCAATCTTTGAATTTGCCCGCGCTTCACTTTGTTAGTTACTTCAGTTTATTTTACGCGCATCAGCTTTGCAGTGACCAAATGTTTATTTATACGAAACAAGTTACACGAGATCGAAGACATGTAAATACTAATATCACAACAAGTATACCCTGGATCCATGTTTGAAATGGTATACGCTATAAAAGCCACTTTTGGCTGAAGTTGTCACAATAGTTTGCGGGCTTTTTTATCGAAAAATTTGCTTTGAACATCTAGAAAGTCGTTAAAAAAGGATAATTTCTGAACGCCATATTGTTAAACGTTTGGCGAATTAACCGCTAATGACATGGTTCGTTCCCTGAGTCCACGTGCGCTAATCTTTGTTTTTGATATCAAAAGCTCTGCAGGAGATAAGTTTGCAAGTCATTCAAAAATGGCATGCATTGTGAAGAACGAGCGCTTTGAAGGTAAATAATTCATTAAATGTGTATACTTTGAAACTGAACGATTCTGTAAGATTGAGTTATTGGGATGCATTTTATATAAGCTAAATGAAAAGATAAAATCCTTTAAATCTCTTTTCAAGCGTCATTGATGGTAATTTAAAGATTAGCCGATTTGGAGGCACTGAATCGTGTTTTTCATTCTGTAAATTAACTGTTAGCTTTAGAGGGTGAACAATAAGGGAAAGATTTTTCAATTTTCATTGTTCGGTTGTAATATATTCACAGGTAAAACTCTCTAGGTAATTACATGATTTATTCAAATTTCTTGAAGCAATTAGCACTTCGTTTACATCCTCTTCTTCTTTTAACCGTTTTGAAACTTGTTTTGAAAAAATAGCTTTCGTGTGATTTAAAAAAATTAATTCAAACGGATTTGAAAATAAATTTCTTCGTGAAAAATGTGTTTTTATCGACAAAGTTCCCTAAAATATCTGACATTTACTTATGAAGTTAAAGTTCTGTTGGAAATTTTTTATTAGATGTTATTAATTCACTGCTTACCCAACATCTCGTAGATGATAAATGTTCGGGATCGTAACAAGAAGTACAGTTGAAGAAAACACATTGTCAACTCTAATCAAAAGCGACAGATTCGCAATGTTAGAACCATGAACATAAGAAGACCTTCAAACATGGGATAGAGAGACCTCGTTGCTCTACGAAAAAAAGGGAGACATGCATGCAATCACGAGCCAAGGTTTACAAAAGAATGACAAAGCACATTTGCATCCTGAAATAATTGTGTACACATCGTGCTCGTTGAAAGTATTACCAGGAGCTTCTGAAAATATTATTTGTTATAATATTCTGGTATTACTTAGCCATTTCAGTTTTTTTGTTCAGATTTTTTTGTTATCAGTAGCAGCTAATACTGCATTATTTTCTTGTCGTTTGAAAAGTTGGGTCAATGTCTCGCTTTAGATCCACCGCAGGCAATTATGCGCTTGAGCCTCTATGGGTCTTTTTTCATACCTTCACAGCCCTGCGTTCTGTGGTCTTCTTCGCAACCAATTTTTGCGAAGAAGCTTTGCGTAACATCCCGTAGAACGGCTGTAAAGAAGACGATGTGTTTAAATAATATATTTCAGTTTGTATTACATCAACCCAGAACTTACCTTTTGTTGTTATATATCTATTGAAACCAGTTTAAATTATGATAAAACGAAATCTTCACGCACCAATTTTTTCCACCGAAGTTCAGTTTTTGTGGCTACTGCATTCTGGGAATGCGTAGCCCTTATGTTATCGCCCTGTAAGTGCGTGCGTAAGTTAAATTTTCCGCAGGAAGCCCAGCTGAATATTTCCGCTAGTTCTTGAGATTTTTTTTGTTTCCTATTTGGGATTCCTGTGTAACCACGCAAGCGTTCTAAAATAGCATGTTTGTAGCGGTAGTAGCGGTATGAATGGTGTCAGAAAAGTTTTATAGGCGGTATATTTGTTGATTAAGGTCAGTTTACTATATCATGTTTCTATGATGGCATAGGAAAAAGTCTGGACTGGACCATTGGACCCTTGAACCCTTGGACCATTGGACTATTTTTTGGACTCTTTTTGGGACCATTTTTCGAACCATTTTTTGGACCATTTTTTTTGGGACTATTTTATCGGGGGAGGTAGACCATTAGTACTTAGGGAGGGGTGGGATGCAGCTCATCAGTACTCAGGGAGGGGTTGTAGGCGGACTGTTGTTACTAAGGGAGGAGTCGAGTACGAACTATCAGTACGCAGCGAGGGGTGGGAGGTTGATGTATTAGTAACAGCTGCTGATTAATGGAGTTTTTACTAGATCATACAAATTATTTTGAGCGGTTTTTCGACTGACTGTTCGTATGTTAAAAATTTTTGCGCTGAGCCGTAGCGTTTCTTAATTTTTTGTCGTGCGAATGCGAAACTGGCACCTAAACACTGGACTATGATTGTTATTGAAAATATCGCCAATTCCTGTTTTCGATCCTCCACTGTTAAGTCATGCGTGTGCCTGTTAAGTCGACTTGTACCAGTGTTAAATGATACTCATGAGTTCGCATGAATCAACCATCAGTTGCCTCACGTTTCCCTTTGCGCATACAGTAGATCATTAAATTGATCTACCTTCCTTTTGTCATTGATCTTTTCAGACGACAAAGATCACGGAATTCCCTGTCCTTAGCATAGTATTCACGAGCGTTATCGCAATTTTCAAGTTTACACTTTCTAGAAAAACATTGTTGGTACAACCGTACAAAGCAATTTTCTTTCTTTTCAGATACACAGTTTTCCCCTATTAGATACACTCAACTCGCGCCTAAAGTTGAGTGTCATGTCACGCATTTCACTTTCACAGCTTCAGCGCTAGATCATTTTTTAAATAACAGGTTTGCATTTATGGCTTAACATTTGACGCAATTTTCCTTTCACATAGCCGTTGCATTGATCCATTAAATCCACACTGGTGCAAAATACAGAATTACCTTCCTCGAAAATTACGGATTTCTAATTCACTAATTACGAATTTCCTTTTCGCAAATTACCGATTTGAGTTAATCTCACAGATTACATTTTTTCATTCCGTTTCGTTTCGTAAATTACAATAAGCCCTCCCAGAGACAACAACATAGCCAATTCTGTGTTTCGCAATGACTTGAGAGAACATGAAATCTCTTTCCAATTTCTGAAACAGTCAAAGTTAATTAGTGACTGCTAACTGCAGACCAGATCAAAGAATTATGCAGAAAAAGGAAAAAGACCGACCTGTACAAAAAAGTTAAAATGCGTAGGCTGTGGGGAAATGGGACTTTAAGCCGGAAAACTGTGTATCTGAAAAGAGGGAAGATTACTTTGAACGAAATTACCAATAATGTTTCATAGTAAAGGTGCAAAAGTTAAATTTGCGATAACGCTCATGAATACTATGCTGCTAAGTTAAGGGCCAAGGATCGGAAACTCCGAGTTCTCTGTCGTCTGGATAAGATCAATGACAAGAGGAAGATAGATAAATTTAGTAGTAATATGCTGTACACACAAAGGGAAACGTGAGGCATTCGATGGTGGCTTGTTACTAACAGTAACTTCCCTAGGGTCCTAATCACTCACCAAAAAACTGACCTTTAAAGACTTTCAATCCGTCATCATCTTCAAAAGTTTCTTTGGCAGTAGCCTTCAAAATGAGCTCCTGAATTTGCATGTGCACTCTGAAGTCCTTCTTTAACAATGATGGGGAGCTTGACTCCTGCCCATGTTAATTAAAACCCCTGGGGGACGAACTACGGCCACAGCCGTAGAAAATTACATCACCCTATTTTTGTTGCTATTTAAAGCATGCCCGTGGGAAACTGATGCTATTTATGCATTAAACCGCCGGATAATGAGATGAGGCTCATTTTTAGCGAAAAGAGTTCTTCGAAACATCGAAATACGAATTTTCCCGAATTTTTTACTCCAGTTGTTGCTGACATCGCGTCTGCCATTTAAATATGGCGTCGCCAAAAAATTAGTAAGACATCTGTTAGCGAAAAAGATCGAAATGGCGGCTGCAGAGTCGATGGGATTAACTTTTGTGGACGAAGATGGCTTACCTGTAGCATTTTTGCGAATCGCCCACGTGGATTCTGACAATGAAGTGCCTTCCGATGTCAATAGCCGCGATGAAGAGGAACAAAACTACTCCAATATGAGATGGACATCTGTTATACAACCCCCAGAAGGCGTAAATTTTCGCGAAGAGGTTGGTATGAGAGTAGAAATGGACAATGACAATAATTGTTTAGATTACTTCCAACCTCTGTTTACTGATGATGTTTATCAGCTGATTTTACGTGAGACCAAACGGTTTGAGCATCAAAAACGGCAGCTTGAGGACAATTCTCTGGGTGGTCTCCACGATTTTACCCTTCCAGAGCTAAAGGCTTGGCTTGGGCTCACATTGGAAATGGGTCTTGTAAAAAAAAGCAATTTGAAAGCTCACTGGTCAACTGATTCGGTCACCAAAACTCCATTGTTTTCTAACACCATGTCAAGAGACTACTACCTTCATATTCAGAGATATCTTCACTTTGTAAATAATTGCAATGCCCCAGACCAGACAGATCCTAACAGGGATAAACTGCGGAAAATGAGATCATTTTTAGATGCTCTTGTGCCCAGATACGCTGGAAAAGAGGGTCCAGCAGCAAGCAAGGATTTGGCTCAGCGAGTTGTTCTAATGCTAACAGAGCCTTATTTCAACAAAGCTTACAAATTGTTTGTTGTCAACTGGTATACCAGTGTACCACTCTATCTAGAACTGGAAAAAAAAAAGGAATTAGAGTCTGTGGAACAGTGAGGGGAAATAGAAAGTGCCTACCTCAGGATACTGTTGACCAGCGATGCGAGCAGGTCAAAAGCCTCGTCAGGGGAGAATCGCTTTTCCGTCAAAGCGGCAAGCTCATCTGTGTGACATGGAAGGACCGAAAGCTGGTACATTACTCTCAACTCTCCCTGGGGGTTTGGAAATTGGACAGGTAGAGAGAAGGGTGAAGTCACGAGGGCAATGGCAAAGGCAGAACATCGCACAGCCACAGTTGATTAACCTGTACAACTCCCATATGGAAGGAGTTGATTTGGGTGATCAACGCATGGCAATTTGCTGCAGGTTTATGTAAGGAAATATTTGGTATTAAAAAATTTATTTTCATATGCTTGAAGTTGCTGTGTTGAATGCCCACATCATGTATAGAAGAGCTGGCCATCCAAGAGTCACCCTTGTCAAATTCAAAGAGAATCTTGTGCGGGAACTGATAGGAGGAAACGCTTTCGACGGAACAACTTTTCTGGAGGCAATGTAGCAGTACAGGATGTCCGCTTCGAACTCCAGCAGTTTCAGCATCCTGTGGCAACTGACACTCATAGAAACTGTAAAATACATATTCAACGGGTGGAAAAAGTCTATGAGTGCTCAGTTTGCCAAGTGCGTATGTGTTCAGGACCTTGCTTTGAGCGCTACCACACACTGCACAGTTATCTTTTTGATGACCCCAATAGAAATGGTCCCAACAGACTCAAAGATGGTCGTGGCAGACCAAGAAATGGTCCAGGCAGACCACTTCAAAAGAGATCAAGATGATTTTATGTTTCCTTTGATCAAAACATTAATTTACTTAGCGAGGTTTATGGTTGATTCAAGTGAACACTAAGTGATTTTGAGACCACTGATCGACATCAAGTTTGCAACTAAATATGGTTAAAAGAAGAACAATAGTGTTTCATTTTGTGCTAGGAAAAGCTTTCTGTGTATATAGAACTTGATGTTGTGTACAGTTATTGTGTTGAGAAAATTTCACTTCAGTTCTGTTCTCTAATTCGAGGACGGTTTGGGAAAAAATCCGTTTTATTACCTTTCTGGATTTTTCATATTTTTTCTGTAAGACACGTATTAGTTCATTGCACTAAATGAAAGTGCAAAATCTCCTCTTTCTAAAAATGTTAGTCTCATAGTTTTCTGCCGTATTAAAAAAATTGGTGGCCTAATTAGTAATGTTATGTCACAAATTGAGTCAAAAAACCCCCACCCCCTCAGTCCCCGAGGGGTAGGCCCAGATATCATACTGAATTCTTCCTCTTCATGAATTTGGATGTTTACTGGTATTTTACTCTCATCTTAGAGTGTTTTCATGGTCCATTTAGTGAACAAGTTGTCATGCTTATCGAGAAACATTTCGTAGACCGTCTTCGCATTGTGCTCTGCTCAACGTGGTAAGTGTTCCATTTCTCTAAGAAATGGGATATTTTCAAAAGATTAAAAGCAAACAATTAAGAAAATTAGGGGATTACTTAATTTTGAAACAAATTTCAAATATCAAATGTTTTTTTTCTACGGTCTCACGTAAGCAAGTTTCTATATTCTATTCTCTTAAACAATGCCTTGGGCACCAATTGCGTTCGTGAATCACAATAATTACTAGCACTCATGGGAACTGTTAAAAGATGATTGGTCGTTTCACAATGCACTGTTCTCTTTGAAAGTAGTGAAGTAGTGAAGTTTTATTTAGTTGCGCGTAAGTGCGTGGAATCTTATTTTTCGTCAATTTTGCGGACCGTTTTGTTCTGCTTTGGAGCTGCACATCTTAAATCATCTCGATTTTGTTGTAGATTACTCAAATACGAGAAGAAATTGTTGTGGCAGGTGCGTACAAGATGTTAACGCCCAGATCAGGGTTCTTGATATCTTGAAATCACAAGTCACTGCCTCTGCAGCCCACCATTTCTGACACTTTTCTTAAAGTTCACTTTCGATTAAAAGTTGATTTAATTCAAAGTCAACAACGTTCTCACATCTTCTTTATGATTTCCTCTCTGTCAAACAGGTTTACTCAAACAGGTTTACTCAATATTAAAGAGTGTGAAGAAATCAGTATCAAAGAGTGTGGAGCAAACTGTATTGAGACTACAAGCGTTTCAAATTGGCATGGAGCAGTCGTCCTTAAATCCAGCAACGTTGACGCCAGTGTCTTCGCCTAAGGAAGAAACGACCGGTTTGACCATAAGACAAGTGGCGAATGTAAAAATCTGGGCTCACAGGCGGCGGAAATCACTCTTCGTCCCACAGCGATGTGAAACAGACTATGGGAACGCTTTGTTGACGCATGCAGACTTTCCGAAAGCCAGGGCAAAGTCGCTTTCTGCGTTAAATCGTGACAGAAAGTTGCAATTCGACAAGCAAATGGCCCATAAAATGATGGAACAGGTGCTGAACATGGAGCTGTCGTTCAAATCCTACGATTTAAAAGAGTGTGAAATTGCGTCGAAAAAGATCGCCAAGACACTAAATGAAAAACTGAGCAGCACGTTTGACCTATCTGGCTGTAAAATGATCTGTTTGTGCTATATCACAAAGCGTGCAAAACCTTCCTTGGCGATAGACAGTGGCTGTGCGTGGGATGAAATGAAGAGCACTGTGGAAAAGGACGCGTTCGTGGATTACGTTTACAAAAATCAAACAATTGTTGCCGTTGCCTCCGTTTTTGTTATTTCTTGCCGCAGGTTTCCCACGAGGAAAGTGGTATTGGACAACCTCTACGCTCAAGGCACATCAGTACCTAAGGCAAGGAGTGCCGTCATGTCAGAGCTAGCTCGTAGAAGCCACGAATCAAGCGACAGAATGTTTGGCGTCCCACCGCCGAGGAAAGATGAATGGGTGGGTTAAGATTCATATTTCTGTGAATCGATAAGGAGAAACGGAATGGTTTTCGTGAGCATGCAAATGGAAGGAATATACCACACCATGGCATATCGAGGTTTTATCTTCATCACTACGAATGCATGGAGCTTATTTCTAAGACATCGCATCGTTGTATCAGTGCCTTTTCGAGACTTTGAAAGCCTCTGTTTAGATACTAAGCTCTTTAAGATATCTAGGCTCTTCATATATTGGTCATTGAAAATAATATGAAAATCATTGACGATTTTTGCATCTTTATGAAGCATCAAGACAGAAAACGCAATCGCTTGCTGAAAAACGCAACGACGCTTTGTGGTGTTGTTTACTTTGTGTGTGGGCTTGTACGTGCCTCGATTATCATTAGAGTCCTTTATTCTCTTCACCATGAAAACGTGTTTTGTTATCAAGTGCCACTTAGGACTTAATTAGACGTCCCTCTGGGTAAATAGAAGAATCCACACTGAAATAGCCTCATCATTCAATAGTTTAATAACTTTATCTTCAGTGACGTCAAAGATATCTAAAATGGTTGCTGACTTTTCACTTGGGACTGTTTACATTTGTATGGTTATCGCACAATTATGCATGTAAATAGGAATGCATGAAGTACTTAACGAAAAAGCGTTCTCCGCACATTGTGAGTATTCGAGACTATATTGACCAAATCTTAAACTTTAGTTTTGAGAAGGAAAAGAACGATAGAAGGGCCATTATGAAATAACCATAGTCAAATGGTGCGGCTGAATTTCGTTCCAGTCATCACTAAAGCAAGAAGGAGTAAGAGACGTACAAGCGAATCGAGAAAGCCGTTTCTTATCCGACAGAAAACGTTTTATCTTGTGTTTTTGCTCAAGTTTTATTGAAAGCGTTTTACGTTTTCTTTCAATAAGGCAGGAAATATTTCTTTCTCTCGCTCTCTTGTACCTCAAAAATCGCATGTGTTTGGGAAGTTGCATTAAATCGACTGCATCTCGTGAGTTATGGAGCCATGTGCTGAAAGTTTTCGTAAATGCACGGTCCGTAGGCGGGTCAAACGTACTTCCTCGCGTACTTCCTCGATGCACACTTTTAACAGCGGTTGGAAAATAATTGGTTTTTTTTTCATTAGGTCATTTAATGAAATAATTATGACAGAAAAACTAAGTCCAGGGTCTTTCGCAATATTTTTAAGATCATCATTGTTAACTGACCAATTAGGATTGAGAAAATTCGTTAAGTATGCAATAAAAGCCCTTTTTGATGATCAATAAGTTAATTTTAATATTTGATTAAAAAATCCAAGTAGGAAATTTTAAGTCAGAGATCGTTTGTCTTACTGCACTCCTGGGAATAGTAAAAATAGTAAATGATGTAGCTCTCAGCCTGGTAAAAAGCCGAAAAAGTGATACACAATGTTACTGAATTGAAATAAAGCTGGTCATTTGACATTTTTTAAGAGATTGGTTGCTTTTCCAAGCTCATTTTAGCGACTGCTCGATGACGTTTTCCGCGCAAACCATTTTGGAAACAAAATAATTAGTGTTTTCTTATCTCCAAATTTTGCCTTAACTTCCTGAGTGCGTTCTTGGGATCTTACTTCTTCCTGTTGATATTTACGAGTGAGAGAAGGGAATAAGACCATGTGCTTTTCGTGTTCTCTTGGCGTACAGCTTACTTAGACTTGACTCGCTGATAGTGTCGAAAATAACCCACCGAGAGGCAAAGATTCGGGATGTAGTCCCCAATCAACTACAGCCATAACGCGGGCGGTCACCCGGTCACTGACATTTCGGTTTCTCTAAATGTTAATGTATTCAGAGGGTGGCAGGGGAGTACATTTGTGAACTGGCTCAGCCTGGTGCTTCTCGTGAGTAAAAGAATACAATGGGGTATTTTTTGGTGATCCTAGTAGTATTATTGTGTTTTAAATCAAAATGCCCCGATACTAAGGCTCTTACATCTAAGCCGACCTCCACCTCAGAGAATGATTATAACTTATGGAAGAAGTAAATGACAAGGAAGTATTTCGTGAAAGTGCAAACTTCGCAGATGCTTGCTCTAAGAGATATATTTCATAGAAGAATTTTAAATCACAGATATATTTTTCATTTGTCAGTGCAGCACTCCTTTCCTACTTATTTAGTTTTTTTCTAGCACTCTAAAATCGACTTCCCACCGACGACACGTTGCTATGAGCGAACACCTGTACGTCCTTCCATCTTCTTTCTCAATGTGTATAAAACTTTGTCTCACTATTTGGTCTCTTCCGATGTGGACGCTATCGAGGTTCACTTAAGATGTGACTTAATGGCAAGATAAAAGTTTGTACTTCATAACAAGTTCATTCACTACGATAAATGATCGGAACCTTTTTGAGTTATTATTTTCTTTAAAAAAAATAACATCTATGTCAGCGCATAGAGAGTAGTATGTTTCTGGCACCAATCAGATCATTTAGGGTATGTATCTCGTACCAATCAGATCGCCGCGTTTAGGGTATGTATCTCGCACCAATCAGAACGTTGTTTTTTTTCTTTGATTTGAGAAGTGTTCAAATCTCAACGACGTAATGGGGGATTCGGAGACAGCAGTTTGTATAATGGAATCATCATTTAGAATGAGAAGCGTTGGCTTTTCTGTGTTTTTAACGTACATTTTACCGCGCTTTATGAAAAATGCGATACTACTGGACAGATGAAAGATATCCGATTACGTTCAGTAAACGTGTTACTCCTGTTGTGAAATGGCGGATAGCTGTTCGAGAGAAAATGGAGTCCTGTGCACTGTAGCACGGTCATCGTCATTGTTCCTTCACGACAAGGATAAGTGGAACAATTTTGAATCAAATATTGCTTGAGGTGTTGATAAACTGCACTAAACATTTTGATTTGAGCAGTTCTTTAACGGCAAGCTGTGTTACAAGATTCATTATTTGTTGAGTGTGCCGGTTATATTTTTCTGGATTGGTTTGCTCGATGCTATCTCTAGATGAATGTCTGATTAAAATGAACTATGGACGATTTTGTGTATATTTTCGATGACTGGAGAAAGTGATCTTGTGGAGTTTTTTGTGTTTGGCCAAGGACGAATTCAGATACCAAAGTTAGCATGTCTATTTGATTTTGTTATCTAGGACGATTGATTAACGGAGGTAAGTTAATATGATGTGATTAACTAACGTCGAAGGAACAGTTTTGGTCTAGGTCCGCATTTTTGACAACAAAATAAACACATACCACTTAAAAAGATTATAACAAGGACCACGTGTAAAGCTGTCAATTGTTTCTCGAATGTTGCGCGTGTTAAATATTCAAAACTGACATCTCATTTACATCTACATCTACTTTTATTACGTTGGTAAAACCTGTACAGACATCACACCAACCAACTCGCGTGCAAAGTGAGAAGACTATATGAAGGCTTGAAATTATATTAAGATCGATTTTGATCAAGAAATGGGCCAGGAATATTCCACAATAGTGCAAATAATCGTGAAAACTGATCGCGGAAAAGCGATTGCGTGACGTTCGGTAAGTTATAACATGACATGTTATCACATGCCAGACGGAAAAACTCTTTAGATTCTCAGTCTGCATTTTGTGCCCACTCTGCGGTCTGCAGTCTACATTTTATACCTAGTCTACATTTTATATCCGGTCTGCAGTCTGCAGTCTGCATTTTGTACTAACAGGTAGACAGAGTACACTAGCTGAAAGCTATAGACATCAGTGGCACCAATACAGTTTATTTTTGGTTACAGTTAACAAGCTACCACAAAGTGCCTGTGTGTGAGTTAATTCGATATCTTCGTTCTTTTCCGCGTTAGTATTCTTCTTTCCTTTTGTAAAAATATAGACATCACTTGCATACATAGCATGCCTATGTTTTGTTAAATGCTTTTATTCCAGTTGGCTGTTTATGGCGAGACTTGAATCGAATGTAGTGTTGGTTACATCGGCACAAATACTTCATTTTCATGCAGTCAAGCCGCGGCTTTCGAAGAATTTTTTCAGTTTAGAAATACACGCAGTTTAATGAGCTTTCTCGTGGACAATGTTTTGTTACATAGGGCTTTGATTTGATCCAATGGTTCCGCTCGGCTAAAAATATAGCCATCTGAACTGTTAATTATTAATTACATGCAAAGGCAACATTTGGTTAAAGTATAAAATTACACTAATCGATAAGGTAACGTTTCACGATACACGTTCACCAGTATCCATGATTCTGGTCTTGCTATATCTAAATAACTGTCCATGTTCATAGTTACTTTTCTATCTAAGCTAGAGAGGTAAAAAATTTACTTTGTCATAAGAGGTACTGGAAGACCAGTTTTTCAATAATAAATTCAGTAAACTCAGTTAAGCTCTTGGAAACATTTCAACATCGTTTCCTCTTCCTCCTCGAGACACGATTCCCCTGAGGCCGTCCGAATCATCCCTCTCCTTTACGTATGGTTGTGTCCTGTCGCCTGTTGATCGAGGATATCTTTCCGCCATAGCTTCGTGCGCTTGACCAACCAGCGAGAACACATCATTTCCTTCAAATTCGTGCCAGGTTGTATCAACAAAAGTCATGTCGACTTTTTGTTTGCCTTCTTGTTGAACTTTTTCCTTAAAAGCAGTAACAGCTGCCTGCGCTTGAAGATGTTGATAATCCTCCAAAGATGGAAACGCTTCGTCGAATTTATTTATGGCGACCAAATGCTGATAGGCGTTTCTAAGTATGTCGGAAGGATTTTGTTGTACTGTGGTAAAATACAGATCTGCCCGTCTCTTTCCTTGTTCTCGTGCCAGCTTTTCCATGTTTTCTTTAAATGCTTCAACTGCCGCTTCTGCTTCGAGTATTTTATAGGTGAAAGGACTTGGCAATGAGCCGATTTCTCGCTGGAAACAGCATCTTTGGATAGAAATAACAAGGAAACCCCCTAGCAGAGTACAACCGAGGAGCAATAAAGCGGCTGTTTGCGAATTTTTCCCCGCATTTGCGTAATCTGCTTCGATTTTTAATTTCTCCTGAGGTGAAGCCGTAAGCAATTTTGCTTCTTTCGTTCCTCCGAGAGCTGCACATACAAAATAGTCTCGTTGTAACAATGCCCAGAAAATCCAAATGAAGCCGGACAAGGAACTCTGAAATATGATTTCCACGAGCTTTCTGCTGCATGGCCAGCGAGGGAAGAAGCAGCAACAGTAACGCTTTAATCCTCTTCTTTGCTGCTGTTCGTAAAAGCAACATCCACGCACAAGATCCCAGAATCCGCTATGAAGAAATATTGTCACGAGAAATAAAAACAAAGCTGGAATGATGAAGAAACAGCTTGCATACAAAGCAAAACCATCTGGCGGACATTGAAAAAAATCCTCGCTTTGAACAACGGCGTTAATTCCAAAAACTATCAGAGTTATAGTTGTGTTTCTGATTGCTCCTGAATGGCTCTGAAAAACTGACTGGAACGAGGTCACAAGCTTGGTTAGAGTGAACGCCATTTTGATTTTGTTTACGATAATTACCGAAACGCTCCCACGGGATTACGCATATCATTAGTTATATTGGTCACGCCACGAGGTTCGTGTTCGAGAGCTGAGGTCAAGAGATGATTCCGAAGTGTGTCGATGACAGTCTCTAATCGTTAAGATGGATCTGTGCCTGTGGCCTGCTGATAATTTTTAGGGCATTAAGCAAGAATAATTTAGTATCTGACGCATTTTTTTAATTTTCCCAGGGTATAAAAGGAAGGCCAAGATTTAAATGTGGGAATCCGCGCAAAAACATCGATATACGCTTAATGACCTTATCCTACGCAAGGGTCAATCGTACCCCCATCATGTGCTATGATACAAGCATCAATTGATTCAGGTGACAAGGCAAGCACGGAAAAACAAAAGACTGCGAGTGGCCAAGGAGCTCCCAGCTAGAACTGTAACACCATTGATTTTCTATTTAATTTATGCCGACTTTCAAGGACTAATGTTTCGTCCAATCATTCAAATCGCATAAAAACTCATGCAAACACGCTGAGTTCCCTTTTTTTAAGTTTGTCAAGTGCTGAGTATTTTGGCGAGAGTCGGTTTTTTCACACTGCTAAACTTATAAATATAACCTCAACTTATGCAAACTTGCTATTTTGAAGGATTCGGTGTATTTGACGGACATTGGTCAGATTCTTAAAAAAACCAACTCAACGTTAGAAATCAAAGAGCCAAGCGAACTTACGAAGTCTCCTTAAATTCGCTAAGTCCCTCTGTATTTGGTAAAGGTGCAAACTGGTAAATCAAGTTTAACTCAGTGATGTCCTGTACAGACAAATGCTATTTCAATAGATTTTGTAAAGCTAGTGACAAAATGATACGCAACGTGACTGTTCGCGGGTTAGCGTCGGTTCGTTGTTCTTTCGTGACAGGATCCTTAGGTTTGGCGAAAATATGCCCCAAAGTCTGAAAAGGTTTTTGAGCAACTTTAACGTTGTGGCTATTCAAAATTCTCTTGATGGTTTCGGTAACACCTTGAATGTAAGGGATAACAGCAAAACTAGTGGCTGGTTCCCTTTCATCAAGTGCGTTACTAGTTGTAACTGGTTTTTGGCAGTTACGGAGAAAGGTTTTTGTATAGCCATTTGCCTTTAGGACATTAGAAACATATTTCCTCTCCTCAGCCTTCGAATCGAGTGAAGATGGTAGACAGTCAGCCCTCCAAAGTAAAGTTTTGGCAACAGACCTTTTATGGCAAATAGGGTGGTGAGAATCGAAAGCGAGGTATTTGTCGGTGTGGGTAGTTTTACGGTAGACACTTGTCTCTAAATTACCCTGAACCCCTCTGGACACATTTAAATCAAGAAAAGGCAAATGTCTATCCTTTTCACACTGAATTGGATCGAAGGCTCTACTGAATTCAAATGCGACAGGAGGTGTTCCGCTTCATTTCCGGATACCGCAGATATAACATCATCGACGTATCGTTTCCAGAAAAAGGGTTTAACCGGTGAAGTGACTAAGGCCCTTTGTTCCACGTCTCCATTACCATGTTAGCAATGACAGCAGAGTCAGGCGAACCCATCGCTGTACCAAAAACTTGTTGATAGTAGGTGCCGTTATATGTAAATTGCGTGGTTTTGAGGCAAAAAGAAAGCAGATGAATAATATCCTCCACAGGCAAAGAAGTTCTTAGTCCTAGGGAGGCATCTTCTCTGAGTCTCTCCTCCGCAACCTTAACGGCAAGATCAACCGGGATTTTAGTGAAGAGCGAAACAACGTCGAAAGATACTAATTCTTCACAAGCGTTAAGAGTTTTATCTCTTATAAAATCCGCAAATTCGCAGGAATTTTTGACAGTGTAATCAGCATTTCCAACAACAGGCGACGAAATTCTCGCAAGATAACCAGAAATTGCATAAGTCGGAGAACTAACAAATGGGTCTCAAAGGGATTCCCGGTTTATAAATTTTAGGTATGCCATAAAAACGTGGACATAAGCCGTCACTACTGTATAACATTTTGTACGTAGAGTCACTAATTTTACCAGCTTTTTTCAAATCAAGCAACATTTTGTTTAAATTTCTTTGAGTTTTACTGGTAGGATCAGAGTTTAAGACAGCATACGTACTCTTGTCATTAAGCAGAGACAAAGCTTTGTCGTGATATTGCCGTTTGTCCATAACCACAACACAATTACCCTTGTCAGCAGATAATACGAGCCTGTCCGTATCCTTTTTAAGAGCTATAAGCGCATTGAAAACATCCTTTTGAAGGTTTTTGGGAGGAGGTTTAGCACGCCTGAGTATGCTGCTTACTTTGGCTCTTACCAAATGCCTATTTCGGCAGTCGGTATTTTGCGAGGGGCCATAGCAAACTTCAGACCCTTCTCTAAACCACTCCGTTCCAGCGCGGATAACTCCTTGGAGGAAAGGTTTATGACCCATTTATCTTTCAGAGATGAGCCTGAATTAACAGGAGACCTCTTACTGAGCAAATGACAGAATTTTCTGTCGTGTTTCCCTCTCTGTTTGGTAAACACGAAAGAACAACGAACCGACGCCATTTGTTCTATTCCGTGCAATGACTGTGACCACGAATACATCGGACAGACCAAACGTCAGTTTGGTACACGTTTGAAAGAGCATCAAAAAGCGGTTTTCTTTTGCAAAAAGGAAAATTCTGCTTTATCGGAGCACACATGCCTAACCAGCCATACAATTGGGTGGGATAATTCTAAAACTATCACCACTAATCGGCATTACCACCACTGCCTTTGTTTGGAGGCTTGGCATATTAACTCCGCCCACGCTCCTTTAAATCGTGACGATGGCGATTTGCTTCCTGACGCCTATTAATACCTCGTCAGAAAAAAGACCGCTAATTAGTGATCATATAAAAGGACCTCTTGTTGCAGCGTTTAGATCACCCCTGATGAAGGCACTAGACAGGATCTATGAATTGTAACTTTTCGGTTACATTCATTAAATCTGCAAACCAGAGTAGCTTCAAACCATGTCTGATTGTCCACCTGGTTGCGGTGTGAACTTTAATATAACTTAAAGTATTCCTGTACAAACATTGACACTTGAAAAAAGTTGCTCCTTAATAAGTGTTATTAAAATCCATAGTGTCTGGTATAAGAGAACAAGCTGATCACATAATTGTTGTATTTAAAAAATAAGTAGTGATCCTCAAAATATCCTGTTAACAAGTTGTTGATACAATTCTGACTAACTTTTATGAACACTGTTGCAGGTTTATTGTTAGATTTATAGCCTTAATCACCAACGAAGATTCGCTTTGGTGTATACTAATTTCGTTAAACTTCTGAAAATTCCTAAAAACAATAGAAGTTCTTGAGGTAAAGGCAGTCGCAGCCGCAATGTCGGCATGAATAAACGAATCTTGAATAAGTCAGTTGATATTAACGATTTGGGGCCGTTTTTTGTAACTTGAGGGAGTAATTTATTTATTTTTACGTTAGCCCTTTAACTGCGCGAACTTATATGAATTTCACTTTTAAAGTATTCAGGTTTTATCAGTCGGGCTACTTTTGGAGACTTGTAAATTTGTTTATAATGGAATAAGGCCACAAAGAAACGAACCAAGCAAACCAATGCCGTTGTGTGTTTAGTAATTACTACTTTTCGAGTGTTCTCCCAATTGCAATTGCGTCGCGAACAGTCACGATGCGTATCATTTTGTCACTAGCTCTACAAAATCTATTGAAACAATATTTGTTTGTATAGGACATCACTGAGTTAAACTTGGTTTACCGGTTTGCACCTTTACCAAATAACATACATGTGATTTTTCGCCGACGTGTGTAATCCAGTTTTAAACTTTTTCCTTTTCGCTTCGACTAGGAAATAAAATTATTTGATTAATAAACGAATGTCGAGTTAAATGAAAGGCCGAGCAACCGATAGAAAGTGGGTCTATTTCTTAAGTCCTTGAGTTAGTAAAAAGTTCATAAGTGCAGTAAAATGTTAGTTCTTGAACAATCAAGTGCTGGGAGTATCTCAGTTATCTCATAACGTGACCTATATCACACTAGTTGATTTCCGCAGGAAGTCATCATGTTATTTATAGACATTTCCGTAGCTTTTTATCCCATACCGCCTCAGATGGACACCGCCTCAGTGTGAAACACGCAACATGATTGGACTATTCTATTGTGGGATAACGTTTGTGTACCGTTAAGAGCTATTATTACTGAAACACTTACAGTTGATCTCTTATGGTAAACGGTCCTAAGCTTTTCGTCTCACTTGAATCTACTTAAATTAGTTTTTTGAGCACCGCCGGGATTTGTTTCAATAGAGTCAATTATCATCATTCACATAACTTATGAAGCTCCTTCAAATTAAAAGTTACCACCATGCACACCCGAAACTCATTAAGTAAGTCCGCACAGACTCCTCGTGTTGCGAAATTACAGGTAAAATTAACATTTTGTAATCGTGTAGTGATCTGTTTTGTTAATCCTTGCTTGTCTATTTCATTTTGTTGTTCATTCTCCAAAGGAATATCGGCTTTCTAGGCGCACGAAACATGAATTATCATAACAAAGACGCCCACAGACTTTGAAATGTGTCTGCTCAAACATGTGTCAAAAATTGATCCGTCCAAATATTATTTATCGTACCCTTTTTATTCTCTTTTTTCTTGGTGACAACACGAAGAATAAGACACATTTTTGTTTGAAATATTTGCACTTACATTGAACTCATGCTTCTTCTGGCATGATGAAAGAATTTGTCACGGGATAAGCAGCAATTCTATGTAGGAGACTCTGAACTGCTGTTAATATCTTTTTAATTACGGTATCTCACACCAACAATTGACTGACTTAGTGGACCGAAGAGAGCGATGTCAGCTTCCACAATCGAAATGCATCGATTACTTGTGACGGGGTCATAATTTTCGTTACTTGAAAAAATGTTATTTCATAAATTTAAATTACTCGGTGAGGTAACGTAAACCAGTGAAGGCAGCACTTGGTCGAGTACCCTGGGGCTAACTTCAATGGATCATGACGGAATGTTGTTTACATTTGAAAGGACATAAACAAAGTGCGTATTGTGTTTGAAGACTTGTCACTAATACTGATGCAAGCGAAACGAAGGTTTGCGTGTTCTACTAAAATATTGCCGTGATGCGCGCCGATGACTTTTGAGATAGAAAGATACATAGAGGAGGATTAAAGCACACGAACAGGAAAAAAAGGATTCACTGTCGAAGCTATAAGGAGAACAAGTGGCGTCAAATGAGCGACGGCCCGAAAGAAGGCGTGAAGGAGGTGTGTATACCCGAGGCATGTACAAACTTTGACATGGAGACAAATATATCCACATCAAAGATTGCTCAGGATTTTGAAGGAATAACTCTTGCAAAGAACACTGCTATGCGTAGAAGAAGGCATTCATTGTTCGAGACAAAAGAGTTGCCCAAGATACGAGAGGGAGACCATGGTGTCGCCGTCATGACACATGCTGATTATCCTTTGCGGAGTCGCTCGAAATCCCTTCCGTTCGAACCTGAAAAGCGAAAGATTCCAATTGGATTCGAGCAAGAAAACGTCAGAAAGCTTCTTCAAGAGGTTCTGGAGAGTAAACTTAAAGGAAGAAGTTATGTAGCGAGCGAATGCGCAGCGTTAACACGAGAACTAGTAAACATTATGCGCGACAAAGTTGCAGCACTCGATTTGAACAAGTACAAATTTATTTGTACTTGCTGCATTACGCAGAAACTCAAACCGCCTCTTGCCATGCAAAGTGGCTGCGCCTGGGATGAAAGCACGATAGGGATTGATAAAGACGGTTTCGCTGAATTTGTTTACAAGAACGACGATCTCATCGCAGTTGCTACGGTTTATGGAGTTCACGCTCAGAAGAGGACGCAAGGACAGAGGTACATAAAGAGTATCAAGGGATCCATTTACTCGCCCATCCCAGAGTGAACCTTCCAAGGAAAATTTTGCTTGCAGGGAACAGGTGATATCAATTCCCATAAAGGACATTAAAAATATGAGACTGGCGAATGTAATAAACAACTGTTTCCTCGACAGTGCTGGTCTAAAGATACTGATGTAATATGTTTCTGTAACTGAAGTAGTTAAAATAACAAACTAGTTGACAAAAGTGACAAACGTTACGTCTTGAATTTTCGATTTGTTTTGGACAATCAATATCGTAAACGATGCGGATAATGGTTGAATAATAGAGTTCTTGCTATGATATGTATTAAATCATGTCGTAGTCTTCGCAAGACTGATCCAAAAAGGAACAAAAACACCTACATTTCTAACATTTGATGCAAAAATTGTCTGTTATAAAAAACGGTCGAAAAAAGTATATTTTGAATACATAATCAGAAAATAATGGATTTGAAGCTTCCGAACTTTGTTAGCTGACGAGTTGATGTAATAATAGATGATTGACGGCTCTCAAGGCTACGAACTAATTATGCCGTGATAACAACTCTTACGTCGGGGCATGTGATAAGTCTTACGTCGAGGCATGTCACGAAGTACGTGACAAGCTCGATTAGTCCACTGTCTTTAAATAGCATCACCATGGCTCCTACAAAAGTATTTAAATACCTCTTAGCTCCATAGATCCATATATTTTTGCCACTTTTGGTATTTTTCCTCAACTGTCACCAGTGTACAGCTTTTTTACTTCAAGTACCAATCGTTTATTGACCGGCTGGCCTAATAAGGAAGCCACTTATAATTATCCTATGAGCCGACTACTTGCTTATGTCAGTGAGTAAAGCGTGAAAAACGTTTCTGCATTGATGTGATGATATTTTACAACAGCTGGCTCACCAAAGTAGAAGTTCTTAAAGGCAAAGCCAATGCTGTTTAAGGTGGCTTTTACGTTTACTAATAGCTGGTTACCGACTTATTTACAAATGTTTCGCTTAGCTGAATGATCGGTTAGTCAGCAATAGCAATGTTTCCTCATACTATACGTTACACCTTTGACTACAAGATTCAGATTGACATGGTTTACTAAGAGATTAGTACACATACAAACGATTAAGAAAAAAGTTTATTTTCAGTTATCAGATGTTTGTTTATAAGGATTTGATATTTTCATATCATTTGATCTCAACTTCAGGGGGTTGAAATTAATAAACGTAACTGTAACCTTAGTGTCACCCAGGTGGATGTTCAAAATTTCCCCATTAACCCTTTAACTCCCAGAAGTGATTAACATAAAACTTCTCCCTACAATATCCATACATTCTTCAGCAAACAGGTAATGAGAATATTCAAACTTATCAGGTAGAAGCTGCTATCGTGATCTAGCACCAAGTTCCCATAACTAATTTACAAAGAAATGTGTAGCAGCTACAGGGGAGAATTAACAATCAGATCTTGGGAGTTAAAGGGTTAATTGAAAGAAACAATCAGATTTACATGCATATGGTGGGTGGAAAGTTGAGATCATAAATTGTATTAACTAGAGTGCATCTCGAATGATTGTCATAAAACCCAAATCAAAGTAGTCGCAACAGCCAATCAGAACCAGGGAAAATATCGCAAGGAGCCAGTGAGAACGCAAAGTAATAAGAGACAAACTTTATAAAACGCGGGAAAACGCAACAGACAAAGGCGTGATTGCTTTCAGCTCTGAATCTATAAACGTGGACAGAGTGGTACCAAACACTAGGTACAGTTGATCATGATTATTTTGGTTGCAATGAAGAGACTTACAGGTCCGCACTACTTATTATAGGTTGAACCTCGTTTCTTTATTTATTTGTCGTGTGTTACAATTTTTTTTACGATTTACGGGGACGCCATGTTGTGTCATTTTGGTGCTCATCCTAGGGGCACCAACATGACGGCCATGTTGTTTTTTTTGCAATTTAAGTGATTAGCTATCAACTGTGAACTTGTGAACATTCATCTCAACACATTTCTTTATATTTCTGATGCTCAGGCAGCTTTTCGGGCCTATTTCAATCTCGAGCGACAAAGAATTACGAAATTAGAAATGGTTCTATTTTCAAGATGTCGAAACTCACGTTACTGAAACCTTTCCACAAGGCTAATGTTTAGGAAATCTTTCGTCCTGTAACAGCGATTTCGTGAAACTTTTGACAATAAAAACGAACGGCGAAACACAACGTTTTAACCAAACCTCGGCCATTTTCAAGTGAATAGTAAGAATGTCACGATGAATATATATATGTGCGTGTAAGAAGTATAAAAATTTTTTGGAAGAGTAATTGGACAATAAGAACATACAAAGAGAAGAAATAATTAGAAACTAATCAAAAACCAAATTCCAAACTGAATATAAATAAAAATTAACCGAACTTCGCAAGAGGCACTATCACGAAGTTCTAAATATCCAGAGAGGAGGACGTTGATGAACACATCATTAACATTTCCTCGTACAAGCTTTCCTTTTTCCAAAAGTTTGTGCTTTGTCGTGGTTTAAAATTTTCCATCCCTAAACACGTGTCCTCGATTGACATAAAGGCCAGCTTTGAGAAAGCTTGATGGAAACTCGAACCACATTTACCGGAAGAATTTCGTGACCTTGCAGCGCCTGCAAGATAGACCAAAGTGTAGAGGTAGACCACCAAAATACTATCATCCCTTGCTAAAAAAGGAGAAAGAACTAGAATCACTTTTTCGCCGAATGCTCCCCTCTGCAATTGCAAACTCTGTCCGTCCGTCAGGTTCCAGGCTGGCCCATCTTTATGGTTTGCCTAAAACGCACAAGAAAGACTAGCTATACGACCTATCTTGTCAGCTACTCAGACTTAAAATAATGCCCTCGCCAAATGGCTAGATGACAAAGTAAAACCTCTCGCCCTAAACCAACATACGATAAGCGACACCTTTGAGTTCGTGAATGAGGTCCACGAATTGACGATTGACAACGGATGTACCCTTGGAGGAGACCATACGTCGATAAGGATTTCGCTGATAATTGGTTTAATGAAACACACCACCTTAACCTCAATAAGCTGGACCTTGTCGATCTTAGAGCGGCGACAAAAGACCAACTTTTCTTTTTTAACCGCCATTCATATGAACAAACAGACAGAATTGCTATGGGCTCCTGCCTTGGTCCTCTATTAGCCAACTTCTTCATGTGCAGCATTGAGGATACTTTGAAGCATGAAGGCAAGATGCCCACATACTACAAGAGATATGTGAGATATGTTGATGACACGCTGACTATCATGCCAGTCATAACATGGAGATGGAGAGTAAAAGTATGCTGCCTTTTTTGGGTACCCAGCTGCTCAACAAACACACACATGTTGAGACTAAGGTGCACGTTAAACCCACAAATACTGGCCTTCTGCTGCATTACAAGAGCCATGTAGACGACCGATACAAACGCGGGTTACCAAAACCTATGCTTGATCGTGCATTGCGGCTTTCATCCAATTGCTGTTGCTTCTTTGAAGAATGTGATCGACTGAAATTATTGTTTTCTCGACTAAATATCCTGACAAACTTGTCAACTCTACTTTTTCACGTTTTATTGCCGCCAAAGCATCGGATTAACCTGTTTCTTCGGCGACTGTCAGCGATCGAACAGACCCCATTCGCGTTGTCCTACAGTTTAAAGATCAGGCCTCAGCCGATATTGTACGTGTCCAACCTAAAGATTTGAGTCAGAAGATCCACACGACCGTACAGCCTGTATTAGTCAGCCAGAAGGTTGAATAAGATTTTAGATTACAAGAAGCGAACTGAGCCACCGGTTTTGAACCAACAGTGCCTTGTTTACAAATTTAAATGTGACCTGTGCGATGCAGGTTATGTCGGTTTTAGACGCGGCCGTCTGCACCAACGTGTTCATGAACACCGAAACTCGACTTCATCGATTGGCGAGCATTTTAACGACAAGCATTCTTTGGCCCCAAGGGATCTTACGATGAATTTTAGTGTTTTAAAGAAGTGTACGAACAAATTTGACTGCCTACTTTTTGAAACTCTATTCGTGCAAAGATTTTTAATTAGCTATTTAATCTTTTTTTTAATTTGGTTTTTAATTGGCTTCTAATTATTTCTTCTCTTTGCATGTTCCTACTGTCCGTTATACTTCTCACACGCATAAACACACTCAAAAATTCTCACTATTCACTCGAAAATGAATGAAGTTTGGTCGAAACGCTGTGTTTTGCAGTTCGTTTTTATCGTCAAAACTGTAATAGTCCTTCTTATTTTGGATTTTTAAGATGTCAAGTGAAAACCAAGGATAGCTAAACACCATTCATTGCTTTAAAATGGCTCACTGGATCGTGGCTAAAAGAAGCAACAATATCTACATTTATGACATTACAAAAAGGAAGAGTGATTTCCATGCTTAATCAAGATACAGGGCTCCTCTGAATACCACTTTACAATATGGGCTACTTGTGTATTGCTACCAAAAGACAAATAATACAAAAAGCTTTTCATTTTCGTTAAAAGCACGAATTGTTATCATTTAGAGAACGTGCTATCTGGTTTATATTGTTTTTTCTTTAAAATGATTTCACCGGGACTCTAAGATGACAAGAGACCAAGTTAATATTGGTTTTCCTCGTTTGCAAACGGCTTTCATTTTCATTTAATTTACAAACTTGAATGACTCCTCGGTAACAAAAATTGAAACTGAAATCAAACTGATTGTTCTCTGGCTTAAAGCCGGTTCTTACATATGACCTAGAAGAGAAAAATACACTGTTCAATATTTAATTCGATATTTCTTGAATTTATAACAAAGCTTGACTTTTGGATGAAACTAGAAAAAAAAAGCTTGGACACTCAGTTAGGGGAAAGTTGTTGGATCAATACCTGAAGGTATTTCATGCCTTTACTTCAAGGCGAGGGTTGGAGCGATAACCATGATATGATAATAATATTTTTATTAACCATTTTAACTAAAAGTTTTTGCTCTTGGTCTCGTTTTGAGTTTGAAGGTATTTACAACTCGCGAATGGCCTGTTCCTTAGGTTCAATAAGGAACAAGACCCCGAGCGCTAATTATTCTTCTATATTACGAGGAGAGATGTTTTGATATTAACCGTTAACTCTTAAAGACGCTTGTTTATTGAATTGATTTTAATATATAATGGTAGGTAATTAAAAACATATCAATTACTGGACGACAGTTTGCTATATAGGAAGATTTATCTAAGAATTAAAATTGACATCGAGAGTTCAACAAACTCAGGCAAAAGCAAATACTTATCTTCGAAGAATCCACTCAGTAAGCATATATCGGTAAAGCAAAACTTGGTTAAGAATCAAGCGTTAGAAAATGGTCCCCTAGAAGAAATTTCATACAAATATTTGACCTATTAGAATTTCTATCAATGATAAAGACGAATCAAGTCCGCCAAATGTTGGTATATATTGTATAAAAAGGTGCCATATAAATCTTTTAAGGATTAAAAATGGCCTTCAGCAGCTTACCTAAGGGCTTAAGAGACAATTTTTCCAATATCGTTTTCCTGCCCGCTGAGTGACATATCGTGGCCAAGAAAAATGACAGTCCACTCATTTTTATTTGCAAGTGGTTCTATTTTCACCTCGATCATAAGCGAAAAATTTTAAGAATTGGAAAAAGAAGCTAGTCTTCACATTTAAGAAGCCTAATCCATCTAATACGTGATTTCTTGTTAAGTTTGTGCTTTGAATTTTTTTTTAATTGTCAAGAGCAACATCCCTATATAACTAAAAAACAAGTATATAACAAATAGGGATTGTTTCCGTGCGCAGTTTAACACAGCTGCAGTTTGGGACAGTTTGAGATGAACTTGAAATTCATTCGAAATTTTTCGTCTTAGTCTTGCTTTTGTTTCCTGTACAGAAATTAAGGTTGAGGTCTTCTGAAAATCACTAGCATAATACTTAACTGAAACAACTTCAAACCATTTTATTGCTTTATATCTATGCCACATAGTTCTGAAATAATTAAATGTTTACACATTGTCACACAATGCTAAACTTCTGTTGGCTTATCGTTTCCATGGAGATCGCACGTTTAAGCCGTAAACTACGACGCACGAACTATCTCTCAATTGAGTCCCCACCAATAATTTTGTAAACAATATCTTGAAGATTGGTAATAAACAAACCTGAACATCATATCACACAGATGCCGTTGAGAATACGACAGACATGATCACCTACAAATGATACCAAGCATCTTCCTAACTCTCTCTATAATCTTAAATTAAATATCATGAAAATTAATGGTTTACTATTTTAATTGGCAGACACCTCCGTTGGCCTTTTCTAATTTTCTTATTTTGAGACCAAGCTTTTCTTGAAGACATTGTAAGTGAAAATTCTAAGTCACGCCATGAATGAAGAACATTATTACATAACTCGGAGTTGGAACGTGTCAACAATCACACATTTCTTTCAGAAATACCCTAACGGAGGATATCGAAACGTCTTCGGTGATTCTCGAACATGCAGTCTACAATTAACCAAAATTTTTCTCAACAACTTCCGAAGAACCTCATCCTCATTACCAAAGTGATTGTTTTATTAAATATCACCGGGTAAACGTGATCCGATCTTTCCCTAAGTGATCGGAAACCCTGTTGAACCGTTGCAAACCGGTTGATACTTGAAAATTTGAGATGGCTAAAAGAGACGCTCCAATTAGATTTTAAACATTGTATCAGCTAAGGTTTGTATACTAAATTACTTTTTGTTATAAATAAAAGCTTAAATAAAAAACCCCAAACAACATATCTCCAAACAACAAAGGAAACTTAATCATCACAACAGAAGCACTCACGCACTACTTAAATCAATTTTTTTTCAGTATCACGCATGCGATAAAAACTGTTTATTCTCGATAAATTCCAAACACTGCTGCTGTAGCAAAGAGATCATTGCCACAAAACGATGATGAGGCCACGCGATCTGTTTCAACATCCCACAGGCACCGGCTTGCCACACGTACTCCTTGGTTATTCAACTGTCCTATGGTCACGACACAAACTAGTTTAAATCTCTCAAAACCAAGTACCTTGACTTTATCCTTGATTTCGTCTGCGATGCAGGGAAGCAGGCTCTTACATTTTTCAGGATCATATGGAAGCTCCTTAAGGTGGCTTTCCAGGACTCTGTCTATGGCATCCTTAACGTCGTTACAGCGAAATCGTTTGTCCGCATCAGGACGTAACTTGTATGTATTGGCAATCTTCGCTGCCAGTTGATGCGGAAGCTCGGTTTGGCCGGCTTGATGTGATCTGGAATACAGACTCATGGATTTTCGTCTGGTTGCTGCGTTGGCCTTGGAGGTGGCTGACAGCGTACGAATCTGTCTGGCGACGGGCTCTTGTATGTTCAGTGTTGCCGGTTTGTTCTGAACATCCGCCGCCACAGAGCTTCGTCGACTGGACACTTCACTAACAGGCATGTCAAAACGCACTTCCTGTCTTGAAAGATAAACCACTGGACCTGAACAATGAACAATTATTTCAGAGGATCGATACGGTCTAATTTATCTCAGGTTTCACTGCTCACGTTTTGATGATTCAATGCCCGCTGAGTAAGTGAACCTTTACTTTGTTCGGCTTCATTTTAATTCACCTATTAATGTATTCATCATTTCCGCCCGGCTTTGTCTGGAACAATGGCGAGTGTTAATTTACTCCCACTTATTTTATCGCAATTACTTGTCACCTTCACCAATGGATTTCTCTCAGCTAATAAGATGTTAATTTGGTATGCAGCTGTTAGCAAAGACACAAGTGCAGCTAACATATGAAAAATGCTGATCGCTGATTAGCGCGCCAGTGTTCTACCAGAGAACAGATCCCATGTTACTCAATTACACTCACTTCAATCCTCTGAGTCTGAAATAACGATATAATCTCCTTAACGCTTAAATGATATACTCACGGATATTTTAGCATGTCTAATTGCTTGGATGATTAGGCATAGCGTGCGTGCTTAACTTGTATCTGTCATGTGATCAGAGTTCATAGTCCAGTTTTGGAGAGTAGGCTTTCACGCTAGAAAGGAGACATTTAAAAGTAACTTGTTGGATATCTACCACCCTATAAGATACTTGCCAAATCGTTTCGAGTCATTCGTCTACAGTCTCAATTGAAAACGCTAAAAAAGGTAAAAATAGGACTGAGGTAATTAATAAAATTCAACACCGACTGATGCTTGAGCTTGGGGAAGCCATCTTACAAGTTTTTAGGGACTGACAAAGGTTGCCTGAAAGGAGCAAACTAAGATGGCCACGTTCTATCATGGCTCTTATTTGTACAGAACTACATGTTTTGATAACAAAAAAAACTTCCTGTTGTCACCTTTTGAATAGCTTTTATTTACAGACCAATTTTTTTCGTCTTCGATCTATGCATCTGGGACTTAAGACAAAAAAGGGAAAAACCCGGGTACGTTGCTTTGCTAAAATAGACTAAGAAGATGATTCTATTCTATTCTATTACGATTCTTTTCGTAAGTTCTCCCGACAATTCATCTGTTCCCATCCTGGGTGAGGAAAGAAGCTGTGAGTATATCTTATGTCTTATCCACCGCGTGTCTCTGTTTGCTTAAAGAATTCAGGATATATTTCGGTCTTAAAACACAGATTAAAAACTTCAAGGTAGAAGAATCCATGACTTTGAGGTTCAACATTTTTAACTCTGGCAGGGAATCACTCTGGCTCCAGCTAAATAATAATTTGACTCACCAAGGTACAAGAAGTTTTGAAAGAACCTTGAGAATATCAAAATAACTTTTTTATATATCAATTGAGTTGATAATATACATTGGCCATTGTAAAGACATTCTGAAGCTGACGTTTCTAGCGTTAGCCCTTTATCATTTTCTCTGACGGAAAGCTAACGCTTAAACGTCAGCTTTAGAAACTCTTCACGCTGGATAATTTTCATATTCAACTCACGGAATTAATAAGAGCAAATCATCTTGTAAAACCTTCCACCAACACAGTTCCACATTTTCTTTACAATTAAAAACATGACCCCTTTTGCTTTTGAATATCAGATCTTTAAAAACTGAATAGTAATAATTATGTTAGTAATGAGCTGAACGCACATGTAGTTTTCCCCGTCGCCGTCACCGGTTCAAGTCTCAAGCTGTTCTCCTCAATTGGCTAATTATAAGACACCATTAAGTGCAGACACATGTAGTAAACTTGAGCTTTTATATGATGGAAAGTCTTCGTACGCGGGCCCTACGGAGCAACAATTTCATGCTGAACCTTTTATCTTCAGTTTCGGTGCAACATTGTGCGTTCGCACAGAGCACAATAAAAATCTCCTACGCTTTTCCCATTAAATTAGTTCTTTCCTAAAGGCGAGCAGCCATGGATTGTTTCCTTCTTTAAATCCATGCCGTAACAGAAGATAGAGGAGGTCATTAGCATTCACAAAGGTGAGTGACCTCCTTCAAAAAAGGCAGTAAATTGTTTTTACAATCGTTGAGCTCAACAGGCTGTGAGAGTTTTTAAATACTAAATATGAAGGATGGATAAAGGGGTAAGTTTCTAAAGAAACTGTGGTGCTGCGTCGGTGGGAGAGTAAAGCAGGTAATTTAGTGTTAACAACTGGGTTGAAAACGTAAATTAGCCACCGTAAAGGGTAAAAAAGCTGACGTTTCGAGCGTTAGCCCTTCGTCAATCGCTCTGACGAAGGGCTAACGCTCGAAACGTCAGCTTTTTTACCCTTTACGGTGGCTAATTTACGTTTTCAACCCAGTTGTTAACACTAAATTACTTGCTAAATATGAAGGTATGCGGTTCTCTGTTCAGCTTATCTTGATTTGAATTATTACACTGCTCAGGTTAAAATCGTCACCACAATAAGAATATTGGCAGATTTAGAGAGTTGTGTGTATGATAATATGACGCAATGTGGATTCTAATCAAACTGACTGTTTGTGAACAATTCACCTTACCTTACATGACGGTCTCAGTGGGGTTAACCGTTAGCCTAATCTCGTAACCAGATCTTACTAATTGTAACTGAAATTTACAACCGCTTGGCCGTGAAAGGTCCGGGTACGAGACTACTGTTGACCGTAAACGGCCAAAATATCCGGCCGTTAGGTGTTAAAATAAAAAAGACTTTTAACCGTTAGTCGTAAAAGACAGTTAACCGTAAAAAAGAATTTCTGGTGCCAGAAATGGAAAGATATTAACCGTTAGCCATAAATTGGCCAAAATTTTAACCGCTAGTCGTAACAAAAAATAACCGCAAAAAGTTTTCTCTGACCAAAAAGGAAAGATATTAACTGTGACCCGTAAAAGCCATCACCCTATTGAGACCATCCTATGCTGACCCTGAACGATTCCCATAGTTGCCGCGTTCTCCTGCGGGTCACCTGTAGATAGAACGTACTTGAAAATTCCGGAAGATTTACTGGAGAAAACCAAACTAGTTCTGGTTTCCTTGCCTTATTGCCAACTCGCGTAATTGGAAAACCAGCTCAACCCACAGAATCTCTCCTCTTTCTCTAGATCTCTAGATGTTGGACGCATGAGTCATACATTTCGAGCAGAATGGAAAGGTATCAAATGTCCTTAAATGATTTTTTTAGAAGATACCTTAGATAAAGGCAAATATGACCTAGACAAGTTCAACACACATTACTAACAAGTAGTGAAGTCCATACAGGAAGAAATGATCAGCGATGGAAAATCCAGAATTTTCGATTACTCACTTATGCGCAATCAAATTGTTTATTCAACACTAGGTTTGTCCAACGTGAGAACTATTTTCAACAAAAAGCTTTTTGGCTTACTTTTTCTTGATTTAGCTAAATAAATCTGGTTGCTTTAAAACTAACAGAATGCGAGAGGGAATTGATGACTGAATTTAAGCAAGTCGCACTTTGTCCTCAAAGTCCCCCATGGGTCAGGAAATATAATGCGGAAACTAATAGGACATTTGTTTTTCTACTTATTTTTGGGTTAAACTGTAAGCTAAGCGTTACATCACAAGACAACAAATCCAGGCAAGAAAGCCTCTCTTCGTTTATGGAAATAATTGCCTCTGTTCTGCGATAAAAGAGATTTGTAACACCGTTTCACTGACATGATACTCAGCGTCATTAATAACTTTGGAGCGAAATTTTCCACCAAATGAATGCAGAATCTGTCGCCATTTGAAGTAAATTTCGTGACTCTAACTTTTGATTTTCAAATTGGTCTACGAACTATATCATGAAATGAATTCTATCGCAATCGTTTCAGGTCTTTCACCGGTTACAGCGTGCAAACCTGAAACGGTTTTGGTAGAAGAGGCAACTTTGGGAAAGCAGCTGTGAGGCAAGTGAAAATATGGAGAAGTAAGTAAGAAGCAGCTTGCTTTTGAATTGTTTATCCTAACATCGCTTTGATGTATTCTGCTTCGCAATCAAGTAAAAGTCTTTTCTTTCGACGAATTTAGTCAGGGGCATTGATCAGTTCTAAAAATCCATCCGAATTAAAAAATCGGCGACCGAACATCGGTAACTGTACAACTATAGTTTTCGATTCTTAAGTTTCGGGTCGTTGATCATGATCATGAATATCTTAGCAGTGTGGGAGGGATTATCGTAATTCTATTATATAGGGTGTGCCGGTAATTTTTTCATATCAATTCAGAGAGGTTCCATGAAATACCTCGGTTGTTGACATCCTCGTACGGTGGAGCGCACGTAATTAAACTCGACCAAATGTTTACATCACCGATACGATAAATATAACTGGGATCAAAAAGCAGAACAAAAACAAACGGTGTTAACTAAACAAGGATTCGCACGTCAGCTCATAAAGGCAAGCAGCTTGTTTTTTAATTTTTCTTGAAGAACAGTCGACAATTCAGAGTTTGAAACAATGAGTGCTTCTACAGCAGTTAGAAGAAGATCAGTGACACTCGGTTCTTTGGAGCCATTTCTAAGAAAGCAAAAGAGAGATCGTCTGCGTACAACGAGCATCAATTCTATCGCCTCCGGAATTGCGAGCTCAGTGGAACGACAACGCTCCTCGACATGGCATGGCGCAGAAGTAGAATCAAGCGGCCTGAGTTTGGGTAGTTCTTCAAAGCTTGCCCTCCCATCAAACACACCACATGACATCGCTGATTTGAAAGATTTCCAGGATGAACTGGAATCGCAAGAAGTCATCAAGCACATTATAAAAGAAGAGTTGGACAACTCTCTGATGGATTGCGACTACGATAGCCAGCGATGCGTTTCTCAGTGTGCAAATATTAGCCAAGCAGTTGAGTTGAGAGTCAAGGAAATTACTCCCCCGGAAACCAAAGTGGTGGCTGTGGTGTACATCGGTGAGATTCGGGATCAGGGTCTTGAAATAACCAGCCAGTGCTTATGGGATCCTGAAACTGACAATTTTGTAACTGCAAGCTTCAAAAGTAAAACATTGTTTGCCGTCTGTAC